TGATGGTCTGGGAATTGGCCAGTCTAACAGACTCCGCATGGCTGCAGACATCCTGACAATTGTCACCGAAACTTTATTGAGTAGTCATCACAGCGCCCCCCCATGATATCTCTGATGGAATCCGAGCCCGAGGTTTGACTCTATATATATATAGATGCTACGTGCTTTTGTACCGAACAACTATGGCCATCGACTGCTTGCCTCTTCTTGCGCTCAATGTGACTCCTGCGAATGAAGGAAATGACACGCGAATCATGCAGATCTTTGAAAATTCACGGTCATAACACGCATAATCGAATCGTTCTGTTCGAGCTACAACGTCACAAACCGGGCATGAAGCGTTGAAGTTGGACATTCATTTGCTGTGCACGAGGAACGTTGGAACACCCAGAAAAGGTGATTCACAGCAAGGAAGTGACTAATTTTGCGGCAGTACTGCTGTAAGGACCGCAAGGTCTTGTTCCAGTGGAATCAAGTATAATATTTGCACTGACTGGGTGGAAGAATCGCTGGTCCATCGGGTAAAGCCAGCCGGCGATTAGCTTTATGGCAGATTCCATGGAAGAGAACAGAGGACTAATGTGGTTTAATGTAACTTTTCAGTAAACCTCCGTTCCGACTGATTTAGAATGGCTCATTGTATCTGCATGTAGTTGCTATAGCGCAGGCCTGCCATTGCCTATTCCAAATCAATTGGACTCCATCACAAGTAGTGAACCAAAAGGTGACGGTATTAGTCATTTGGATAAAACGCTCAGATTTAATCGGATGATCTTACTTCTTATCTTCCAGCATGTGTGACGATGGATCGATGCAGTTGGTGTCGATAATCGATACGGCCGCTGCTATTACCATTAGTAACCCCCACGCAGAGTTATTCACATTGATTCGGAATTGCGTAAAAATGTATAAAAAAAACAAAGTGTCGCCATACCCAAGGTGCCGGCAATTCATTTCAATGCTTGCAACAAAACATGAGGTCCTTGAATGAGGGCACGCCTGCCAGACGGCCACGGAGCCTATGGATATATCTTGGGTTCAGTTTCTCCACTCTCGCAAGGATTTTCCTCACATTCGCAGTCACCTATAGTCCATAGACGTGAGCCCAGCATGAATTCAACCACACCAACGCTACAAAGCCCGTCGTCCTCACAGCCATGGCAGGTCCCTGACAAAAAATTGATGGGACTAGTCCTGCAGTCATCTCTCCAGTGCCTCGACCGCCTTGACAGCTTCGAGCGTCATATGTGCGAGGAAATACGGGAGATCCGCAGTCACTTTAGAAATATCCTTGACAGCTACCAGTCAAATGTCACAATGACGGATTCGGAAGGAAATGGTAGCATTGTAGACTCCCAGGCCGGACTCGATGGCCGTAATGCTATTCCACCGTTTGCATCTTCACACAACCCCTGCTTGCCAGAGAAAGGTAAGCTGCTGTATACACAGTCTTTCCTTTAAATGCTTACCGTATACAGACTTATTTCTCCACGGCGCCCGAAGATTTGCCGATCATGTAGCGCCACAGTACAGCATGTACTCTGAGAGCTTTCCGGCATTCTGTGACCCGCGTGCCAGCAGATCATCATCAGAGAGTATGGGTACTTGCTTCGGTGACTTTGATATCATTCACAGCTTTTCCTTGAGACACTTACAATGTATCCCTAGATTTATCACTCCGTGACACGTCCGGTTCCGTCCACTGTGAGCCCACTGCACAACCCCTCCAGGGCATTTATTTCAAGGAGTATGTCCCATTAAATGCTTCAGCCAGACCCGACACACAACTGCCTGTTCCCGTTGTGCAGGCTAGCCAAGCAAAGGACAGAGTAAAATGCACTAGGAACGGGTGTTTGACACTCGTCAAAAAGGATAACCTCACTCATCACATTAACGAGGTGCACGAGGGGAAGGTTAAGGCTGTTTGTCCAAGCTGCGGACAGAGGTTCAAGCGCCCGAATCTGATGAAGGAGCATGTCTTTCGGACCGGATGTGGAAGATTCTAGATCGTTGTCTTGTATAACAAAGTCACAAATATCTGTTGAAGTGGTTCCTTATGAGCAAGATGCAATCTAAGATGCTAGTATTCACTTGATACAAGACCACCTTGGTGGTCGAGAGCTTATCCCTGACTTCATTCGCTACTTCGAGCCATCGGGAGAAAGCCCTAGAAATGGATATGAATATATCGAAAGGAACAAGGAAGACGCACCGTTGTTTGTAATGTCAAGTCTTTTCAAGGGAGTAAACTTCGACACAAGGTGAAGGCAATGCTCGAATCGTCCCATTCTTATTGGGACGAATTGATGCGGAGTTACTTAGGGCCCGTTTTGCAACCGCTCGGTTTTCATCCGTTTTCACTTGAAACAGAATGTATATTCATATTCGGTAACGCATTTGTTTCGTTAAACGTCTGTCACGCTGCAGGATAGTGGAATGCACGCGGGGGAAGAGCACTGAACAGCGTGTGGGTATTGCAGGGTAGTTAGCGCCCCGGGAGTGTGGGTGAGGGGCCAACGGTAGGAATCGTATTAGTCATTGGTTGTATCTGATGGGTCTCCATAGTATATAGCCCTCCACACGAATATGGAAATTAGCGCGGAGAGGTAGAAGTACCGACTGCGCTGACAAGAAAAACAGTCACAGGGCGCGTCGACGGGGTGTTCGACCGGCATGTCCCGGGCCATGAACCTCCAAGGCAACTCAGCGGCATTTATTCTTGTTGATCTGCATCACCTTGCAATTCCGTGGCTCTCGAGTTCGCCGTATTAATTTCGGCTCACAAATTACTTCGTGAAGATTCAATGAAGTAAACCGGGGTGCGTGTGTTGAAAACAACATCAAATCTATGAAAATCTACATTTCGGCCGGGTCCTTCAGGCGTGTGAATTTCCTATACGTACCGTTGTCGATCAACACAATTGCAATCTTGATCTTAGCTTGGCCCTGACTGTGACGAAGGCGTCAATCGGATGTCGAAGCCATGCGTAATACAAGTTTACTTGTGCATTAAACTTTGGCTCAGTTCGGAGTGAACCGGTGACACGGAAAGGTGCGAACGCAAGTCACTGGCTAGCGATTGCGAGATTCCTGCTTTTGTGATCACATTCGAGGACACTCCAAGTCAATGCAAATCGAATTCAGACAGGCTAGTATAACCTTGGACATGCCGGCAGTCAAACTTAAGCTTTAAGTGCAGATCCAATAGAAAATAAGCGCGGTAACACCAGCCCCCGACCCTAAGTTCAAATCACCTTCCATAAACGGAGCAGAATCCTCTGTGATATGCACGTGGCATTTCCCTGCTACTGCGACAAAGTTTTCAATTGCTGACTTACGGTGCGTACCGTATTTTAAGTCCAAGCCACGGTGTTCTGGGGGACAGTGTTATCAGTCATGATCATGCATGGGATATAGAACATACAGAGGCGAGCTGGCGTGATACTTACCTTGTTAGAAGCGATCCAAGGAAGGTAAAGATCACAGCAAGATGCTGTCAACCGTAGTGGGTGCAGAGAGCGCCTTGACTGTATTTGTGGCCACTAAATGCACAGCTTGCTGGGTCGTTTCCCTTCAATTGGAAGTACTGGGCAATCTGGTCCGTTTCAGGGTGCTTAGTTACACGATCATCATGTAGAGCTCACAACATATAATTCACGTGTCTGCTGCCCAGTATTTACTTTCATCATGATGTACTGGCCCGAGCCACGATCTTGCATTTGACTCATTCGTAGTCACTGTTCAGATGTCCCCTACACAACCGCCTTCTACAAAGATTACTTGCCCTGTCACATGTCCCGAGATCACAGATGAAGACACTACCACTATTTGGTTTGCAACGTCCAGAGGTGTCCCAAGTTTTTTCAACGGAGTGCTGATAAAGAAGATAAGCCACTAAGTAGGTGAACAGAATGACCACGACTCACGCCGCTAATACAGGTCCGCTGACGGCTGGATCATTCAGGGCCTCTTGTACCATCGGCGTCGGAACCCATCCAGGTGCAATACAATTCACACGTCCCCTGGGTGCGATCTTCACGATCTCACTCTTGAGTGTCGTCGTCAAGCCATACATCATCGCTACCAATATCTGCGCTCAGCACATAACTGATTCACGACAAGCATAAAACTCACCGCTCTTGCTGATAGCATAATCGCCGTGATTCGCTTCGCCATACTTACCTGATGTGCTCCCGATGAGCACAATCGCAGCCCTATCTTTCATGCTTTCTGTTGCTGCACGCAAGTGGCGCAAGAACTCATGACAGACCAGGAAGCTTGAGGTGAGGTTTGCACTGATGGTGTGGTCCCATTGTTCAATGGTCATATCGATGATAGGTGCGTCCTGGGGCGACCATATGCCATGGTTGACCACGATTGCTGCCACAGGGCCGAACGGCGTCCCTGAGAGCGCGTCGAACATACTCTTCACGGCACACTCAGAGGAGAGGTCTGCCTGTGCGCATTGGAGTGCAGGGAAGTTGGCTTGGAGATTCTGGATGGGTTTGGAGTTGGAGTTGTAATGTGCAGTCACATTTGCGCCGAGGGCTGAAGAGTGATGTCAGTCACATCTCTGAAGGCACAGAAATGATGGAATTACACAGGTAGAGTTTGACGGTCTCAAGGCCAATGCCTCCACTTGCGCCTGGAACGAGGATGAGGAACTCATGAGTGAGCTGACGGGGGAATGACTGAACCTGTTACAAGGACATGAATATTTTTCAGCCCTAAATCCATTGTCCGACTCTGATTATCGAGGAAACGAGGTCAGGATAAGTCGAGTTATTTCCACAGTGATCAATCCCACGAATTCGCGTTTCCCAAGCCGAAGGGTCACTGACGCCAAGCGAGAAGCCGCAGTATGCGTTCGCAAGCACACCCGTCGATGCGTGCGTGTTCTTCAGTTCTATACGGTATCGCTGCCACGCATGTCTAGGGAAGCAGCTCCTGTCATGAACTTTGGGTTGTTTTGCCACCTAAGTACTTGCTGTTTCGGTTGTGTTGAGCTTTGTTACAAGCTATTTTGACTGAGATAAGACTAGGTGCAGGTGGTACAAACCGTCAAACTGCCTCCGACGTCGTCCCGTCTAGTGCTGCCGTGGTCCGGTTCGGTCCGGTTCAGAGGGTCCTGGACGAGAACCGAGAACTGAACCATGGTCCGGTTCTGCAAAATCTTCGAACCCTGAACCGGACCACAGAGAATGGTTCTCTGTGGTCCGGTTCGGTTTTTTTCTGGTCCGAACTCGAACCGAACCCGAAAATTTTCAATGGTGAGCGCGAAAAAAAAACATTGAAATACTACTTTACACATCGAGTAGCTACTCCAATGACATAGCTACTGTTAAGAACGTGCTCAAGGGTCGGATCCGAAGGGCTTGGCTTCAGCTCGTGCGCTGCGCCCCTTACCCGAGTACGTGCCCCTAACTTCCGAGGGTTGTCGAACGATGTCCGAAGGTTACCGGACGATGTCCGGAGGGCGTCGGGCGATGTCCGGAGTCCGATGTCCGATGCGCGGGAATTCCGGCGGACGTTCGGAAACAAGAGATAAGACTAATCCGGACGAAGTCCGAACTAGAAAGGAAACAGCGGAGGACTACCAGAGGTAGAGGCGGAGGTGTCAAGTCTATAGGAGTCGATCCTAAGACGAGCGGAGGTCGACGAGAGAGAAACTCAAGTCGGACGGAGGAGAGAATGAGCAGAGTCTAATATGATATTCGAACTGAGGAAACTACAGAGATTGTACAGGGGTTTATATACTACTGAGGACATAACGGAGAACAGTAAGTGCAGTGCGAAGCTATGTAAAGCTATGAAGAAAACATATGGGACAACTATCACTAGTCTATCGGAACTTAGTAAAATGAAGACGGAAATGAATAAGGAACGGAAAATAAAGTGTACTAACTGATAAGGGAAATACCAAAGGGATAAGGCGCGGAAGTTAGACGCGGGTCGGATCCGGACGATACATAGAAGTCAGGCCGGATCCGGAAATCCGGAAATGATGAGTGTGATAGGTCCGGGTCCGGAACGTGGGATATGACACCGACCCCCAAATCTTGACGCATCCGTAAGAGCATATATATGTGAAATTTTATTCACGCCGCTAACTGTACCCTCAGCACTGTGAGCCCAGGCGTCGATATCTTCGGAGATGGCAACATGGAGGTTGCTGTTAGCGAGTTCGAAAAGCAGCATATATGCAGTTATTATTGCGAATGGCCAGGTTTCGGCCTACAATCTTTCGCAAAGCAGGCAGATGGTAGCATAGATGACACTGCCAATTCTGCCGCCAATGGTAGCGTAGATGATGACGCTGAGCCTGCTGCTGATGGTAGCGGCAGGGATGATGCTGATGTCTCTTGAGTAATATTCAGTTTGCTGTATCATATCTTTGGCTGGCCAGGCTGAGCTTGTATGTTATTTCGACGTTCTCGATATTTGATTATTATGCTCTGCAACAATTGACCCAGTGGTAAAAACCCATAAACACCAAACCAGACGTCCAGTGCAAACCGACGACAGACGACGCAGGGGTGCACGAAGTCCTCTTACCTATTATGGCTACGTGACGCTGACTAAAGGAGCGCGGCTGTTAGGCTTTCCATAATCGGTGATTCATTAGGCAACCGTGAAATGATTTGTGATAGAGGAACGTGCTGTGAGGATCTACGTGTAACAATGTTTGTGGACAAACAAGCCGCCAGTGACACCGTGACACGCAGAACAAGCACAACAAGCACAACAATCCCTCAACGTTGCAAAAAGTCATTGATTGTTAAGAGGTAGGTGAGTATGTATGAGGCTGAAAGCACAAGGGGCAGGAGGAAGTGTGCGGTGCGACGTGCCTAAAGTCGAGCACAATACGATTCTATGACTCTGACTAGCTCTGTTCAACCATGGATAGGAATGTTGCGATCTCGTCGTCTCCTTCTGAGTCGCCATATTGGAAGAGCAGTAAAAACACGTCGGACGAAATTATTTTCTCAGAAGACGATGGAGGAATATGCACACGAGATTCCAGACTCTCATCTTTCCAACAAAAGGCAGGTAATGCGTGTTGTTATATCAATCCTCGCCATTATCAACACTCGGTACCGTTTTCATTTCTACCTACCTACAAATACCATTTGTTCCTGCGCATCGCAACCTTCCTCAGTTGACTTCGCACGTCCACTGAGGTTAGTACTACCTTCGTACATAGTTCCTACTTACTGACACTACCTGTAGCTACTGCTACAACAGGTACATACCAATACACGTTAGTTGACTTCGCACGTCCACTGAGCTACTGCTACAACAATGCGTATGGTAGGTCCTGTAATCTCGGCAGCGATGCATCCCAGCTACTAGGGGTTGGCGAGCCATGGGATGGTGACGCAGGTGACTTGAGAGAGGGGGGGACTGAACCCATGTCTATTGGATGAAGCAGCTTGGATTCATGTTGTTTATGGATAGCGGACTTAGGAAGTGGGATATGTTTGGACTTGGGAAGCTGGAATAATGCTCGCGCATCTCGGAATGCTGGATGCCACATCTCGATGTGCTTGAACTAGAATATCTGGTGTTAATCATTGAAGAGTTGGATAAAAAATATAGGTGACCTTGTCCTCTAGTTGTAGTAATTTATCTTGAATATGTTGTTCAGACCGACCCTTTTGCTTTTTCCGCGCAATGTATAATATCACTGCGTCCCGGACTGTCTTGACATCTGTTCCAGAATTGGCCAGAACCGTGAAGACCTATGACTTATGAGGGTGTTTTCAATGATTCAGGGTGACGAATACGCACTTCCATCATTGTATCCCCTTTGAAGAAGCCAGCTGCGTCCATCCTTCGGTCCTAAATACGTTACTAGCCTCTTCAATGGATTAAGATGGTGCAAATTGACCGTTGTACACGATAGAGGTAGACGCTATATAGGTAAGTGGGGAAATTATATATCAAGCTTGCAAGATATACATACATCTTTGCATACCCAACTCTGAGCCTGTCGTGTGTCAGTGTTCCTGAGTAGCTGATCGTATCAAGAACCATAAAGCCACGGCTCACAGATTTAAGTATCCTCTGACCAAAAAGAGGTTCTTTGTTGCGAATTTGTACGTATAACGCACGTTCGTCAGTCAGGGGAACGCCCAGTTGTATTCGCTGCGGGGGAATGGAAGTTTTCACTCGAGGGCGAGACCGAATATTAAATGATGAGTATTATTCGCTTCCCTGCACAGAACGTAGGAGCAATTTGGAATATTAATACAGCTGGCTGATAAATTAGTAACAATGAAACCCGAGGCCTGGAAGTCCAAGCTGGGCAAATCCAACTACGTACTGTTTTATATAAGGATCGTAACGTTCCGTGTGACGCGGGGGGGAAATATGGTTATTGGGGAACAAGGCATATCTGTACGATTAGTCGAAGGTGAATTAGAATCCCGCAAAACGAGTCTAAAGCAGTGTTGTCACAAATCGATTATCGAAACCGATTGACTGTACACGCAGTCAAGTTACGCTCGCGTCTCCGCGAACAAGGAATTCCAAATCGCGACGTCTTCGCGCCGCTGAATAAGGATGAAGAGTGAGGCTGATAAGAGTATATGATGAGGCTCTGGGACACGTAGAAGTAGTACATCGTATGGTTTCAAAAGGAAGAGAGATACGGGAGATATAGATTTCACGCGCAGCAAGATAAGTTCAAGAGGCCGTCGATGCCACACACCCCATGCTGATTCTGCGGGTTACGTGATGGCAGGATGAACACGTGGTCGTCAGGCTCTGAGTCGTCACTATACTCGGAGAGTGAGGACAATGCTGTATCGCGGCGGGATGAATGAACATGAGATGGAGAGTGATATCCGAAGTCGTCCCCACTGCAACCCGATGCATAGCACCGAGTGAGTGAAGTGACGACTGCTGCCAGCAGCTCTTCTCTCTCTCAGCGAGCCTCAGAATTGCCCTCGAGATCATCCAGGAACATATACACGTCCTCGACACCATCTTGCAGTAGCTTCTCAACTTTGTAGAAAATAATTGCTATGTAGACTCACAGCGACCTGGAGGGCAGCATGGCGATCAGTGGTCAAAACACCATGATTGAGCGTTGGATTTGACTTTGAACGGTAGACTGAAACCGCGGCATTGCGTCAAGTCTTTTCACAGAATTCTACCAACGAACTTACGATGATGTCCTTGCCAGTGAATGCACGAGAGTAAGGAATGCTGCTTTTCACTTGGGTACCGCAAGGCACCTTGTCGCGCATGCGGACGGCCAAATGCGATAGCAAGCTGAAGTTCACAAATCTGTCTGGATCTGGATCATCGCTCTCAGAGTCAAAGTAATCTTCTTCTTCTTCTTGTTGGTAGCCAAGCGGAGGGCCAGCAGACTGATGATGGAACTCAGTATATTATCGAGCCAGGGAGAGAGAACTAACTAAGGATGTTCCGAGCGACGGTGGTAGAACTTACCTTCATTCGGATGCTGCAACTTTGCAGAATTCGACTGGTTACGGCTGCGCCGCGGTCACGTGGTGCGGCTGTGTGACGGATGGACCCGGGGCCCAGGCCGATCAAAGAGCCCTCTAAAGCCTCCTACTATCTGAAACAAAAAAGAATCATTATCTGTAGAAATCCGTTCCCCTATCGTACGTACAGTATATCTCTGAAAGCTCATTGCTTCTCACCACCGTCACAGGCTGCTTGGCTTGGTTAGCGCATTGTCGTTGCAGCACTCACTGCGGTCACCGCTCGAGACACTACTATTATTCTTAAGCTCAACGTCAGATGTACAAACTCAACTGCATTGTCTTGGGCGATGATCCTTGCCATATTTTCTCGGTCAACGTTGCGCGGACGCAGAGTGTTTATGACCTCAAAAAGGTCATCAAAGACAAAAACAAGCCACAGTTTGACCATGTTGACGCTACCCACATCGACCTATGGCAGGTGAGTGATGATACCTACGATTGGATGTTCATAATCTGATATTTTGGAAGGTCGACCTGCCTGTCGACGAGACGATCGAGCACAATCTTAACAATCTTACACTTGACAAAGAGAAACGCCTATGGCCTCTGACGAAATTGCAGAAAGTTTTCTCTGAAATACCTGAGGATGAACACCTGCATATTGTTATCCGGGCCGCACCTGTCGGTGGGTTGTCTTTCGATATTGCCACCCTTTCCTCCTTACTGATCGTGGTCTGACTTAGTGTCTTTTGAACCGATCCACCTCAAACTTAACTGCTTTGTCTTGGGCGATCATCCTCGCCATGCATTTCAGGTCAAGATTGCACCGAGAGAGTGTGTCAGCGCCCTCCAAAAGGTTATCAAAGAACAGAGAAAGCATAGATTGGATGGTGTCGATGCTAAGGCTCTCAAGCTATGGAAGGTGAGTAATAGATACTCGAGAGGTCTAATGCTGATGACCTGATCATTTGGAAGGTCAAGATCGATTGGAACGACCTACACTTACTCGACACGATCGGAGACCAAGGCGTGGAGTTGAAGCCGTTAACCGAACTGTCCGAAGTATTCACGCATGGACTAGAGCGTGGATGTATTCATGTCGTCGTACAACACATTCCAGCTGTCGATCGACGACTCGCTTATCTCAAGAAGGGCGCAGGTACTCCGTCAGCTGGCGCAACACCATCCGCATTCTCTATAAAGCAGGACGAGCAAGAGTACCTTTGCAATCGTCCTCGCAGAGCTGCGGACCCTATTCCAGTTACTCTTCTCGAGCCTATCTTCGCCAAGTTCGTGGACGATTGTCAAAATCATCAACCAACTGTCTGCGATAACGACTTTGTTTGGCAACTTTCGCAAATTATGTCTTCCTTCCATCCCGATGAGCTCACGCGGATGCTGGTATTCCGGCAAGTGCTCCGCGACTACGTTGGCTCGACAAATTTTACGACAGACGGACATCTTTTGTCCACCAACGGACAGTTTGTGCAGGTGATATTGGAGGTGAGGAACGAGATCGGAAGCGGCGCTACCGAACCATTCGCGGAGGCAATGTTGTACTACCGCAAGTTTATGGAAGACTCGAAGATTGAGATAGTGAAGCTCCGGTCTGTCATTCCATGCATCCATATCATTGTCTTCGGTTAGTTTATTTCATCAGATTCATTGCTAAAGCTCTTTATTGACCACAACTAGGGGCATGCATTGGCTTTGTAGGCTCTGTTTTCACAGAAAAGGTCCAGTCTGATGTCCTGGTCCCTATCATTCCTCTGTTTTGGCATTCAACAGACCTCAGTATGCAAGTGATGGCGGCTCGTACTTTCGGGGCTCTCAAAATCGCCATCGAGAAACTCACAAATCTGTACTCCCATCCAATTCCGTCCCTCGAACCAAAAGATCCACCTCTAGGATGTCCTTATCCTCGGAGTTATACCAATTCAACCGGTCATATTCAGCAATTCTCGTATGATGAGACTCAAGCCCTCAGGGATAAACTTATCTTCTTCGGGGAAACCGTCGGCGATGCGGCTGGGAGCAAGATATGTATCAAGTTCGTCAGGCACTATTCCCCTGAAGCCCACGAATTCTGTGCCAGCAAGGGGCACGCTCCCAAACTTATCGCCTACAATCCTTTACCCGGCGGCTGGAATATGGTGATTATGGACGTCATTGATATTGATAAGGATTACTTCTCGCAACGGCCTGGCTCATATAGACTGCTCAGTGAGATAGCTGTTTTGGACCGCCAGCCGCTGAAGGAGGCCATCACCTCTCTCATCCGGGAGCTACACGATTACAATGGCGGCTACGTTCATGGCGACCTTCGGGATACCAATTTCGTTGTGAGAGACAACAAACACTTCATGTTGCTCGATTTCGATTGGGCTGGACCGATACAGAAGACCCATTATCCTATGCTTGTTAATAGGATAGATATTCGACGTCCTGATGGTGCGTTGGATGGGAAGAAGATTGTAGCGGAGCATGACTTGGATATGCTGAATTATCTATTTCATCCTGAGCAAGATGGTCTGGAGCCGGCTGCAAAGCCCCGCCGTATATATTTCAATGGCCATCTTATTGGTTCATAGCATCGTTGTATCACCAAAACTTAACACTAGTCCGTTTTGTTTTATAAAGCTATCATACAGTGACTTTGGGAGAATGGCGACATAGATTAGTATCTGTTGTATTAAGTAGTTAGCCAAATCGATTATTACCGATGCGCATGCCATTGGTGTATCTGAATAAAATTATACCCATGCATGACCTCTCTGATCTCAGCAGTCGATCCTCGTATCGCGTATGAACTCTTGTTAACTCTCCCTCTATTCAGTACCTCCTTCGGGTCCGCCGCCGCCTCTCCATGCTCTCATGTGGACACCTGCGACTCCGTTAACAACCTGCACCCAATACCGACCCTTCTTGGCTGAGTCCATCCTTCGGTCCTAAATACGTTACTAGCCTCTTCAATGGATTGAGATGGTGCAAAATTTGAGTCGACCGTTAACCAGTACACGATAGAGGTAGACGCTATATAGGTAAGTGGGGAAATTATATATCAAGCTTGCAAGATATACATACATCTTCGCATACCCAACTCTGAGCCTGGCGTGTGTCATAGTATCCCTGAGTAGCTGATCGCATCAAGGACCATAAAGCCACGGCCCACGGAATCCTCTGACCGAAAAGAGATCCTTTGTACGTATAACGCACGTTCGTCAGTCAGGGGAACGCCCGGTTTTATCCGCTGCGGGGGAATGGACGTTTTCACTCGAGGGCGAGACCGAATATTAAATGATGATTATTATTTGCTTCCCTGCACAGAACGTAGGAGCAATTTGGAATATTAATACAGCTGGCTGATAAATTAGTAACAATGAAACCCGAGGCCTGGAAGTCCAAGCTGGGCAAATTCAACTACGTACTGTTTTATACAAGGATCGTAACATTCCGTATGACGCGGGGGAGAAATACGGTTATTAGGGAACAAGGCATATCTGTACGATTAGTCGAAGGTGAATTAGAACCCCGCAAAACGAGTCTAAAGCAGTGTTGTCACAAATCGATTATCGAAACCGATTGACTGTACACGCAGTCAAGTTGCGTTCGCAGCTCCGCGAACAAGGAATTCCAAATCGCGACGTCTTCGCGCTGCTGAATAAGGATGAAGAGTGAGGCTGATAAGAGTATATGATGATGAGGCCCTGGGACACGTAGAAGAAGTAGTACATCGTATGGTTTCGAAAGGAAGAGAGATGCGGGAGATATAGATTTCGGGATAAGTTAAAGAGGCCGTCGATGCCACACACCCCATGCTAATTCTGCGGGTTACCTGATGGCAGGATGAACACGTGGTCGTCGAGCTCTGAGTCTTCACTATACTCGGAGAGTGAGAACAATGCTGTGTCACGGCGGGATGAATGAGCGTGATATGGAGAGTGATATCCTGGTTCATCTTGTTTGCTTGTACTATCCCAGCTTAGAGGTGAAGGCGAGTTGGCAGTCGATATTACTGATGTAATAGACGGCACTGATGAAGGACGAGTTGATGCTGAAGACGACGTGTACATGGATGCTGAAGACGACGTGTACATGGATGCTGAAGACGATGTGTAAGTTGATGCGGAAGAAGCAACTGGACTCGATAGTGCCATTGAAGACGCCTCCCGCTCCAACTGGCGACGCTCCTCGTTTGCACGCTCGCGAACAATGGACATGGGCATGGGGATGTGATCAGATTTGCGAAGCTGGAATAACGCTCGAGCGTCTCTCCAAGCGGGATGTAATGCCTCTATGTGCATGAACTAACACTCGTTGTCAACGTCTGTCAACACGCCGAGCACAAGACAAACAAACCTTGAGCTCTAATTTTCCTAATTTTTCGTGTATGTATTGTTCAGAATGCCCCTTTTTCTTTTTGGCCACAATGTACATGATCACTGCCTGTCGGACAGCGTTGATATTATGGCCGGAGGTCGCGATGGCTGTAATGACCTTCTAACCATGAGAGAGATTTCATTTGCATATGCCTATAGAGACTCACTTCTATGCTTGTACTCATCTTGAAGAAGCCACTTGGAGCCATGCTTCGAGAATGTATCCTTGAGGACTATGTATGTGGGGTGAGGGGGTTAAAGTGCTCGAAGCATGGACGTACGGACCCAATAAGAAGCACCAATGAGAGGCTATTTTTTAGCCAAAGCCTAGAGGCTGTCCTGGACCTTTACGAGAGTCTGACTCAGCCAACTGAGCGGAAAGAAAGCAGTCATTCCTGAAACACTACATTCGACAGGGCCTCAAGATACATTTAGATCACGGCGGGTCTCGGTCTAGGCTAATGACAACAAAGTCACAGCATAACCACAGCATGATGCCATTGACTATTGAGTCACGTTCCTCGAGGTGTGAGAAGACCGAATCTGCCCTGCCGACAGAAAGAAAAAACATCACGGCCCTGTACACAAGTACAGTAAGAGTCTTGTCCTAAACAATTATGTGGCAGCGCATCCAATCTTGGCGTGAAGCTTGACTATCTGAAACCTTGGTTTTACGTTCAATGTGCAAAGATCATATTGCGGGACTTGTAGCCTGATGGCAGCTGCAACTGTGCCGCAGGCCCGCAGCAAGCCAACGCAGACAGCTGGGTCTCTTGCAACATCGGTATGAATTGGTAACACGTCCTGTGTTTACAACCTCCGTGCACAACGCAATCACGTCGCGGACTTGGATCTAGAGGGCGAATCACGATAACTTGGGCTCAAATATGATGGGAAATGACGCACGGAACAAGATTGATTGAGTGGTCCTATAGCATTGTGCCACGATAGTAGGACGTAGTGACGGTGGGCTGTCATTTGAAACGCAGTGCTGTTGTAACCAAAAACATCCTGTGTGGAAAAGCGCCGCATGGCTATACACCTAACAAAAATCCAAGGACATCCGGAACTTCTGCAGAAAGGTCAAGTCAAGCTGTGGAAGTGAACCGGACTCAACGTATCGGTGATTATGTAATCACATGTATTTCATTTCTAGCCCGATCGGATCTAGCAGAGCTTGTTCATCTATCTTCCCCGCACAGTACTTACCATGTTCATCCGCCCTCTCCGCCGCCTTCTCACTCGTCCAACTGCCGTCTCACACTTCCATACATTTCCACCATCCTTATCTTCGAGGAAAATTCTACAGAGCTTCAAGCTTGCTGATATTGGCGAGGGTATCACAGAGTGTGAAGTCATCAAATGGTGCGTCGGCCGGACCTTACAAATATCATGCTCCCCACTGAGCTCATAATTCAGGAATGTCAAGGAACTTGGCGCCATCCAAAGCTTTGATCCTTTATGCGAGGTCCAGAGCGACAAAGCCAGCGTCGAAATCACAAGCCCGTTCGATGGTATAGTGAAAGAGATTCTGGTGAAGGAAGGTGAAGTTGCAAAGGTTGGCCAAGGACTCTGTGTGATCGAGGTTGATGAGGAATTGTCGGATAGCGAAAGTGCAGAGCAGATAGAACCTGCCTCATCGGCTTCACCAGTGCCGTCGCCAATAATTCCAAACTCCAAAGTTGTGGAAGATGCTGTCTCTCGGGCCGAACAGATCCGTGAGGAACCGTCTGCACCCAGAAGACCACACCCCATGGACCCAAACTACTCACCTTCTACTCCCGATGTTAACCGTGAGAACGTGCTCGCAAAGCCTTCAGTCCGTCATTACGCTCGCCAGTCCAAGGTTGACCTTGCACTTCTCTCGGGCAGCGGACGTGACGGACGTATCGAGAAGAAGGATATTGATGCATTCCTATCACAGCAAGCCTCTTCTGTTTCAGTAGACCTCGGTTCAGTTGCACCACGAGCGCAAACCGAACAAGACGTGATTGTCGAGCTTGGTCGGACACGTTATGGCATGTGGAAAGCTATGACTCAGAGTCTTGAGGTTCCACACTTTGGGTATGATTTCGTCCTTTCAATTATCATTCGCTGTCACTCATCATCTGTATCAGCTACTCGACTTCCCTCGATCTCACATCTCTCCATTCTCTTCTCCCAACACTCAATTCGCATATACCTGAACATTTTGATCCCTCCAAATCATCATCACTCCCAATTAACCCTTCCGCTCTGCATCCCGCGCCATCTCCTCCTCCCGTACCAGAAAGCGCCCAATTCACCCGTCTCACATACCTCCCCATACTCATAAAGACGCTTGCAAAGGCCATGATGGCATGGCCCGTGCTCCGTTCCTCCATAACGCTAGGTAGCGTAAATGGGGGAGGCAAGCCTACCCTTACCATCCGTCCGCACGCGGACATCGCTGTTGCTCTGAGCACCCCGACAGGTCTATACACACCTGTCATACCCCATGCAGATACGCACAGCATCTACAGCCTATCTTCACAACTCAAGCATCTTTCTTTCCTCGGCCGTCAAGTACCATGCGCACTCACGATGAACGAGATGCCGAAACGTGGTGCAACGGTCACGATATCAAATATAGGTGCAATCGGCGACGGAGAGTACGCACACCCTGTTTTAGTACCTGGGGGTGGTGTCGCGATCGTGGCCATAGGCAGAGCAAGATGGGTGTGGGACGTCAGTAAGAGTGACCGTGGGGAGAGGAGGCTCAAAGTTGGCGTGAGCTGGAGTGCGGATCATCGTGTGCTAGAGGGTGCAGAGTTGGCTGCGTTTGTGGAGTCTTGGAGGGCATATGTCGAGGCACCTGAACGACTTATCGGAGAAGGAATATGAGCCTAGTTCAGATGCTCGATGGAGGCTGTATTTTTAACATCTGGACTTCCACGTTATCGTTTTGCAATCATGGTCGGGAGCAAGAATACTGATATCACGATTTCATACATTGACACTGTTCATATCTACCACTGCATGATTGGTCCTGAGGCATGCGCATGCAATTGCCATGTGAGTACTTTGTCGACACATGATGCGAATAGGTCGCGGCACTTTGCAATATTGATTATCTACGTCGTTTAATTATAACCATGCGACAGGTTGCCCTTGTAACAGAAATGGTCGAAGCCAGATTATCGCCACAAAGTGCTTGATCATAATACATCCGAGACCGATTCATAATGATTTTGCTAATCTATGTCCGATAAAAACGAGTGTTTATTATACATTTGGTAGGTATGCTACAGGTGATTCAGCTCTATCGTACGGATATACTAACATGCGACCTTGACGGAAATGAGGGAATGCGTGGGCATACAGATACACTATATAGTGTGACGTGAAGGACATTACATACGTACAAAGGCAGGGAGAATGGGCGTTAAACTGTTGGTGATAAAGGGGAACGTGTAGGGAAGAACGAGTGACTGACGAGCGCCGCGTGAAATTGATCAATGATGCTGCGGCTTCCCTCGCCAAGCCTCTTAACAAGTGGCGTTCCCTAAGATCATGGCCTCGACACCAGCAGCCCTCAACAGGTGCACGAGCTCGTGCGTTGCGTCATCACTGTCGGCAGCATTCGCAACTACGATGACACGCATCGATGGAGAATTGGAATTGCGAACGATACCGACTGGAAGAGAAGCTAACAACGCAGCGATCGTCGGGCCCGTATCGTTGAATTTCAAGTCAAGAAGACTCGGACAAAGCGCCGCGGCGATTAGGTCTGGAACGATTGCTTGTAAGTTCGGTTTGTCCAGACCGGACAGTACGAGATGGTCGAGAGTCGCGGTTTCCTGCAAAAAGCAGCGCAAGGAAACTCCGCATGATGTAAGGCCGTGAAGTTCCAAAGAACGAAGTGAAGATAAGGGATATGGTCCGCACGTTGCGCATGGGAATGGATGAAACGAAGTTGTGCACGAGTAGTGAGCTGCTGTGAGGTATTCCAAAAGACGGGACGAATCGCAAGGGTGCGACGGATCTAGTGAAGAAGAAATATCCTCCAGCGAGAGCGTTTCAAGTGCGGGGAGGTAAAAGAGCGACAAGAGATCAATAGCATAATCGACGTCGATGAATCCGAAGGCGAAATCTCGTAAATGTGGAAGGTATAGAGTGCGCTGCTTGGGCGCAACGTTTACGTCTATCTGAGGACCCCATCCCAAGATGCTCAATCGCTCGAGTTCAGGACATGCAGATATGATGTCACAGAACTCGTGCAATGTCGGCATCACCTCGCTCGCGTGGTACTTGAGTTCAAGTTCCAAGAGACCCGACAATCCCGAGTTTGTCCAGTTCACGTGTACACCGGCAAGGGAGACCCGACGAAGGCTGTGGAATGCAGAGCCTCCCCCGAACCAGGAGACTGGATGCCTCATTGCAGAAGGACGGAAGAGCTCGCCCTTTGCAGCAAAGAAGGCGTTACAGCGGGAAAGAAGGACATCCTGTAACATAGGAGCTGATTTTATGCGGGAGGTATAGGAGAGGAAGGTAAAAATAGGAGCCCAGGTGTCGGTGAGAAGTTCGACCTTCTGCCACCGGTGCGCATAGGGCAGAATAAGTCGCATGACATTTTCCATATTTTGCCAGCCGAAGCAATGTGACGCTTCGTCCCAATTCCATGCGGGATCTCGGAAATCCATGTATAGGTGCAAAGGGCGAGAGCGGGAACGCGCGAGCCAGTCGACGGTGCGAAAGAATTGAGTGCGACGAGTGGGAAATGTAAGAACAATGACGGTCCATAATGATGAGGTTGAAAGAGATACGTTTCTCCAGCGTTGACAAACATGTGAGATTGTGGTGGCGTGAAATATAGCGTCATAACAGTCGTGAAAATCGTGTGTTGCAACATGAAAGATGGCAGATAACAGTTCGTCTGGAATTGTTGAGATTGAGGTTCCATGCAGATAGCGTCCTGCATTTAATTTGCGAACGTTGACGAAAGAGTCACCTGACACACTGTTCAACGTCACAGAAGGCATCTGAAACAAAAGTCTGTCATCATGGATTGAGGTGGACGATATCAGAATTGTTGTACTGACCTTGAGGGGAGCACGAAATGGTGTGACAGTCAACCTGACGGTCAGTCGGAAGTGTCTGGACGTGGGGGGAGGTAACCCATTTATTAAAAGGTTCAGCGCTTCGTAATCCGGTTACCCGTGATTGGCGTAAATATCCGGAAATTGAAAATAAGATGTGCGGTGTACGGATATGGCAGGTGCTTACCAAAGATGGCGGGAGTAGACAGCGTGTAGGATGGCATCATGGCATGTGCCTGCGCTTCTCCAAGAGTCATGGGTGCCTGCATATATTCAGTAGGTCCTTCGTCTCACGCCCAATGTCAGTCTAAGATATCGCCAAGTGTAGGAAATCTGAACAGCCTTCGACTCCCGCCCTTTTTAGCACAAGGTCTGCCTCGAGGCAGGGACAAACCTGTCATCGCTGGCGATTACGTTGCATCCCGATGTTCAAATAGTTTCAAACTCCGATGGAGGGAAATCGTCGTTTAATGCTAGGGGCTACATGTTCCAATCATTCATGAGCGCTCGAGCGGTGATCATTGTTGCAACAAAAGCTTTGACAACAGGGAGCCGCTGTTCCGAAAACTGTGGATAGACTGTGAGAAATCAAAAATTGCATAGGTATGCGATAGGCGATGCCTCGTGCATGTAGCCGGAAGAATCACCCTAGAATCTTGCGAATAGGCCAACAATGGCCCCACATAGGCTAACTCAGCAACGTGAGCCACTGTTCCATCGAACACGCAAAAAAAATATCAATGGTCTGTGGGCGACTGTTTTCCATCAAACATGTGCATGTCATAGCGCGAGTTTGCCTCGTGCATGCAACCGGAAGTATCACCCTAGTTTTTTCTGTGTCGCTTGTGGAAACAAAGGGATCACAGGATGTAATACAGGCAGCCGTTATTTATTAAATGGCGATTTTAAACTAGCCAAATGGATATTCAGAACGATCGACGGCAACATAAAGAGAAGAATAGCACGAACAAAATTAAAACGGTCTGTTATAGAGGGTATTCCCCCCATGCCTCATGCCCGCGATCAGCTGAACGCGTATTGATGGCTGAGGTGATTGCGGGAGGCTGTAGATGCACTGACGATGAAATCGGCAGCATGTCGGATAAACCAAAGGATACCGGAGGGAAGTTGTTGTATTTTCCTCGGCAAGAAGAAAATCAATGGTTGGTAGACCGTAGTGGATGCCAACACCCACGCTGGCATCGGGTAACATCCACGCAGCTTTCTGAGACACGGGTTGGGCATAGCAGTACGGAGTTGGAACGTTCGGTTGAACTCGGTCAAAGCGCAATAGGAAGTTCCAGAACGGCGTTGTGGTGCCGCAGTGCCTCTTTGATGATTCTCGCTGCAACTCTAGTGTATAAGTTTCTAATCCGATCAAGTGTGATACGCACTTGAAAAATGAAGTGCTTGTGCATGTCCCGAGTGGACCTGGTTACGACGTTGGTGCCATCATGGGACACGATTGGAATCGGATGAGGTGAAGATCAACCACGGAACATGATCTTGTGAGTACGTCGAGGTTGTCATTTATGGTTTCTGCATTTATGCCGCACATATATTTCTCCTTGATCTTTCGGCGTCACAGTATCCTTCATAGCCGGGAAGGAAGACAACGGGCAAAAGACGTGGGGCCATCAAGCATTCTCAACTGTCATTTGGTATTTGAATTGGGATTCAATATCAGTTGGAAGTAGAAGTCAGGTAATATAACTTGATGTGCACTGCAAGACGTTGAGGAAGTATGCGTCGTCGGCCCTCGTCGTACGTGATGACATGGATAGCGGGAACTGGTCGACAGCAGTGGCTCGGATGCGATCACGTGAGTTATTTATTTGTTCGCGTCTTATTTACGCGTTGTTTTTATACACCTACACAACCAAATAAGTTCGACTTTCAGGAAGGCGGTGAAGGTAGAAGGGGCTCTTGTCTCTCTTGTGCGCGAGCTTGTCACCGTAAGTCATCTTTCGTCACTTGGGTATGTGTCTATTCTTTAGACAAGGAACCTTTTGCTTAACTGACTGCTAATGTCTGCTAGAGATTCTACTAATTCAAGGCATCGACGAGTTCAATTGTTCTCAGACGACCGTCAGGACCGCAAGACCACGACGATCTCATCAAACAAACAATCAAGTTAAATCAACATAGATCTCATAACGACACTGACCACGATTCACGACGACTCATAACGCCTTCTCATTTTCTACTTTGCTTGCTTCATCATTTCGAATTTCGACGACTTGTTTTAATACGATTACGACTGCATATAACGTTTTTCAGGACCGTTTTTCTATATCATCAATTTTACTTGCACACAAGACGACGACATGCCTTTGCAACTTCTCTCACGACCAACTGACACCATTCGCACCCGCTCACCATCACCCTTCGAAACACCTGCAACCAAGCCTGCTATCCCCACCATCCGCCTTATCGCTGCAACGCCCTCATCAGCCGATTCCTCCATTGCTCCATGGTCTGAACCCCAGCCCCCACTTGCTCTCGCGCCCAAAGCCTCGTCCTCAGATGCAACGCCTCGTAAGCGTCTCGTACCCAAGAAATCAAAGCTTGGTCTTCTTTCGTCGCGAGAGACTGATTTATCGGACGTGGTGCGCCGAGTTGGTGCCCGCGACTCGAATAAGAATGGTAGCGCAGGCATCGAAATATATGTTGACCCGATGCTTGATCCCGAGATTGGGGAGATCGTCGTAGTCAAGAAGAAGAAGAGCCGCATGGCTTTGGATGGCATGCGCTGGGGTCCCGCTCTTGGCGAGGTGACCAACATTCCACATGTGAAGGAAAAAGAAAAGAAGGAGAAGAAGAAAGACAAGGAGAATACATCGAAGGTAAAGGTGGATGAAAAGTCCGGATGGTGGACCATCGGCAAGGGGAAGAAGGATTCGAAGGAGAAAGACAGACCGAGATGTAAGCTCATGATTCACGCTCCTGCGCGTGATTAACATATTTCATCTGATAGCGCCCGCACCGCCCTCAACAAGTGAACCAACCGAGTCCCGAGCACGGTTCAATTCTCTCGACTCGGGGATTTTGCTTCACAGCCCAGTGTTCTCTGAGCACTCCAAGTCACCTGCAGAGAACCAGCACTTGCGTGTACCGACGCCGCCATCTGCGACGTTCGCATCTGGTGCTACACTTGCTCCACCAAGTACTGCCCCCCTCGGCTCAGGCAAAGATAGCGTCGCTCTCCGAGCCATGCGCTCTGTGCGCTCTCTCGCACGTATTGGCTCTTGGGCACAACTCAAGAACATCCCCGCGCCCGATGATACTCCTAAACCTACTCCTCCCGTCATTAGCGAGCCTAAGAAAAAGAAGAAAAAAAAGGATAAGAGCCAAAACAAGGAGAAAGAAAAGGCGAAAGAGAAGGACAAGGCTGCAACCGTTCGCTACTCCGGTAGCAGCTTCGAAGCAGGCGCGCTCAGCGCTAGCCCTGAAAAGAACGCCAATAGAGCAACTCTTGGCAAGAAGAAGTCCATCCTTGGGCTCGGCCTCCCCTCCACAATGCGTCTCCCCTCTATGCGCAGTGGGTCTACGGCATCGTCGATTGTAGCTGCTCAAGCACAGAGCTCGAATAAACCGTGGGTGGATTCAGCTGCCACGTTAGGGTGTGGTGTTCTGGCCAGGGCAAGGACGGGATCCACCATGACAGCGAGCAGCGCTGGCAGCGTGAGGCCTGTTTCTGTATCTTCGGGAGGGTCTTCTGGGGGTTGCTCGGTGAGGTGGGATGAGGTTGGGTTAGAAACCGTGAAGGAGGTTAGGAGGAAGGAACGCGCATTGAAGGAGAAGGATAGTATCAAGGAAAAGAAGACCAAAGGAACCCGCAAGAGCTCGGATAGCAGGAAGAGGACGCCACTCTCGGCAGTTTTCCCCGGGGAATTGTCTGACCACGAAGGTGAGGGAATGAAAGAGGAAGAGGAACCTACTGTGCCGCTCGTAACCATCGAAGAAGCAACTGTCGATGGACACAGCGACCTCGAGACACCAGTCAAGCGAGCACGTCTAAGGCCGCTAAGCGAGCAGCCTTTGGGGCGTAGCAGGCCCAAGGCTATGTACGAGGACGAAAACGGTACGTCAGGTCATGCGTACAGCCAGTCGATTATTCGCGTTGTACTGATTCGTTTATGACACAGATTGCGCAGTAATGTCCCTCCTGGACGCAGCAACAAATGATCTCGCGCAGCTCATCAACCGCCTTGATCTGCAAGCGACGCCGGATATATCACCTCTGAGTGGTCGTTCGCCATCTTTGTTGGCATCTTCCCAAGCTGGCAGCCCCACAAAACGCATGACTCTAGAAAGCCCTGTCAAACGCCTCCGCGCAAGCGCCGCGAGCGTCACGTCACTCCGCCCATATGCCAAGACAATATCCACCGCTGTAGTTCCGTCCATCGGGCAGCATATCGCACCGTGGGCAACGCTCAATGCTGGGATATCACCTGCGAAATCCCCGCAGAGGGACTCACATGCGCCAGCATCGACCTTCAGGTTCACGCACAAGCGTACAATGAGCCCTGCGCCTGCGGCAGAACCAGAGCCCGTCTTCAAAGCACTCCGCCCCGCGAAAAGCAGGGTGCCTGTCTCAGGACGCACTGTCTTTGCAGCACCTATGAGCTTACCATTCACGGGCAACGCGGATCGTTCACCATCATCACGTACGTTTGGCTCTGCACATTCAAAGGCCAGCTCTCGTGCGTCGCTGGGTACAAGCCCTGTGTTCAAGAAGGCAAGGGGACACGAGAGGAAACCATCGTCCCTTGTGCCTATAGAGCATGCGCATTTGCAATTGCGCTGCGACACCACCGATGATATTCAGAATCCGCTTGATAGCCCGGGCTTACTGATTCTCCCTGATGCACGCCGAAACCTTGGTCTCGCAGGGACGTTGGGCGGTTCCGTGGGAGCACAAGAGCTGGACGCGAGCGATCCTGACTCTGACATTCCTGACGAATTGCAGATCATTTTGTCCAACTCGGATCACGAAGCAGATGACACGTTGTCGTTCAATCCTAATCTGACGGTCGCGCATCCACCACTGCCCTCGCCCGGGCTACCGCCCGAGATGCCACTCCCTTTGCCCAAAGGCTCCGTTACTGAAGTTCCTGTGTTCCGCGCCAAAGTCATCGACGAGGACGACCACCATGCTGATGTTGAAGAAGCTGGAATGTCATCTGAGGACGATACCAAGAAATCCTTTGACTTCACGGGCGAGCTGCAGAAACTGAACGAGTGCGGTGGATCTAACAGGCTTAGTTTCGTCGAGCAGTTGGAGAACGCGTTTCGCACACCTGCCAAGATTGATTTGCGGTATGATTTTGACCTTCCACTTGATGCGCCTCCTGTGCCCAAGATCCCGTCATTGCAGGCGGAACTGGAACGCGCGGGGGATAGCACATTCAGTATGGACTATGTGTCGCAGGAGTTCTTACCTCAGGGCTTCCCGATGGATGTGGACACTGAACCGTCGCTGCTTCCTGGAACGGATAGTTTTGCCACGACAAATGACTGGGAGAGGGAGGAGGAGGAGGATTTCCTTTGCGCAGAGCGGCCTCAACTCTTGAGGAACGCTAGGTCCACGAAGTCCATGAAATCACGACCATCAGATGGACAGCTCAATAGGAACTTCAAGTTTGGCGGCAAGCCATCGCCTGCACCCTCGGGTGAAAAGAATGAGGAGCCACTCACACTATCGGATATCATCCCTCCTTTGGCTGTTGCCAAGTCCCTCTCCGCAACTTCGTTAGCTGCTGATGACTCGGCTGTTCTCCAGTCCATATTTGCAAAGGCTGTTGAAATTCCCTCACCTCCATCTCGCGTTCGCCTCGATTCAGACACTAGCTCGAAGCGCATCGGATGTTCAGCTGCTCGCACTTCAAATGTTCCAGGTCACTACAGACACTCTTCAGAACTGAGCTTTGCAGGCTTTGATTCATTCGCAGAAGTGAGAAGGGGATTCGAGTTCCATGACAATCGTCCGAATTTCTACCCTCCGCCGGGAGCCACTTCGCGTAGCGAGCACAACAAACGCGAGTCTATGTTCAGCATTGCGTCCGTCTCGTCATATGGACAGGTTATCAATCACGGGTCTACAGATCCTTTCGACTATGGGGCATTGCCACTCCCAAGCCTTCGGGAGCGTCCTTCCTCGGACGAGTTCTCTTTCACTATGTCTTCTCTTGATGATACATTCTCCTTCATCCACAAACAACCTCGCAGGAGACGCGTTGACAGCGATGCCTCCAGCTTCTACTTCCGTACCTCAATGCACTCGCAGCTGCACCCATATAATCGTATTGCTGCTCATCGTCGCCACTCGTCTGCAGTTTCCGTCTCTTCCTTAGGTCCACCGATCAGCTTATACAACCGCAACAGCTATGGACACAACCGCAGCAGTTATGGATACCGCCGCCGCAATGACTCGAGCGCTAGCACGAGCAGCGTTTCGCAACCATACGTTCATGGCGGGCGTGCCTCGTGGGCTAGGCATCGCCCCGACTTTTCTGTGGATTCCATGCTCAGCGACTTCTCGGAGATTCACCTGGGGAGGCCAGGACTGGGAGACAAGATGCTTGACTCTGCTTTGGATCGTGGAATGCCACTGACCGCTATTTCTGCATCGCCGCCTGAAAGCCCTGCCGGGAGCATCGGAAGCGAGCAGTTCCGGAGTGGTCAATACGTAAATCGCATGTCCTATGATTCGATCATGGACATGGACCATGAACATCAACCAGTGCCCAACATGGAAGACTCGCTCTTTGAGAAAACTTGCCACAGGACATCCGTTTCTTCGTCCGACTCTGCGTTCTTTGCTGTAGACTCCTCGCATGCACCGCCTCAATTCAAACGGTTATCAAGCTACAGCATTGCCAGTGTTCATAGTCCGCAGAAGGAAGATGACACCATGATCAGCGTAAGTTATTGGAATCATGCTTGTGAATTGGTTATTTACGTTTTCTCTTGCAGATGCTTGGTGGTGGCCATGTTCGACGCCGCTCCGTAGGATCCATGATCGAAGCCTCACCTTGTCGCCAAGTTGAAAAAAGGAAACACATGGCATCTGAAGCTCCCCAGCCAAATTTCCTTCGTAAGGCTGATGACTATGAATCTCCAAAGAGTCGAGTTCTTGAGACCAAGCCGTCGATTGCTTCGACTGCATATTCGGTGAAGTTTGGTGACGAGCGCATGATTAGAGCAAAGCACGGTCTTTTGGAGAGGCAGAGTTTGGAGAACACGGTGTTGATCGCAGAAGGAGAGGAAGAACTATCAACATCTTGTGAGTTGGTCGTTTGCAATGGATGTCTTTGTCTTACTGGGGTTTTAGTCCGCATCCCTGTCTTTACCCGTCCTTCTTGTGCAGGTCGTTCTCGCTCCAGCACTTGTACGTCTATGAGTTCTGGTGCTGAGACCCCTCCACTTTCAATGGATGGGTACTCCACATTCTCGGAAGGCTCGCAGTCCAGCATTGACCTCTCACATGTCAACTACATGCTTTCTGACGTTACTCACCCTCTGTCGAACGCTACCTTGGACCGAGTCCGACCACGCGCTCGTGGCCACGGTCACCAACGACGTATCTCTCAGGCTCGTGCATCACGCACGTCTATTTACGAGACCATCGAGGAGGAACTCACAACATCGCTTGCTCCCACTTCATCCCTTCAGTCGGTTCCAAGTTCTTCGACAAAGAACATCCAACTTTCTGATTCAACGACAAAGACAATTGGTCGTGCTCCCGTGTTTATTCCTGATCCCGCTGAGACTGCGTCTATGGATTCGGTGTCGTTGTGGGATGACGAGAGAGGAATCATGGCGCTACGCAAGTACTATGCGCTTCGCGATGAAGCTGAAGATACGGTGACAGAGAGCCAGCGACTCTGGCTTGACACACCATTTTCCGTCTTCGCAGTTCAATGTGAGTACTTATTACCTGTTTACTGTACTGTAATGAACGTCGTTATCAGCATTTGATCCTCCTAGTCATCCTTCCGGCATGCAAGCGCTCTTGGAACATTCAATGCAGAACTACGGGCCTTTACCTTCAGAGTTGCGCCCTCGACGCATGCGTTCTCGCGTCAACTCTCGACCTTCACCCTACCCCAGGACTTTCAAGACCTCTTTCACATCTTCTCCAGCCACCGAGCAAGTGAGGGCGGCCATTGTTGCAGCCGTCGCAGAAAACGCTCCCAATGACAATATGCGCCCCCAAGGTCATCCGAAGGCGCTGCAACAGATTTCCGTCAACCCTAACATTATGTCACCCGCGATCGAAAACACCAAGGCAGGTGAACTCATGAAGGACGCAGCAATGTCACCTGGTAAACTCGAGCGCGTGTTCGGCCTCCCACCTCGTCCCCGCGTGGGCTCGGTCGCGCGAAGAGCTGCCTTGGGTTGGGTGAAGAGGAGCACTGGCCGCAATGGTTCAGAGAATAAGGAGAATGCTAGCATCGGTAACATCTCTCTGGCAGCTGTACCTGGTAATATGTCGCAAGGCTTGGGCATGACGTAAGTGTGATATCGTATCTATGTATATACATTCCGCTGACCCGTTTCTATAGGCCATCGGAAACATTAAGACTCAACCGACCTCGTCCTAGGGGAAGGCCCACTCCCGCTTCGGTGAGGCCCATCCGTATTTGATAGGGCTGGAAAACCTGTCGTCGTTATCCTACGTTAACTCCACTATGCTATGACTGACCTATGCCATATCCTTTCTTGCTTTTCTCATACAATCAAGCTCATGGAAAACAATGACTTGCAACCGTTATTCGTATATTTTGTCTGTCACAATTGCCGGTTCCTGGTGATTGTGTCCTGTGCAGTACGTAGCGAACAGTGAATGATGTAAATTTCTCGAAATTATTATTATTGCTCATACGAGTCTCGCGAGGCCGATCTCAAGTCGACATCCACAACTGGTTTTCAGAGTACCTAAACTAAACTTCAGTATTCTCATCATTCATGTGACCTCAGGATATGTGTAATGTGCCTGAACTCTGCTTCTGGAACCCGCTCCCTCCTTCGGCAACATCAACCCTCCAACGGCTGGGATGCCTAAAGAACAAGAAACAAGTTTATGAACACCGACCGGTCGACGTTTACACCAGTTTGCAAAAGTAATGTATTGCACCATCAAGCATGGTACCCAAGCAAAACCATAAACACGACTCACTGTGTCGCCCAGGCCACCGGCTCAATTTTCAAACCGGCTATGATGTGCAGACTGAAGTTCCATTCAACTAGTAAGGTGCGCAGGTGAGTTATGTTGCACAGCAACCTGCTAGTACTCACGCCATTAGCCACACAAACCAATATAAAGCAGCATTCGTCATCTGACCCGGGGGTGCAAGGTTGACCCTGGGTCACACATGCACTGACAGACATAGATGATGTCAAAGCGACGAGGAGGAGGAGGAGGAAGGAGAAATGCATTTTCTGTGCGAGGTGATATAGAATCTTCTGAGGGGGGAATGATGTGTTTGAGGATAGGGGAACACTGTAGGGCAATGACCAGCTTTTATACCCTGCATATACTTATGAGCACGATTCTGATCGATTTGGCAGAATTGTTATTGCTATCAGATGACAGAAATTTAGGCAGAACCTGCAAGAATGTGTTCGCTTGATTACGACTATTGTATCACAACCCAATCTTTCACCCATCGCTTCATCATTTGAACCTGCAGTGGCCCTGCGCAACGACCCAGTGGAGAAGTTGCTGCTCATTCTCGCGAATCTCATCGATATTTCCGATGCTGATGAAGAACAACTGTTTCATTCTGTGACTCAACAGCCTCCAACTCGAACGCTCGCTTGAACCTCCTGGTTTTTCACTCCGATCTCTCTCCATGATTTTAAACCTCAGTTCGCCATGACCCTGCAACTGCTGCGCAGGGACAACGGAAATGATACTCATTCTTGTGTAGTAGTACGTGGTCATCCGCCACCACAGCTTTCTTCAAAGTTTCGCTCTCTATCTGATATTCACGACGATATCGATCGATTTCATCTGTGGCATACCCAGACGACCCAGTACTCCCTCGCCTCTCGGAGACCAGGAACAGTACTTGTTGACGAAGCTACTATAACGGTACCAACGTTCTTCAAAGTTCCTCTTCCTCTTCCACCGTGTCCGTGTCCCTTGCACCTCATCCAACATTCGCTCGATGAAGAGGATCACTCCCGAGTTCCCCACGCTACTCTTTGATTGAAAGTACCGTGCAGGCAGTAATATGAATCCTCTTTATCTTTGTCGCCCCCTTTTTTCACTTCCATCACAACGCGCTTTCCCGTACGACCTTGGGCTTCACGGTGCGTTCCATCTTCTTATGGCCTCCCAATATTGATCACCAACAGCAATGACTCGGATCGCTAGTCTCGACAGCCTTATGAACTCAGGCTTAGTGAGCGATGAGCAAGACCAGGCAGGGTCAATCATTTTTAGATAAATTCAGACGTCTACATTACTCGAGCAGCGGAAAATTTGTCCAAAAACTGTACTGATCGACTATGCCACTGCGAATTAGGTATTGCACCATCAAGCACGATACCAAAGCGAAAGCAGAAGTATGACACACCGATGCGATATGCCGCTCGGGCTTCCGGCTCAATTTTATCCTGGTATACAGAACTTGCTCGAAGGTTCATTACCCTGAGGCAAAGGTGTGTCATGTGGTTGAATCCCGGTTGCACAGCAACCTGCTCATACTCACCTCACAATAATAGAGCACGCAGCAATCTTGATCTGTTTTGCAAGGTTGATACTCAACACTGCATGCACTGACAAACATAGATGGTATCAAAGCAACAACAACAGCAAGGAGGGAGAGACGCATTTTGTGTGTGAGGTGATATGGAATCTTCTGAAAGAAATCCCGAATGATATCTCTGAGATGGGGAGACACTGTAGGACAATAACGAGCTTTTATATCATCATGAGCATGATTTTCGATTTGGCAGATTTGGGTTAGTTCTCTCTAAATCTCTTCGTAACGCTCTACTCTTTGCAATTCGGAAAATCTATTTGCTGCTAGACAATTGTATTCTGTGACCTGGCGTCCGCTACAGATAGTAATACAGCGCATGGAGCTTTCATTGTTCAGACAGCTCACTCATAACCAAACACCCGGTTGAAGTTGTTCTTGGTGATCAGATATGACCACGAGTACAAAATTATAAATAGGCGTACACATCCTGGTTTTTCACTCCGATCTCTCTCCATGATTTAAACCTTCGATTCGCCATGACCCTGCAACTGCTGTGCAGGGACAACGGGAATGATACTCATTCTTGTGTAGTAGTACGTGGTCAAAATCCCTAGTAGCCTACTTGTCGTAGTTACATCTGCCAGCACAGCTTCCTTTAAAGCTTTAGTTTCTATCTGACATTCAGAACGATATCGATCGAGTTAATCTGTGGCATACCCAGACGACCCTGTACTCCCTCGCCTCCCGGAGACCAGGAACAGTACTTGTTGACGAAGCTACTAGCTATAAAGGTACCGACGTTCTTCAAAGTTCCTCTTTCACTGTGTCCGTGTCCCTCATCCAAATGATTTGCTCGATGAATAGAATCAGAGGCTCCTGAGGTCCCCACGCTACTCTTTGATTGAAAGTACCGCGCAGGCAGTAATATGAATCCTCTTTATATTTATCTTTGTCGCCTCCTTTTTCACTCTCATCACAATGCGCTTTCCCGTATGACCTTGGACCTCACGGTGCGTTCCATCTTCTTACGGCCTCCCAATATTGATCATCAATGGCAATGACTCGGATCGCTACTTTCGATAGCCTCTTGAACTTAGGCTTAGTGCGCGACGAGCAAGACTAGGCAGGGTCAATCATTTTTAGATAAGTTCAGACGTCTACATTGCTCGAGTAGCAGAATATTTGTCCAAAAACTGTACTGATCGACTATGCCACTGCGAATTAGGTATTGCACCATCACCAAAGCGAAAACAGAGATATGACCCACCGACGCGATATGCCGCTCGGGCTTCCGGCTCAACTTTCACTCTGCCAGTCACCCTGCTATACAGAGATTGGTCGAAGACTGAGGCAAAGGTGTGTCATGTAGTCGAATCCTGGTTGCACAGCAACCTGCTCATACTCACCTCACAATAAAGGAGCGAGCAGCAATCATGAGTTGTTACGCAAGCTTCATACTCATTACTGCATGCACTGACAAACATAGATGCTGTCAAAGCGACAATAGCAGCAAGGAGGTAGAGACGCATTTTGTGTGTGAGATGATACTATGGAATCTTTTGAAAGAGATCTTGAATTATATATCTGAGGATGGGAGAACACTGCAGGATGACAACCAGTTTTTATATACTCATGGGCACGATTTTCGATTTGGCAGAATTGTGTCAGTTCTCTCTAAATCTCTTCGTAACGCTCCACTCTTTGCAATCCGGAAATTCCATTTGCCGCCAGACAATTGTATTCTGTGACCTGGCATTCGCTACAGATACAGCGCATGCAGCCTTCATTACTCCTGCGTAACACCAGACAGCTCACCAGTACTCATAGCCAAACACCCGGTTCTTGTTCTTGATGATATGCAATCGGTAACCACGAGTATACAATTATACGAGCTCACTTATGTATTGAATGTAGGCACTTCCTTTCGGTCCTGAGCGTGACAAAATCTTATGCGCCATATCTGTGAAGAATAATCCACTTACTCCGATCATTATACTAACTCGTTGGCCAGCCTTGATGTCACGGCCCACTTTTAGTATAGAGTACTTATAGTCATACCGCACGCTGTCCCTACTTTGAGTTTTAGCTTCAAATTGAAGGCATATCGACTGCATTTGCATTTGCAAATAAACACTACCCGATGGGAGTAGAACCTCGAAGGACTCTTCTGGGTTGCTTGTCGACTCCATCCGTAATACTCTGGCGGCCCCAAGGCTGACACCGAGAATCCAAGTTCCACTGGCTTCTATATATCCACATGCCCGAGAATCTCCCCTACGGATGATAGGTGTAGAAGATGTGTTTGTATGTTCGAGGTTGGATATGGCCCTTGCAAACGAGCTAGAATGAACGGAAGACCCGGATTCTGATTGGACCGACGGGACGCAATGCCGTCCTACAGCTCACCTCGATATAATAGTATACACGATACGTGCACAAAGGTCTAAATGAGGCAATTTTCATTCAGTAAATTGGAGCTCCTACCTCTGACCCTCGACAAAGCCGTATACAATTGACCGTGAGCAAACAGATCCTTTTGCAGGTCATGGACGGTCCGCGCTAACGTCAAACCTTGACAACCATTGAATGTAGTTGCATATGCAGGTCTGAGTGGAAATTGTCTGGGATTTACTGTCCATGACGAACGGTTTGGATGGAACGAAAAGGTGATGCGCGAGATGCAGTAGCTCTCAAACGTATAAGTTGGATTTCGATGAATTGACGATGCAGTGCAATCACGCGCACGCGCCCGTTTCTCACCAATCCCTTTTCCACCGAGAGATTTCGAACTCCAGGATGAGTTACATCGCGAGATAGTCGGGAGTGTTTCTGGTGCATTGAACTGAGTGTGCTTGGCTTCTTTGAGGCTGCCTGAACTGAAATAAGAGTCTGTGTTGCTTCGTGAATAGAGTCCATGGTCAATGTCTCTTTGCAGTACTTACAAAAATCGCCCGGTAACTTGTCTAAGATTCTGTCATTGGATTCATCGAGATTCGACGTAGACATTGAGAGGGGCAAAATGCATGCTGTAGACAGGTCTCGGCGTCCTCAAAAAGTTCTTCTTATCAATCTGATACCTGCTTCCGTTCTGAAGACCAACGGCACTATGAAATGAAACAGAAGTCGCCATGGTAGTGAACAAATGTCAAAGAACAATAAAGAAGAGACAGATCTACAAACGCGCATACGCAGCACGCAGCGGAAATTGCCTTCAGCTTACTGTCCCGGACCAATAGTTATACGCGCATCCAATAGATAGACGCCATCTTCAGCTGAGGCAGTGTTCGCACGGAATGTGACGCGGCGAACGGTCACTTGACACGAATGTCCCCAAGTTCCGGAGTAGCAATGAATCCGTCGTATGGCTAAATGTTCTTTCTGTCAATCTGATACCGACCTCCACTTTGAAGACCAACAACTCCATGAAATGAAGCGGACGTCGCCATAGTAGTGAATGAAAGAAGAGCAAATAGGAAGACCAAACTATCAACGCGCAGCGACACAGCAACGTGGTGGACACAATTGCACCCGAGCCGGCGTTATCTCGTGCTATAGGAATAGGCGTACACTCGGTTTTCACTCCGATCTCTCTTCAATGTCCATGATTTAAACCTTCAGTTCGCCATGACCCTGCAAGTGCTGCGCAGAGATAACGGAAATAATACTCATTCTTGTGTAGCAGTACGCGGTCATCTGCCACCACAGCTTCCTTTAAAGTTTTAGTCTCTATCTGACATTCAGAACGATATCGATGGAGTTCATCTGTGGCATACCCAGACGACCCTGTACTCCCTCGCCTCTCGGAGACCAGGAACAGTACTTGTTGACGAACTTCCTACTATAAAGGTACCAACGTTCTTCAAAATTCCTCTTTCACTGTGTCCGTGTGACAGTGCACATCATCCAACATTCGCTCGATGAAGATAATCACTCCTGAGGTCCCCACGCTACTCTTTGATTGAAAGTACCGTGCAGGCAGTAATACGAATCCTCTTTTCTTTATCTTTGTCACCCCCTTTTTTCACTTTCATCACAGCGTGCGTTCCCATATGATCTTGGGCTTCATGGTACTTTTATCTTCTTACAGCCTCCCAATATTGATCATCAACAGCAATGACTCGGATCGCTAGTTTCCATAGCCTCTTGAACTCAGGCTTAGTGGGCGACGAGCAAGACCAGGCAGGGTCAATCATTTTAGATAAGTCAGACGTCTACATTACTCGAGCAGCAGAAAATTTGTCCCAAAACTGTACTAATCGACTATCCCATTGCGAATTAGGTATTGTACCATCAAGCATGATGCCAAAGCGAAAGCAGAAGTATGATCTACCGCCGCGATATGCCGCTCGGGCTTCCGGCTCAATTTTCATTCTGCCAGTATTGGCTCACAGAGCTTCAAGCTAACCAAAGATTCATCCTGAGGCTAAGGTGAGCAGGTGTGTCATGTGGTTGAATCGTGGTTGCACAGCAACCTGCTCATACTCACCAAAGTGATTTCCGCACAATACCAGGGCCCGCAGCAATCATGATCTGTTTTGCAAGGTTCATACGGGTCCTTGCATGCGCTGACAAACATAGATGCCGTCAAAGCAACAACAACAGCAAGGAGGGAGAGACGCATTTTCTGTGTGAGGTAATATGAAAGAGATCTCGAATGATATCTCTGAGGATGGAGGAACACTGCACGACGACGACGAGCTTTTATATACTCATGGGCACGATTTTCGATTTGGCAGAATTGTGTTGGTTCTCTCTAAATCTCTTCGCAACGCCTCACTCTTTGCAATTCGGAAATTCAAATTTCCATCGGACTATTTTATTCTGTGACGTGGCGTCCGCTACAGATACAGTGCATGCAGCCTTCATTATTCTATTCCATCTTCTTACAGCCTCCCAATATTGACCATCAACAACAATGATTCGGATCGCTAGTTTTGATGGCCTCTTGAACTCAGGCTTAGTGGGCGACGAGCAAGACTAGGCAGGGTCAATCATTTTTAGATAAGTCAGACGTCTACATTACTGGAGCAGCAGAAAATTTGTCCAAAAACTGTACTGATCGACTATGCCACTGCGAATTAGGTATTGCACCATTAAGCATGATACCAGAGCGAAAGCAGAAATATGACCCACCGGCGCGATATGCTGCTCGGGCTGCCGGCTCAATTTTCACTCTGCCAGTCCTGGCGCACAGAGCCATTGACCCTGAAGCAAAGGTGAGCAGGTATGTCATGTGGTTGAATCCTGGTTGCACAGCAACCTGCTCATACTCACCTTAACTGGAGGATCCCAATATCCCCAACATATCCAGGGCTCGCAGCAATCTAGAGGTGTTCTGCAAGGTTCATACAGGTTCTTGCATGCGCTGACAAACATATGAGATGCTGTCAAAGCAGCAACAACAGCAAGGAGGGAGAGACGCATTTTCTGTGTAAGGTGGTATAAAATCTTCTGAAAGAGATCTTTGAGGATGGGGAAGCGCTGCAGGAGTTTATGTACTCATGAGCACGATTTTTGATTTGGCAGAATTGTGTTGGTTCTCTTCGCAAGGCCCCACTCTTAGCAATTCGGAAATTCAAATTTCCACCGGACTGTGACCTGGCGTCCGCTACAGATACAGCGCATGCAGCCTTCATTATTCCTGCATAACACCAGACAGCTCACTAGTACTCATAGCTAAACACCCGGTTCTTATTCTTGCTGATCAGATATGCAATTGGTAACCACGAGTATAAAATTATAAATATGCGTACACGTCTGCTATTTGAGACGTGCAAGGACCCTATATGCTGCTCGAGAAGTCTGCGGGACGATCCCCAACTAGATCGTTCCATCTAACAAATAAGAGACGTATCGTACTGTCAGCGCCGGCTAAGCCAAATTTCTTAATTTTGTGTTGACGTTTTAAATTACGATTATATAAGCTAGGAGCTACAACTGAATTCACAGCGTTACTCTCAAATGTTTAGGCTTACAAATTCCAGCACACCTCCTTCCAACTGTTGCATCAGCTAGAAATTCTGACGAAGAGGACGATTACGCACCGCCTCTGCCACCCGACCTTACTGCCTCCCACGCAGCTGGGCCTTCGTTGCCTTCAAAGAGCGAATCGAATACTTATACACCGCCTCCAAAACGACACTACGTAGGTCCATCATTACCTCTCTCACAAGCTCCTTACGATGATAACTCAGATTGAGATGTTGAGCCTCAACCACTTCCTACAGCTTATGCTTCACAAATAGAAGGAAAGTCGGGCGTGGAGGAGTTCTTGGAGAGGGAGGAAAGTTCAGGAAGAGACGAACAAGCTGAAAAAGCTTCAGCGGGAAGAGTAGATGCTTGTACCTCCAAAAAGTGGCGACTTGTTGGCATGTACGTTTCATTCAACATCCCGTCCTCTAACTTGTGTACTTATCGAAGTCATACGGCACTTGATCCGACGAAAGCCAGGCTTCGTCAGTTCGTACGTAGTGCTCCACCATCGCGTGACACTTCCCTTTGGACAGAGACGCCAGCGGAAAGATAGCAACGTCTTGCTACGAAGTTGCTGGAAGGAAACGACGTGCAGCAAATACACCACCAGAGGAGGACTCGCGTGCCACAGCAAAGCGAGGGCGACGGGATGAAGATATTTGCAGGGGAGTTGAGGAGCACACAGTACGTGTCCTTTGACTGTTCGTCGATTTTAAATGGAACTTGACGCGTGATTTGTTAGCGCAAGGCTCGTGGTTCAGCCCTTATAGAGTTGCATCTAGAGCGAGAAAGGAGGAAGAGAAGCACAAGCAGAGTGAACCCACCGTTTCCTGGGAATGATGTCTCTAGGTGGACGGCCTATGGACGATCAACAGAGGCAGAAGATGCTTCGGGATGCCAAAGGACTCGCAGGGCGTTTCGGTAGTGGGTGCAGTAGAAGTTTTCTGTAAGCTTCTGACACTGCTAGAGACGTTGGAACCCCATTGAGTCTTTGTCGCGGACCGTTGCATCTCGTAAGTTCTACCGTATTTTTTATTCGCAGTATATTTTTCTTGTATGATGTCTTATGTTGATATCTATATACAGCGCTCGCTCTTGCTATGAAGACATCTGCAATCTCGTCTGGTACAATCGTTGCATCAAAATCATCAACCCGAGTGTCAGAGCAATGCGCTGTTGTGTTCCAGGCGAGGGTTCGAGAAGCTGAGCCCATACGCATGATGCCACCATCATTCGGGCATCTTAAATTTCTTCTCCATTGCAAGCTCTGCCTTGTGGTCCGATTATTTATGTAAGTATATCTATCTATCTTTCCCTTCGCTGTCTCGTCTGTCTGTCTGTCTGTCTGTCTTACTTCCGTGATTTTTTGTTCGTAAAACTGAATCATCTACATCAATATTGTTCAAGCAGCACGAAAATTCGTTTAAAAATAAGTGTACTGATTGACTGTGTCACTGCGACCTGGGTATTGCACGATCAAGCATGATACCACAGCGAAAGCAGAAGTATGACCCACCGACGCGATATGCCGCTCGGGCTTCCGGCTCAATTCTCACTCTGCCAGTCCTGCCACACAGAGCTTATGGGAAAAATCATCCTGAGGCTAAGGTGAGCAGGTGTGTCATGTGGTTGAATTCTGGTTGCACAGCAACCTGCTCATACTCACCCCACGATACCAACATATCCAGGGCTCGCAGCAATCTAGATCTGTTTTGCAAGGTTCATACTGGTTGTGGCATGCGCTGACAAACATAGATGCTGTCGAAGCAACAACAACAGCAAGGAGGGAGAGACGCATTTTGTGTGTGAGGTGATATGGAATCTTCTGAAAGAGATCTCGAATGATATCTCTGAGGATGGGAGAACACTGCAGGACGACGACCAGCTTTTATACACTCATGGGCACGATTTTTGATGTGTTGGTTCTCTAAATCTCTTCGCAACGCTTCAATTCGGAAATTCAAATTTCTCTATTTGTTGCCACGACTATTTTATTTTGTGACCTGGCGTCCGCTACAGACACAGCGCATGTAGCCTCCGTGACACCAGACAGCTCACTCATAACCAAACACTCGGTTCTCGTTCTTAATGATCAGGTATTCAATTGGTATCCACACATCTCAATAAAATCATAAATAGGCGTACATGTCTGCTATTTGAGACGCGGAAGCTGTTCCAGCAGTCTCCGGGACGATCCTTAACTGGATCGATTCGTTCCGCGGTAATCTGTTAGCTAAGCTAATTTCTTAATTAACGGCACGATTATATAAGCTATGCGAACAAACTTTGGCACCACTATTATTCAAATCGGCACCACCACTTATTACGAAGGAGCATTCTTTGTTTATCTTTGAAATCAGTTCGTTTAGGTATGATATAATGTTCTATCGCGTGTTTCGAGCTTGCATTTAATTGCATACAATAACCAGTACTTGGGGAACGCAGGCGGACTTATGTGGATGAGACATCGCCGACATGACTCAGATGACAGGTGACTACTAGTTGACTGTCAAGGGGCAGCGCCCATCATGTTGTTTAATGCCTTTTAGTTTGATGCCCAAGATCAAGGACATCACATCATTGCCTCAATATCATGCAGACTGCCCTAGTAGGAGACATTTGTTCCTTTATTTCATCGTGTGATCGTTAGTACGCAGGTTTTTGGCTCGGAGGTCTATTAGCCACGACATCCACTGGTCCTCTATATAGATTAGATCACTTATCTAATCCGCATGCGGGACATGCCATTCCAGCTACCTTCAAATCGATAGGCCAGAATCCATTTTTGTTCGTGGAGCTGGCCAAACAAAAGGGTCCCGCCTATTACGATATACCCCAGAATGGTACTGGACTGCGCAACTTCTATGATATGGTATGTGGTTCGTCTGACGCTGTGTCTGATACCCTCCTGAGCTCACTGCTGGTAATACCGGTATGACTATTTATCACCAACTCATCATGGTATGTTTAACATTGTCTCTGTTACTTCGGATCATGCCGGCATGAGCTCAGCATTAGTACTTGCATGCTCCACTCGAGCAGGGCTAGCAACCGGCCTTGGATGACATTTGGGCAGACATAGTGACACATTATTGTTTTATGGCTGCTGGAATGTGACGGCCGTTTATCGATTTGAAGGTAGCTGTCAAAATTCGATTCTATGGGCGCTCCGTAGCAGATTCGGACCGGTAGGTCTCATTCCATTCTTCATCGCTTACGACACTAACTGGACTTCATTCTTTACGGAATGTAGGTATTAGCATACACTTTCGCTGCCTACGTAGGTCTCCGCATCAACTGCACTAATCAGTCAACTGTCAGAGTCACTGATCAGCTCCGCGCAAGGTGGCACTATCTGCGTGCCCGTTGTATGTATAAATGCAGCTGGTCACGCCTGACCTCTCGCTGCTCTCTGATCTACTCCAACAATGAGCTCTGTTGAATACCACTATCCCGTGATCGGCCGCAAGGGCACTGGAGGCATATTCGATCGCTTACCTATCCAGACGCTGGAGAAGGACCATCCCTACCAATTCGCATTATTCATCCTTGCTTTCAATACGATCCAGCAGCGTTCCGATACTCTCAAAGTTGTGCAAGAGCCTGCAGCTACCTTCATGGAAATTGCGTCAATTCACGGCAAGCCCTATGTTGAATGGGCTGGCGACCGCAACAAGGACATCTCAGCTGACTATAGCGCCACTGACAAGAAAGATACTAATCCTGTTCCTTCTAGATTTGGAGGTATGGCGGTCGTTTCTACCCTTGTTTCCCATAGCCTGACAATATTGTGTGACAGGTTATTGCAAGTAAGTTGACATACATTTCTCTCGCTCCTTTGATTTGAAACCGCTCTTCAGCCATGGCGCTGTTGTGTTTCCCACCTGGCATCGCCCATATGTTATGCTTATTGAGGTATGTTCAATAGATCATCATGCCTGATGCGTTGTTCAATTCAGTTATATTGCATTACAGCAATCGATTGGGAACATTGCTGAAAAAATTGGCCCACGACATCGAAGCTGATAACCCGAATGAAAATGGAATATGGATTAAAGCTGCAAAGGAACTGCGTTTTCCGTACGTGCGAAGTCATTCCCGACGCTGATATAGCCATTTACATTGCGCGTAGATACTGGGACTGGGCCGGTAAGGATGTACCCGAGAATGGCCTTCCTCCTGTTCTGTACGAAGAAAAAGTCGAAATCATGGCTGCTGGAGGTGAAAAGCAAATCGTTGATAATCCGCTCTCATTTTTCTCCTATGTCGGCGGAGTTCCATTCGACTTTAGCGACGAGAAGGATGACTCGGTAACGTTGCCTTTTCCTTTCCGAACCACTGATCTTGCTGAAATGTGGTCTGTAGACAGGACAAGTGGCGTATTTCTCCAGGTGGCAAAGGACATACCGCCACGCTTCTAGTACACCAGATCCTGAGGGTAGCTGTATAGACTTGTTGCAAAAGTGAGTATCTACGAAGACATGTTGCGCGAGGCTGGTGATGATTTTGCATCTGTAAGGACATTCAAAGCCGGAGCAAATGATCTAAGACGCAGAGTCGCCCAACTCTTTACGTTCAGCAATGACGAAAATTCGGCGATAGCGTACGTCTTGGTTTATGTCAGTATTGTATATATATTGATAAATATGCTGACAGCTGGGACGAGTTCTCTAATCATACCGCGGAATCGAAGAGAGAGAGAGATTTCATCAACCATGGGTCGCTTGAAGGTGTGCACGACACTGTTCATTTATCGCTCGTGGGTGGAATACATTCGTTTCAACTTTGACGTATGCTTACTCCAGCGATGAGTTAGGGTGGGAATGGACACATGGTTAGTTACTTGCGTGCGAGTGAAGCTTGTTGATCTATATTAACCAAATTTGCAGAGCTACCCAGACTACGTGAGCAATTCCTTCTGACCCTCTGCAATGATTTTGGTGCTCATCTTACATAGGCCGGTTTCGATCCTATCTTTTTCCGTGAGTGAACAGGTGCAAATTACCCGTCTCCATTACTGACGTGGTTTCCTTCAGTTCACCATTCAAATGTGGACAGACTATGTATGTATGATTTCGTTTAAGGGTATTGTTCTGTTATTGAATCCCCCAAGTTGCTCTATGGGAGTGGTGCTACCCCGAATACTGGATGGGAAGCGGATATGAACGCGATGGGGAACAGTACCCTTGGACACAGGTATGGCTTGGACGATGCTCACGCACATATATTCATTGGTTATCTTTTAGGCACGTGGTACGTATGCGCAAGTTTACAACGAACAACTCCTTTCAGACGGGCCGCTCCAACCATTCCGAACGGAACAAGGAGACTACTGGACCTCTTCTCAGGCCCGATTTCTGCATGACCAAAGCTACCCCAAGTGTACGTAGCAACCTTATGTATTGGATAACATAAATTTACTTCGAATAGATTATTCATTTCCGGAGTTCGAAGGAATTAAGGTCGATCAAGCTGCCACGTCATTTCAAGAGCGTGCCTCGGCGCGCAAAAGGGTGCAAGCCTACTATGGTTTTGATCCGCAAACCAAGGCGAAACAAGTGGGCTTGCACGCTTGGAAGCACCTACCTGTTCCAAACAAGGAAGATCCTGCCGTGCCAAGCGATCATACCATTATTCCCTACTACCGCACATTCGCTGTACATGTGAAACTTCTGGAGCATGCATACAACCGCTCCTATTCATTCCAACTTCACCATAAAGGGAATGCTCATTCGAGTCCGCAGCTCGTAGGTACCATTTCCGTCTTTGCACGACCAGACCATTCTCCTTGTAAAGCGTGTGCTGTGCGTCGTGAGGCGGGATCCGTAGTTCGCGGAATGATTCCAATTCCTCCCGAATTGATCGAGAGCATCATCAAATCAAACAGAGGTGGAGAATATTCGTTCGACCAGACCCTCACTCACATCAAGGGGGAGTTCGTTGGAAGGCTTGTGGATGCTACTGGCTCAGAGCTTGCCGGGGCTGAGGGAGGGCTGGAGGTGACCCAGGTACCACAACACTGTGCTGCTTCTCGCACAGTTATTCCCATAGAAATTTCTCTGGTGTCGGCCGCTGTTGCTGAGCACGTAGAGGACAAGAATCGTCCTGTTCATTTATGTGACTGGCAGCACCACGACAGTATCTTTAACGTAAGGGTATTGTTCTTTATTCTGGCAATTCGCTGAACATGATTTTTGACAGGGTGGCTGGCTGGCGACTCACAAGGATTCGGTGTGATGCGGCGCGCTTGGATGTCGAACTACTTGGTTTTGATAATCTAGCCAATTCGCAAAGAATTTGATACATGATTTACTTATCAGAATTCTTTCTTCCCTTCATTTGGTCTTGAGCAGCGATAAATTTCGACTCAGGTAGAAGAAAGTGCGTGAGGCAGATCAAGAGGATAGGCAGAAGTAAGAAGTTACAAGTCGAGTGCAAAAAAAAAAAAAAAAACGAAACGCCAGGGTAGAATGATAAGTCAAAAGTATGTACTGCCGTGATTCACTACTTTGAGGGAAGGAATAAGGGAAACATATTCCGCTCGCTGCGCATCTGTTATCGTCAGATTCGTCACTTGACCGCCGATAGTCAGGGTCTCCAGGGGCCACTTTAACCGTGCCAACAATGCCTTCACATCCTCATGAGACCAAGAAGATGCATTGCGGCTATTGCGGCGAGCTTCAAGCGCGTGCAAATTGGGGAGTGATAGAGCATTGAACAGGTCAGATAAAGGGCGCGTGAGCAAAGGGTCATGAACTTGAAGGATGCATAAGGATTGTAATTTTGTGTGCGTGAATGATTCCATGGGTTCTCTTTGGTCAAATCCTACGTGGGCATTTAAGGAAGAGAGGTTGGGACATAGCTGAAGCAAATGGAGTAATGCGTTCGGGTGACATACGGCGATCTGGACATCCGTCAAGTAAGCCCATACGGGGCTGACAGAAGACAAGGGCAAGGGCTCGATGTCGAAAAACGGTCCCATGGGAATGAACTTGAGACTGCGCATAGTGGACGGCAGTCGCGAGATGGATTGTGCAATAGTTGGAATATCATGATCTATCATCCCTAGTATGGTCAGCTCCTGAAGTGCTGGGAGGTCTGTAGCAAACAGCTGAGGGCTTCTACCCCGGAAGTAATCGCTAGAGACTCGAAGAAATTTTATACGACTCATATGAGGCTGAAGAAGGCTTCGTAGCTTGGTCGAGTAGTGGTACCCGAATTCTAACGAGAGCGGACGTCCTCGTGAACGCTTGAGCCACAAGTCATAGCAGAAAGCTGCCTGCTCCCAGCCTCTGTCGTCGGCTTGCACATACATCCTGCACCATAAATCGGGTGTACCCACAGCAACCTCCCTCCATCGTTGGCATATCCGTGTTAACAGCATGGGGGCTCTGAGGTTTGATGGGGGCCACAATTTAGTTTCGGGGAGACAGTGGTTAAATATTTGGGATAGGACTTCTGTTGGCAGTCGCCAGAGAACCGATAGGAGTCCCTTGTGCAAATTCATCGACTGCATAATCTTCTCCTTCTTTTCGACGACTTGCTGATAAAGATTTTTGACGCTATCCATCACGGCCTGTAGATCTGAGATCTCGTCCACAACTGCATCCAATTGCTGCCGGCGCTCAGCGATGATGCTGACAACGTTATCTATCGCGGCCTCCAGGGCCGAGAGCTCGTACAGAACTGTATCCAATTGCTGCTGGCGCTGAGCGATAATGTTGACAACGCTCTGGCGTTCGAGCTCGACGGTAGAGTGGTCTGTATTGGGGAATTTGGAGTATGGAGTTTCAAAGACTGGAATCTAGTTATCGTCAGCAACATGACATGTGATATGTCGAAATAGACCAAGGAGCAGACGTACAATCACTTGCGAGCGTGCGAGCTGGAATGGATGATTGTTATTCTCGGCTGACACGAATTCTAATTCAAGAAACTTGGCACTTACGTTGGTTTGTAGTGCACTGATGCATATCTGAAACAGAGCCAGAGATATTGAATTCTGAGTGGGGTGTCTGCATGTTGTTCGCAAAGGCGAGAAGCAAAGCTGCAATAGGCTAGAATACGAGGGAACCCAGCAAGTGAAACAAATGCTATAAGATTGAGTGGTAGAGCAGATTAGGAGAGGCCATCACGAGATGCACAGTATGTGTCCTTTGAAAGTTTGACTGTTCGTCGATCGGGATGTCAAATTTTTATATAATCACAGCGTACCGGTAGCGGGCGCAGTGGAAGTTTTCTGTAAACCTCATCGAGTCTTTGTCGCGGACCGTTGCATCTCGTAAGTTCTGCCGTCTTTCTTATTCACGGTATATTTATCTTGTATAATGTGTCTTATGTCGACATCTATATACAGCGCTCGCTCTTGCTACGAAGACCTTTGCAATTTCGTCTGGTACAATCGTTGCATCAAAATCATCAACCCAAGTGTTGGAGCAATGCGCTATTGGGTTCCAGGCGAGGGTTCGAGAAGCTCAGCCAAGACGCATGATGCCACCATCACTCAGGCATCTTACATAAATTTCTTCTCCATTGCAGGCTCTGCCTTGTGGTCGGGTTATTTATGTAAGTATATCTGTCTATCTTTTCCTTTCACCGTCTTGTCTGTCTGTCTTCCTTCTGTGATTCAATGGTAAAATTCATCTGGATCATATTGCTCGAGCAACACGAAAATTCGTTCAAAAACAATTGTACTGATTGGCTGTGTCACCGCCAACTGGATATTGCACCATCAATCATGATACCAAAGCGAAAGCAGAAAATGACCCACTGACGTGACATCCCGCTCGGGCTACCGACTATTTCCACTCTGTCAGTCCTGGCATGCATGTATGCTAAGGCGAGTAGGTGAGTGATTGGATCCTGGTTGCACGGCGACCTGCTCATACTCACCCCAACCTGATCACAAATCAAGGAGTCGCAGCAATCTGATGATAGTTTGCAATAGCCAGACTCTGTCGTACATGCACCAACAAACATAGATGTTGTCAAAGAGACAACAACAGCAAGGAGGGAGAGACGCATTTATGTGTGAGATGATATGGAGTCTTCTGAGAGAGATCTCGAATGATGCTTCTGAGGATAGGGAAACACTGTAGGACGACAACCAGCTTTTATATCCTGCACACTGTGACACACTTATGCATCAGCGGGTCAGATCGTGCTACAGAGTGCTACGAAGCACTCTGTAATCATGGGGGACGATTCTCGATTTGGCAGACTTGTGCGCATACATTGAACCGTTTCTCGGCGAATCTGCTCCACTCTTTGCAATTCGGATATTCAAAATTCTCTGTTTGCTGCTGAACTATTTTATTCTGTGACCTGGCATCTACTACAGACGCAACGCATGTAGCCTTCGTAACACCAGACAGCTCACTAATAACCAAACACTCGGTTCTTGTTCTTGATGATCAGGTATTCGATACTCAATTAGTATCCACACATCTAAAAAAACGAGTATAGAATCATAAATAGGCGTACACGTCTGCTATTTGAGACGCGCAAGGTAAGCTGTTCCAGCAGTCTCCGGGACGATCCTTAACTGGATCGTTCCATCTAAAACAATAACAAGCTTCTACTCACAGAACTTCCCTGTTGTATGTACAAATCGTAAAAGGAAAAACTAAATTACATAAAAGAGGCATTGTTGACTAGAATCCTGATGAAGTTTTCACAGCGCACAACAGATCCCCTGATATTCAAACTTGGCTTTTTCCTTCGTCTGAAATGTCAATGGTCAGCAGGTTCAATTCTTAGACTGAACCAACGGAGTTACTGAGTGATAACACAGGCATCGCGTTTCTTCTCCCTGATGCCGAGTATATTTACCTACACTCAGGCTATCGCCGAGAGCTCAGACATTCCGTGAGTCTGGGAGAGTTCCTTCAATGTCATTGCTTAAGATGGACTAGAAAGTTGCCTCCATCGTTGGTACCACGTATTCGGCAGCAGGAATTGACATCCCTTATCGAAGAGCTTATCGATTGCAATCGGCCACATTCCTGTATCACTTGTACAGGTGGCCATGGGATTGGAAAGTCGGTGCTCGTCCTCCAAGCAATCCACGACCCATCTGTTTCCGCCACCTTTCGTCATCGTTGCTGGATCAATTGTCGTGCCCTCACCAACACATCAAACTTTCTTGAAATTTTGGCCAAGGAGATGGGCGTTCCTTGTACTGAGTTTTCCCCATCTGCGGGCGAAGTCCAGTTAGAGACACTAGTCGCTGCGATCCGACGGCTTTCTGTCGTACGTCGGGTTATCGTGCTCGATGATTTGGACCGCCTTTACGCCCTCGATAAATCATTCACAGATGCGGTCATCAAGTCACTCTCAAGCATTGATAAGCTCGTCCTTGTTTTGACTATCATTGGATGGACGTCCGATCCGCCCCACGAGATAGAGTATTTCTTGCAGCTGAAACCACTCTCTCCAGAGATGGCACGATATCTTTTCCAATCAGTTTACCCAGTTCCCCTCCAGCGAGACGCGCTGGACAAATTATTGGCACGTGTTAGGGGGATACCCCAATACATCATGATCCTTGCCGATCTCGTATACTGGAGTCGGCTTCAGCTCAAGGAGTTGGTCCGGATTGTTGACGACCCACAAAGCAATCTTTTGGGGATGCGAACTAATCATGATGTCAAATCTTTGGAAGAATCTATTCGTGCATATCCGCCAGAGGACAGGCTTGATCACCATGCACTCTATGTATTCCGTTTCCTTGCCTCGCTCCCCGGAGGCATATCACAAACCCAATTGCAGACACTGGTCGGATTACCTGTGGATACATTCGCCTCGGCTTGTAAACAGATATCAGCCTTAGCCTACTTGGACAGCGAGCCTGGTGACCATCTCATCCTATCAAGACCCCTCCGAGAATACGCCACCCGTACTTCTACATTAGATCCCCAAACCCAAGATATCTTCCTTAAACAGCTCATTGCGCTTATCGAAACAAAGGGAAGTCTTTGTCCAGGGACGCTCGACTTCCCTCAAAAGGTTCAGCAGTTCACGGCACAGAAGATCAATATTGAGAATATTCTCTTCACCTTCCTCGACATCGACTCCCCCATTGCGGTCGAAGCTGCCTTACATTTTTTGAAGCCGCGATGTGCAATGAAGCCCTCTTTGAAACTGGCGGCCAAGGTTGTGGAAGTTGCAGAGAGGAAAACAATGCATCTCCTTCCTTACGCCCTCCAAACCTTGGGGGAAGCACAATACAACCATAAGTTTGTAGGGGCTGCTGTACCACTTGCGAAAGCAGAGGCCCTCTTCAGCACCTCCAAGGACGATGCTAGTGTTGTAGGTGAGATGGAATGCCGTGTTCTCCAGGCAGAGTATGCTGCTCGTGGGAATGTAAATGGGACTGAGAAAGAGTGGAAACAAGCGGCAGAGTACGCACTCATGCGCTTGTCAACTTTGAGCAGCGAAATTGGAAAGCGGGGCTATGCGCACAGTCTCCTGACACTTGCTCGATTGTCGGAAGGCGAAGAACGAAATCTACTGGTCGCGAAAGCTCATACTCTCTTCAAGGATTTGGAAGATGGATACGGGCTGATCCTTTGTGACTTCTATTCTGGAGCATCAGTGCAGTCGGTGGTTAACTTGACCCTTAAATTCGAGGTCTTCATGGACTTTAAAATGGCAGCGACATGCTATACGACTGCATTTCACTGCGTCATTCCGGGTGTAGAATATATCAAGGTCAATGGGATCAGGGAATTGATCCTCGAGAAAGTCACCTGTCTACCCCAATTCCTCGATTGGCTGAAGAAAGCCATTGACCTTTATGAGCTTCTGGGACGGGATCTTGACGTTGCATTCTGCCAATACCATCTCGCCCAGCTTCTTCCACCTGCCCAGGCCATCGACCTATATTTCCAAGCCATTTACAAGTTCGCTCGCTCCGACTTTACCCATCACCGCGAGCGCAGCACTCTCGACCAGTGCTACTCGCTGGTAGAGGCGAAGGAGTACTCCGCAGCCGTCCCAATCCTTGAAATGCTGGAATATGAGATAGAATACTGTGGCAAGATCTTTCAGCTACGCTGTAAAGAGTTGCTTGTCGAGTGCCACTGCCGGTTGAATGCGAGGGGCCCGGCTCTTCAGGCTGTAAGAGAAACTATCAAGACCATGGAGGAGCTCGAGGCAAGTCCAGGACTGCAGAAGTACAAGCAGCTATTGATCACTCTGGATGGTACAAACACCCTGCCCTCGATTGCTCTCTGTGAAATTGTGCATGAGGGGCACGCTAGGCTTGTGGAAGTGGAGACGAACGTTTAAGGCTCAGAGTTTGCATCTAGTCATCGGTGTTGCCCGCTCAGTTGAATTGTTCGATACAGTCCAGTGTACGTACATGGCCAGAGCTTCGTACACCGCCAACTTGCCTACACCTGTTAGAACATCAGATTTTGTACATACGAATTCCCATGTGACTCCCATGTCGAAATCGCTCTAATGGCATATGGATCCAGGTATTTATGTAATGAGACCGTTTCAGTAACACTGGGATGTTTCGGATCCATGCGAGTAGATGGAGTGTTGAGTATCCTGTTATGACTCCGAGCTAGCTCGCTTGCCAGACTTGCCTCGAAAAAAAGTCCGAACACCTCACGGCATTCACGGGGTTCAAAGACCTAGGACACTCCCGGGATCTTCGCTTCAGCTCGCTTTAAGGAACAGTTGACGGCATCGCCTACGTGGATATACACCTTAATATAGGCAAGTCTGGCAACCAAGCTAGCTCGGAGTCATAACAGGGTGCGAGTAGATGATGTTGAATGGCACAGCCCTTCGGTTACAGCAAGTCGTGTCCCTGCTGATCGCTACACACAATCCTCTTCTTCCTCTCCTGGGTCGTTAGAATGGACCAGGCAGACCTCTCTCAATTACGCACTGAATTCATAAAGTTGGCCAATGACCTGGCCAGCTCCCGGCTGCGCGGAATCGACTTGGAAGATTTGAAGCTTCCAGAGGACTCTGAACTTGAACTTCGCCTCAAAAAAAGAGATAAATTCATGGCAAAAGTCAAGGCGTTCTTGGGCAGTTGCGATGGATTCTTGCAGCCTCTCGCAGGCATGAGTCCGATCGCAGCTCCCTTGTATGGTGGCCTGAAGTGTATCGTCACAGTGAGCTGGTCCTTGGATAGCACGCCTACATCTAGACACCACGTCCACAGATAGCTGCTGCCAAAGCGGAGATCCTAGACAATAGCGTCTATATTAATCCACATGGATCATGACTGATTCCGGTGTCACAGAGGTTATTTACGGTTTAAACGACGTCTTGGATGGTCTCCCCCTAATCATCCGATCCGAGCGGACGACAAACCTTTCCGAGCAACGTCACGCAATCATCTCGGCTTTCAAGGCATTTATCGCCTTCATGCAAATTCTGAGGGACTATATAGGCGGTGAGTACTTGGGTGTCATTGTCCTATCGAGGCTTTATTGAACCTCGAGTCTAGAAAAACACGAGTCAGTTATAACAAAGTGTATGTTTTTTTCTCAGTTTTATACGTGAACATGTGGCTAAGCAAAGACTTGGGTAGTCAAGAGGATTGCCAAGTCTCCGAATATACCGGGCAAGCTTCGGACTGCAAGAGAAGAGATGCGAGCGGCCCTTCATTCGGCACACTTCGGAACTTTCGTCGCTTATGTGGAGAATGAGCAACGATGGTATATTTGTAAGTAAAATTATTCCTTCAGGTATCTCCAATAATGATTGCCATTTTTCTTCCTTCCGTCTTTGATAGCGGAGCGAATATGAATCGTGAAACTCCTCCTTCATTGCACAAATTACAAAAATCACCTTGAGCTGTATCTGAATAAATCACGGTGCATTGAAAATCCCTGCACCTGGAGCAAATCCCACCCATCTATTGTAAATTGGCTATCAATGGAAACGTCTCCGAAGTTGTTTATTTCGGGAAAGCCAGGCACAGGAAAATCTGTCTTGGCAGCTCACGTGATTGACACAATTCAGAAGAAGGAGGAGGATGCTGGTCACCGTGGAGTATTGCTTTACTACTTCTGTGGAGCGGATCCCGCAGCAGATCAGTATTCCGATGTACGACAAGAGGCTTCGTCAAAAGCAATCCTCATGACTTTATTGCGGCAAATTGTGTCGGCATGCCATCACAGCATAGCGGGTTTTGGCGAGGTGCTGGAGTATGTGGACTATGAGCGCAACGAGCTTTCAGAGAAGGGGCTGCGGACACGGATTGCAAATTTACTGGAGTCGTTCGACACGGTCAGGTACGCATGCTGTCGCCCTTATTGCTTACTCTTGCTTACTTCGTCTTTGAAGGATCATCATTGACGCCGTAGATTGTTGCGAAAACCGTGCATTTCAGCAGGACGGATTGATCCCATGGATACTTAACAACATGCCTGCGCATGCGTATATCCTTCTTACCGCATGCCGAAATCCGTACGTGACCAGTTTGCTCGATGGGCTGCCCACGATAGCTATGGGAAGTGACAGCACTACACAATCCGATCTTGAGGCGTACGCGCGTCACGTCACTCAACTTTACATAGGGGAGGCTATACTGTCATAATTATTGATACAAAGTCAGGCATTGTAGAACAACAGTTATGCATACTCACCTAGGATCCCCACCCCCCATAGAGTATGCATACAGGGGAGAATCCCTCGAGGAAGCATACAGATGCGGAAGCCTGCCTTCTGGCACTTCTCGGGCGTCTCCGTATGCCCTAATTAGGATATACCAAACTGTTGCTCTAAAAATACAATCGGTTGGAACTTCTCGGGCATCTCCGTGTGCCCTAATCAGGATATACCAATCTGTTGCTCTAAAAATACAATCAGTTGGAACTTCTCGGGAGTCTCCGTGTGCCCTATGATGGCTGGAACTTCTCGGACGTCTCCGTGTGCCCTAATTAGGACATACCAAAACTGTCTCTCTAAAAATACAATCAGCATGGTGGTTCTCTGGGTTCTTTTCCCATTTTACGTGATCAGCAGGTCCCAAACAGGACGGCGGCATAGCTGCATGTGTTTGTTTTGACTTTGCAAGTATGAATGAACCAATATCACGTGATGTGTCAGTGAACTTGAAATTCACACCAAGTCTCGCGGATGAACCAATATCGCGTGATGTTCAGCGAACTTGAAATTCACACGAAGTCTCTCGGTTTTGACTTTGCCAATGAAATTCACACCAAGTCTCGTGGTTTTGACTTTGCCAATGAAATTCACACCAAGTCTCGCAGTTTTGACTTTGCGAAGTATGAATGAATGAATATCACGTGATGTCAGCAAACTTGGATTTCACCCCAAGTCTCCCGAAAATTTACACTAAGTCTCGCGAGTGACTTTGACGAGCCTGGGTATTCAATGGAGCAAGAAAACAATGTGTATTTTGAGGGACATTATATAAACATGTGAATAAGGTGAGTACTACGCCAGTGTCATGCCATGAAGACTGCGCGCCACAAACAAAAAGGACAAGAAATCGATCAGCAGATAAAATTTGGTATCCGCTGCTCAAGGAGCTGACTTGCGTGGCCTGGATCAAGACGTTATAGTCCGAATCAACAAGCAAAAAAATAAACTTACTTTCGTGCCCTTTTGTGAGTGCCAATGCTATTGGCTTCTGCTAGACGTGTTGACGGCACATGTGTGCGACTGCTGCGTCGCACAGACTGATTCGGTATGTCCTCAAGAGGCATCCTCATACGTGGCGAGGATGTGATAGGTGCTGGTACCTGAGAAGCCTTGGAAGCAGGAGACGTAGTCTTGGTAGGCGCGGCAGGAAGAGATGGTGTTGCAGGCGTGGTCAGCGCAGGTGTTGCAGGCGTGGTCAGTGCAGCAGGAAGAGATGAAGTCATAGACGTGGTCAGCGCAGTAGGAAGAGATGAAGTCGCAGGAGACGTAGTTAGCATGGCAGGAAGAGGAGATGGAGTCACAGGCTCCAGCAGCTGCGCAGCAGTAGGCGAAGAAGCCATGGCAGAGGGAAAGGAGGTAGTAGGGGGCAAATCAAATGCCGCCGGAAGTGGCGGAGGTATGACTTCTGCCAGAGAAGGAGTTTGGGTGGCCCGAGAAGGCACGGGAGATGACGGGGGAGAATCACCAAACCTGTCGTACATAGATTTTGATTTCCCCTTATATGGCCGAGGACGAGGACGACGAGGACGATTCACACTGCCTGATCCAAGACGAGCCATAGCGCTACGAAGACGGGGAGGAGTAAGTTGGCCGGGATAAGGAGGCAGCGTTGGGAGTGACATTTGCCACGAGTCGACATGCTCTTCTGGTCCGATTGTGTAAAGCGTGTCATCAGACATCATAGGAGGCTCAATTGAGGCTCCCATGCTACCCTCATAGAGCGTGTTGTCGGACATCATAAGCGGCTCTAGGAGCGTGTCGTCGGACATCATAAGCGGCTCTAGCGATGCGCCAAGGAATCCCAGGGAGTTGTCGAATGACTCATCTTGGCGGATCTCGTCGGGAAGCACGTTAGCCGCTGGCAGAGTAAGGTCAGGCGAGGTAGCGACTGTGGAGGAAGCGTGGGTAGCCACTGGCAGAGTAAGGTCAGGCGAGGTAGCAACTGTGGAGGAAGCGTGGGTAGCCGCTGGCAGAGTAAAATCAGGCGAGGTAGCGAAGGCGCCCTTGAGGAACATGGTGAACGGTTCGACGAGACGCGAGTGATGGTCTGGGAGTGCTTCACGGAAGGTGAGGCCAGTAGACCCCTTCCCGTGGTGAAAGCTGTGAAGAATATTGTCAGTATCGATGCGGTAGGCATGCTGTGTGTCCCTACCTGAAAACGCGAACATCTCCGGCCACACGTGGGTCTGGTCCTCCAAGGTAAATACTTCCATACCAGCCAGTAGTTTCTTGAATAGTCTGTAGAAGTTGCCCGACTACGGCACTGAGGCCTTCGATGTACCTGCATGAACATGAACTTCAATATAATAGCATGTTTTGGGAATGTACTTACTGCATACGCGCCGACTCATCAGGATTGTGTAGTGCCTCCAGTTCAGCCTTCGCCTTCTCAGCACGGCGCTCACACTCCATCTTCGCCTCCCACTCCATTTTCTTCACGTATTCTTGTCCACGAGCACTCATTGCCTTGGCAGCTTCCACGCGAAGTCCGGACATGCGATTCTGTCGGGTGTATTCACCATTCTTCAAGTGAGCCTGGATGTCTTCCTTGACCGAGGACCCAGACTGATATTCAGTATGAATGAAGTGTTTAACGGCGGTTGGCCCACGTGTGCGCTCGGTGGAGGAGCCCATCAACTTCGTGATGGTTTTGGTGAATTGTGTGATTCGTGCTCGCCCCACGGCTGAGGCGTTGCGGTAGAAGTAAGAACGTAGTTGCTGATTTTGGTATAAGCGATTGAATATGAAATTATAAATACAATACACTTACGGCCTTACGCTGCTTAAGATGGTGTCCTAAGCTAATGTGTTGCTCTTTTGAGAGCTGTTCTTCCGTAAGTACCACGCCAGTTTCATCCTTGAAGTGCACTGCGGCCTCGGGCCACTTTGTGAACCATTGAGCATTTACCTCTGACAAGTACGTAGAAACATTGCCCTGCAGCTGGCTCAATTGAAACCCATCCATCTTCTCTGACAGCCAAGCCGACTGTTCGCGCGACATCCACGAGGCTCCAGGCATCTGATCAACCGATATTAACCTCAAATGAATGACATAAGTCTGTATTTGGTACGTACTGTGTGTTTTTTTACTCTTGACTCCGCGATGGTGACCCAGAGTGTGGTATGCAAACACACCCGGGCGGGATTTGAACCTTAATAGGTCATCAACCAATGAGCTCCCATGGATAAGTGGAAGTTACCGATGAGTATTAAATCTGCCCATCAAACGGCATCCAGAATTAGTTCGTTACCCACATAACGTTTACCCGTCAGTAATACTCCCGCTTTGCTCGTTCGTTTAAAATGAAGGTCTTCCCCCACTTTGGCGAGGAGCAGACGTTCAGTCTGTCCGAACTTGCAAGCGCAGTGGAACTCATCCGCACTCAAAATGGTATGCCCCAAGTTTCTTAACTCAACCCCTGCTCACTAATGTCCTTGTAGCCATCATGGATGCCCACCATGTGGGTAGTGAGACTCAGCTCTTGAGTGGGCGCTGCCCTACTTGTGGCACCGACATCCAGATACCTTCACCTCCAGAAGATGAGAGTCCAGCGCTCTCATCTCCTGCTCCTGGTGTTATCGTCAACCCGACTCTGTCCGCTACATTGACTGCCATTTCCACTATTCCAGCTGCTCAGGCTCCTTCCACTGCTCCAGAAGTTGGAAGTGCAGCAAGCGCTGGACTCCCTACCTCTGCTCCGGCCGCTGTGGGCCCCAATCCCCCAGCTGCAGCTAGACTCCCTACCGTTTCAGCCACTCAAACGGCTTTGGTTCCTCAGACCGCTCCAGTTCATGAGACTGCCGTGGTTTGCGCTACTGCTGCTGGCACATCTTCCTCGCGCTGGTACGTTGTCACTGTGGGGCGCAAAACGGGTGTCTTCCAAGGCTGGTGTGTACATTCAATTTGGCTAAGTCAAAGTTTTTAACATCTTCACCAGGCACAACGTCCATCAGCATGTGATTGGTGTCCCAGGCGCTTGCTTTGCACGCCACTCCAGCCTTGCTGCCGCTCAGGCTGCATATTCCGAGGCCGTCAACGATGGTGGGATCATGGAGGTGCCGCTCTAGTAGATACATACCAATACCACGTCGTGCTACATACCCATTCATGTACCGTTTTGCCATCTTGTCGTGTTTGCTCTCTTGAATGTTATTTGCGTACTGCACTTTGATTCGTCACTCTCGGTTATTGAGCTATCGATTTGTGTTCAAAAATGTGAGATGGTATTAAATAATAAATGTCCCGAAGTTGTGGCGGTGACGCTTGAGTGACAGTGCTTAGCTACAAGCACTTTGTTTGGCCAGGTAGAGGGGTTTGAATTTCGCCTTGAACGTATACCACTTTATTCCACATTTTCAACATCGCTCTACAATTTCATGGGACGACATCGTAAACCCTCGCCCGAACGTCAGGCCACACGAAAACACTCCAAGCGCTTATATTATATGTCGTAAGGCTCTAGCATGTTGCACTGTCGTTTGTTTAATCAACTATTTGCTAGGCATCTAGGGGATGAGAGAATTAAGGCAAGACTAAGGTGGAGACGACGTCAAGGTGCTAACGAGGCAAGTTCATTTATGATAGCTTCAATAAGTTACGCTCATTTGAATACAGGCTACACTAAACGCCTTTCAGGCGATGGAAGATATGTGGACTCGCACGTATACAGGGTGCCGAAATCATAACGGGTGTCGGGATCGTTTCGTCGCGGTTTCTCAAGCCGTGGATGAACGGGGCTGGGATGTAGTTAGACCAGAGTTCATGGGGGAGCTAACTGTCGCTCAGGATTTCACAAAAGAAGCTGAGGCGCTATCCACTTTGGTTGACAATCTCAACGGACCTTGCACTCAGCAGCTCAAATCAGAATGCTTGCGTCTGCTTCGTTTTGCTCGTTTGTGGTTGACCTCAGAGGAGGAAATTCTTTGTCTGATGGAACAAGGGCAAGACATCCTCGATGAGGTGTTCTTTGCTGAGAAGTTGATATGGCAGGCAGGTTGATGAGTATTTACTATGTACCATATTAGTCATAAGGTAGTTCTGTTTATTGAACGTTGCATTTGCACTTTTTTATCAGCGCCATGGTCAAAGGCCGTTATGGGCGCAAGCTCACCAGACTGCAGAAACAGTTCTGTGAAGAAAATGGTGCTCGACACGCTGCTCAAGCTGCTGCTGCTCAAAACCCAACTGCAAAACGCCTGCGCAATGTTGACAGTAGCCACGATCTTCACGCACACACATCTATTGATGTTACGAACATGGGCCATCCCTCTGTCAGAACTGTGTACTACCCAGCACCCAAAGTCACACCGGCAACACCTGCACGTACAGAGGCCGATGGAAGTATCTCGGAGACTTTCAACTTAGAAACCAATTTCGACGCTGTGGACGACGCTTACGTTGACTTTCTGGCGGAACAAAACACAAACGCTGAGCCTGTGAAAAGCAAACGAGATCGTACTCCAGGGGTGGGTGCATTGACCAATCTCCTGTTTACTGATGAAGATAACTTACCGCGTTCCAGGATGATCCACAAAAACTATGGGCACGGGAGAGAGATAGTTTCTTGAAGGAATTCATCAGGCTTGAGGCACGAGGAGATGCTCCTTGGAGCCACGCATGTCATGGCCTACCAGACTGTGCGAACGAACCTACAGTTCGTTGCAGAGATTGTGAAGGGCTCCAACTCTATTGTCGGTCTTGCATTGTGTCGCTTCACAGTGCGATGCCATTGCACAATGTTGAGGTAATTTTCCCCCATCCATTATCACTCAAGTTCACAGTTATCGTATAGATTTGGACGAACACATACTTTCAGCGGATTTCCCTTCGGGATTTGGGTCTATGCATTCAACTCGGCCACCCAGCAGGCATCCAGTGCGACAATCCTGTTCACGCATTCGACTTCACAGTTTTGGACATAAATGGTATACATAGTGTCTCGCTCTTTTTCTGTAATTGCGCAACTGCCAAGACACGTACGATCCAAATCTTACGCTCACGATGGTACCCTGCGACATCAACTGATCCACGAACCGCCGCCACCTTCCGTCTTCTCGACAATTTCCAAATGTACACCTTCGAGTCCAAAGGCTCTGCCTTCGAATATTGGCAGACTCTGTCTCACCTGTCAGACAATACGGGAACGAATCCGCCCAAGGTATGTATTGATATGTATTATTTTTCCATCCATCAACTTATATTAATTCTAGGACCGTTACGAGGCTCTCTTGCGAATGAGTCGACAATACCGACATTTGCTAGCTCTCAAGCGAGCTGGTCGTGCGCACGATGTCCATGGAGTACTGGGTACGAAGCCTGGGGAGCTCGCTGTCCCATGCCCTGCTTGCCCTCAACCTGGCAGAAATCTCCCGCCAGGTTGGGACAGTGCTCCTCCAAATGACAGGTTAGTTATTTCCCCCTCTGTGTACGCTGTCAGCTTACCTGTGTATAGATGGTTATTTGCCTTGTTTCTTGGAATTGATGCAAACTTCCGAATGTGCCGCCGTAATAAGTCATCGGAAGAAGTGGATCCAAGCCTGAGCACGGGGTGGGCATACTTCGTAGAGGAATCGAGCTTCAAAGGGCTGTTGGCCGAGCATGCTGGACAAACTCAAGAGGTAAGGTGTAATGGTCTCGTTAATTCTATTGGAGTTCTAACTCTACGTTTTAGAAAAGCTCTTGTGCTAGCCACAATGCGGTGAACTTGGCGGATTCCAAGAACGTGCGCGGCCTCGCAGCGACAGGCATTGGCACTGTTGTCTGTGCGAGGCACAACTTCAAGCGGCCGTCTGCCGTCAGAGATCTCCAAAAGGGCGAGAAGTGAGTATCGTTTGTATTCTGTTCACGCTCACTAATGAATTATCAGATACGTGAACATGGACTTTTTATTTTTCTCAACGTTGACACATTCCAGTGACCTGGCGGTCTTTAATATATCATACGATATTGCGTGCCAGTGGAGCAAACACCTCTGGACACGCATGTCACGCTATCCTTCGACACTTCATTTTTCTCCTGGCGGCAAGACGATCACATTTCTCGTACCCAAGTTCCACCTCCCAGCACACATTCCCGCTTGTCAAACCACCTTCTCATTCAATCTCATTAAAGGCATGGCCAGAACGGATGGGGAAGCACCGGAGAGAGCATGGTCAAATATTAATCCCGTGGCAACCAGTACCCGTGAGATGGGCCCTGGCTCGAGGCGGGATACCCTCGACGACCATTTCAGTGATTGGAATTGGCGCAAGGTCTGCAACTTCGGTACGCCCGCTTGATTTCTTATATTCCCTGGTATCTGACCTCTCTGACAGGGCCCTTTCTCTTGCAAAAGTTGAAGGAAGCTATCCCACAGTGGGACCAACATGTGTTGGACCTGAGGGACTTTGAGGAGGCCATTCCAACAGAGAGCCTTACATCATGGCGTCAAATGGTGGAAGAATGGGAGGCTGACCGCTCCAAACCTAATCCGTTCGAATCGGCCGCTGTCCCTATAACTCAAGCTTCTGTCCGCCTTGAACTTTCGCAAGCTGAAGCGGATCAGCTCAAACGTGGCTTGGATGTCTCCTTGCATGCTGAAGTGTCGCCAAGTGTCTTAATAGCAGCTGGAATAGATCTGGAAGCGCAGCAGTGAGTACAATGTTCATTACCTGGACGGACACACAACTAATCAATGATTTATTAGACGCCGCCTTGCCACTGATAAGGCAGTCGTCGGTATGCACTCCACTGATATCCAGCTTTCAGCCTTACAGCAGCGGACAAATACGTTGCGCCGCCGACTGGAGCACTGGGCGAAAATCCAAACTCTCTATATGCCGTATGTTGCGCGACTGCGAGAGACCGACGACTTGGGCCCCGGGTCTGAGGAAGAAGCAGTCCATAACATCAAGTTGTGGCTACCTTCTGCAGTCCTCAGACTACCCATGCATTGCGACACTAACCTCACACGTATTGAGTGGCAGCTCCGCGTTGCTCAGGCTCATGAGGCCTTACACGAACTTCATCAGAATTTGCGTCTCAAACGCCACCTTACGGGATTCAAGAGAGATTGGATTACGGGACAGCGCGCTCACACACGGTCGCGAGGTATCATCAACACCATTCAAAAGAAGATCGATGCTGCTGCGACCAAGTATAACATTGCTTGGAGTGCACTCGAAGTTCTGGCTGAGGCGCTCTTGGAGGTAGAGTGGATGAACCAGTTCCCAAAGCTGGAGAAAGATGATATACGGGGAATGACGGAAGCGCAAGCTGCCAGTGAATCCCAGACTGAGGGACGGAGACTGGTGGCTATCTCATGGATATGGAAGCAGTCCCATGGCGCTGGGCAAGAAGAACTATCCGACGGTGAGTGATCTATTCGAGTAAGTTTGGGCCCTTCTAAGTCGAGGGTTTTCTAGCGATGCGTATAGAATGGTGTAAGGCGCGCGCACGGGCCAGTCGGTGGTCTGAGGAAGTCGAGCTCCTCCAGGAGGAAATGCGGCGGGTGTCTGCCTTCTTGGAGTGGCAAACAGATTGGTGGAAGGACCGCACTACCCCGAGGACATGGCTAGATGAGATGGAGAACGAAGGGGCGAGTGCATATGCCCATCGGCAGGCAGCTGTCCGTCAAGCAATGCGTGCACAATGCATCTCCATCTGGAGTGTCGTGCCTGGTCTTGTTGCTTTCTCTTCGGTCATTTCACCCACGTAGGACATTTTTGCATATGTTTTTGCTATCTCAGTTGTGTCGCTATTATCTAAAGGAGCAATATTGATATGTTTTGCTATCGTCAGATTCACTTTTTTTGCCCTTTTAGGGTACGGATATGATACTCAGGAACACAGAAGGTAGTACTTCCAGGAACACGGAGGGCAGAAGCACAGGGCGCAGTATAGTCAGATCTCCCTCTCGATACGCAGGTTTAAAATAGCACGCAGAACATAGGAATATGGAGATCTCCGAGGCGCAGGTTTAAAATAGCACGCAGAACATAGGAATATGGAGATCTCCGATCCAGGGAGCACTGGAAAGGGGCGGGCATTGGTTCCCCAGCAGAGTATGCATACAAGAAGCATGAGGGATGGCTACTGAGTATGCATAACTATACTTCTACAATGGCCAGGTAGTATTAATACTCCTGCTAGGGTGTGGTGCATAGGGTCAGATGATCCTGATGAAGCTTATTTCATCCAAAATCTTGTCGGGCGATCCGAGAATATGTTTCAGTACATATTATTAGTGAAGAACCTGACACAGCATCTTCATCTGTACAATCGAGAGACACGGTCCCAGCTCCTGAACGACACTCCGCTAGGCATCTTCAAAATGTACAAGTACTATCTGGCTGTCCAGCTTCAGCGATTCTCCGACTTTGACCAAACGCAACTTGGACGTGTCCTGGAGATCCTTTTGCAGCTCCTCACGTTTTCTCCAAGCCCCGTCACTCCATTAATATTCCTGCAGGCGTTGCGGTCATGTCCTTCAATCCAGGGGCTGGAACTTAACCCGGAAACAGATGGTCTTGCTATTGATCTTGCACAGAACGTTGCAGGCGTTCTATTCGATGTTCGAGTGACCTCCACAGGAGTACGACATTTGGTCGCAGTCCATAGCACACTTTCCGAATATTTTCTCGACCCTGATAACTATCAGAAATACAATCCAAATAATCTTAGCCCAGCCACGCAGGAAGCGCTAGTATCACTACACAATGCTGTTGGAGAGACAGGTCCGAAATCCCTGCTCGAGCTTTGCTGCAACGGGCTTCAAGATCCAGATTTTAACAGATTTCTCCATCAGTATCAGTACGCTGCTGATTTTTGTCGCCAAAATCTCGATGATACCTCAAATAGAGATGTTCAGCCCGATATATCTCGACAGGAAAGCGATTGTGAAAGGCTCCAAGCGCAGCTTTGGCGGGATCCTGCGTTTTCGGTTTGCGACTCGCTGGCGGTTGAAGGAAGTTGGATGGACCGACAGTGGAACTCCCTAAAAGAAGATGGGGAATGGTTCAGGGAGCGTTCGGATATTATGAAGGATTACGAGTCGTTAGATGAAGAGACTCTGGTCCCGCCTCTCCGCCTCCAAGTTTCCCGATGGCGCAATGTCGTTTTTCCCCGTATGAAAAAGCAATTGGAGCTCAGGCAAAACGCATTATCAGAGCTGCGAACCAGACATTTGAGTGCGTATGCGTTTAGGTAAGTTAGTTCAGGCTATCTTTACGATGAAATTGAAATAGGTTGCTCTGGATAGGAACACGCTTAGTGATGTTCCGGCCCGGCTTAGGCTCGGCTTCGAAGGGCTTAGGCTCACAAAAATTCAGAGCCTAGGCCGTGAGCCCAAGCCAGCCCAAAGCCGGGGCTTGGGGGAGCCAACGGACAGAGCAGCTTTGCGAAGCCAACGGACAGATCAAGCATTAGTGGTAGTCTAATTACAATGTGTCTAAATCAATTAAAAAAAGTATCAATGGGATTCTGGATAGTCTAGAACGTTCAGCTCAAATGTTATCGGAAAGAAAGACACACTCAGAATCTCTTCTCAAGAAGAACTAGCATTTGAAAGAGGACAAGTAACGAGTCCATCTTCAGCTCAACACCAGTCGTCGGCGGGCATTCAAATATTCATAGTACATCGTCCTTCGTAGCCTTGCAATGGCATGTCAGCAAAGTGGTGTTGCTCTCGATCGACCTTGAGGTTGCAACTTGAACCCGTGCTGGAGCCTGGGAACGCACAAGGATCGCAGGCTCATTCATGGCCGCCCATGATGACTTTTATCATCGCTCCCTTGGAAGAAAGCAACTTCAGTCTCCGAGCGTCGAAGCGTACAGTAATGGAGTGAGGCAAAGAGAGTTGGTGATCTCCACCGATTATATTACATTCAACAAGCGACTACCTTGTCCGTTAGAATGGGAATTAGGTGGATGTGCCTCATTGGATACGGACCTCTAGTGTTGAACCAACAATTGAACATAGGCCACAACTTGGTTGCCGCCACCCTGCGCCAGTCAGACTTCGTTAAAGCTGGGCGTTACGAATGCATCACAAGTCCAAGAATGTGTCCAGGACCATAAGGCATTTGTATTTGTTGACACTATTTGAAACAACGCTGGCTATACCATTATGTGTTGGTGAAGCTGTCACGGTTGCCAGAAGTCTACGAGTCGTCTGTGAATGAGTGTCCGAATATTGGTATCTGTTACAATAACATGTAACCGAGAACCCCTCCTACGGAGGTCATCATGACCTTAGCCCCTATCCCGCCATATGCACCATCTTGGAAGACTTACCGACTCAACAGAGACTCGTAGAGACACCTAGAACGGCCTGGATGCCGTTAAATGACCTAGACCAGCCTAGGCTACATCTGGACGGACCTAGATGGTCCTCGACCCGGATCATGGAGAAGCTCTGCTTCATGGTCAGAAGAGAAGCCGCATGCCGCAGCATGCGCAGTTAAACTACAAGGCATGTTTAGCCTTGAGGACAGATAGAAGAGGCATGGTAAGCCTCATGCATAGATAATCGCCCGCATGGCATCAGATAAGATGCCCTTGTATAGACACACTCATACTTACCTACCGAACGTAGTATTGGTCTGTGCACACGGACGACAGTATATAGAGCAGACAGAATCATGTATATTCCCTACTTGATTCTACTAGGTTTTCATCAGAACTTCCTCTGTGTGATCATCTCAATCACTCAGTCTAAGCCGCACCTTAAGGAAAGCCGACGCTACCTTAAGTGGAACCCCCGAACCTCTCATTCGAGAGAAGATCCCCGTCTCTCCAGTAGCGAGCCCGCTATCAGATTAGGCAATCCGCCTAGGGAGAGCTCGAACTATCCTAGTCCGTAACAGTATCATCTTCCAGTAATATTTGGTGAGGCTTGAACGTAGTGCTGCCGTGGTCCGGTTCGGTCTGGTTCAGAGGGTCATAGAGGAGAACCAAGAACCGGACCATTGGTTCGGTTCTATGAAATGTCCGAACCCAGAACCGGACCACATAGAACGGTTCTCTATGGTCCAGTTCGGTTTTTTTGGGGTCCGAACCCGAACCGGACCCAAAAATTCAGTAGGGAGCGCAGGTAGAAGTTCGAGAGTTTTCTCCTGCATCTACGAAGGTGGGTAGAGACCCTATGGTAATATCTTTGAGTCGAGTCGTGTGCGCGTTAAATATGAATGATCTGTCAGGATAAGCAGCGGTCAATTTGCAAGATATCATTTCGAGTGTAACAAGCACAAGGCATTAACACAGAATACGAGTAATGAGGGAGACAGTAGGTGCTGATAAACTGCTCTGTGTGTGTGTGAACGTGTAGTGAGTACAAGGCGAGACCGGAGTAGATGATGTGCTCAATGGCAGGGTGCAAAGTTAGGAAGTTGGTCAAATATGACTTATCACAGCTTCAAAACGAGCTTTCCCGCTCGTAACCTTCATCTCAGTCCAACGGGTTTCGACGTTTGAAGTTAGGGTCCAGAACTGTTGCAAGAAAATACGGTCCAAAGCGCCACCCGCAAGCGTTTGCGCCATCGTGGAAGTGGTGAATGGTGGTGGCTGGGAGTGTGCAAAGACGCAGGTAACATGGCAGGCACTTGTTGTTGTGCCGCAGTCGATGGTCTCAATACCAAGCGACATCAAGAAGTAGGAGGGCATGAAAGATGGGGCGTGGCATGAGAACAGGTGGGAGAGAGTTAGCACGAGAGAATGGGCACAAGAGGACAGGTACGAGAGAGTAAGCATGAGAAAACGGGCGCAAGATAGCGAGCACAAGCAAACTTGGTCTTTGTCGGCGCGTTGATTTTAGGGGTGGAGGCGGTGGTTTCGCAGGAGTGGGACGATGGGCTTGCGGGAGGAGTTGCACAACGAGACGTGTGGTCTGATTCATCAGTTTGAACAGTGCATATCATGACTTACCTTGTCAATGGGCCTCTGCATTTGATGGAAACAAGTAAATCTTGAAGCTTAAGAATCCCTGAGGCCAAAGTGGATCATCAAAGGAAGGTGTCAAGGCGTGCTTCAACAATGTGGCAAGCTTCTTTCGGTTCGCGGTTCGGAACGGTTCGGGGCCGGTCCGAACCAAAGTCGAACCATCCGCCCAATGGCAGAACCGAGAACCGTACTATGGTCCGGTTCTGGCTGACACCTGGACCGTGGACCGAACCACAGGAGAACCGGACCAAAAGTCCAGTTCGAACCATGGTTCAGGACCGGACCACGGCAGCACTACTTGAACGAGCCGAAAGTATCAGTCTGATGTGATTTAAACGCAATGATGTGAAGTAAGAAGATGAACAACTCACAGGTCCCAAGTTAGACACTCTGTTGGTCTGGTAGTGTTGAAAGCTCACTGACATGATAGTGGTGATTCGAAGCTGATAAAGGTGATGGGAGTCAGAAGCTTAGAAAGACAAAAATAGAGTCGGGAAACGTACCTCCGGTGAGTCACTGCCACTGAACATGCCAAAGCCGCGGCTTAGGCCGCCGGCTCAGGCTTTTCGAAACTCAAGCCCAGGCCCAAGCCTTCCTCAGGCCGTGACTTAGGCCTGGGCTGGGCCCGGCTTATTTGGGCCCGGCTTGGGCCGGCCCAGGGCCTCAAGCCGAGCCGTGCACATCACTAAACACGCTCTTCTATCTACATCTGATGAATCAGAAAACAACAAGCCAGTATACGAGTTCTCCCTCATTTGAGGGTCTCATCTTGCACTACCTGGACCAACTGGAAAACCTCCTGCCTGTATTGGTTTTGGTCCAAATCCTTCCGTTCTCTGAGTTTCTTGTTGATTCAACCTCCCCGACTGCAAAGTTAGCAACTATGATTTGCGGATTGGAGCAGCTCACCCGAGCGATCAGAGAATTTTTGTCGACACGAAAGTCGTATCCTCATCAGCTTTTAGGGGTGATACGATGCCTCTGGGCCACTGGGAGCGCCAACCTGGGCTCACTGTTTACTACGGAGGAAATTTGGGCCAGGGCGTACTACTCTGAGCTGATTATCCCAGGCCTCAACACCAATAGCATACCCGAAAAACTCATTCGACACACGCTGGAAAGAGTGCTGCTATACCTCGCTGACGCGGAACGTATGTGCTTCACTAACCAAACACAATTAATCGGCGTTGGGAATATTTGCTTCTGTATTCGTCAGCTGCGCCAGACGATTTCACATCACTTATTATTCCAAACATTCCACCCCATTTCCACTTCCATACAGAAGGGAGGTCTGGTGCCCGAATTCGTCGATCATGAACCGGGTTTTACAAACATTGTACTACTTCAGGATGCGGTGAGAGTCCACACTCTGGATCAGGACAATCTGCAACCCGGCGGACCGAAAACATGGAGCATATTCCTCGGAGCCGTGTTCATTATTCTAGGATTCATTTCATCACATCACACCTGTTTCATCTTCAGCTTGCTTTCTGCCCCACCCAATACAACCGATGGTTTGATGCGACAGACCTCAGGCTGGTCTTCGGCACAACTTGTAGCATCCGCTGGCGTGATTGGATGCTTTTGTGATAGGGTGCGGGCGGGCGCAGTGACGATCGGCACAATACCCTATGCATTTGGCATCCTTTTGGTGCTAATATCCCCGCAATTTGCATCCTCACCGCTCGTCAGATACATTGACGCTATATCCACTGACCATCTGATGTTTCTTTCTGTGGTCCCCCTTTTGCTCTTCTCTTCCCATGAACAGAGCTTCTGGGCCGCAATCGAAAATACTGCGGTGCTCTATGTAGTTATTCGTCTGCTGGCCTTTGCGGTCGACAAGAGCAGTATGAAGAGGAAGCGTAGAGACCTGGTTCGAATTAGTCGGAAGTACAACAGAAGGAATGAAGAGCAAGGAGAGGTGTACAAATTGCAAAGGTATTTTGTAAGTAGCTCCGAAGGCTGATGAAGCTGGAATGCGCTCGAGGGGGAGTGTTGGGAGAAGCAAAGACGGAGACATCGGAATGAAAGGTACGAGCACATCCGTTCATAACATCGGCCGAGTGCCATAGGTCTCAAACTCATTCTTATTTTCTTTCCGACTTTCCCCGTGTCCCCATAGTTTAAAACAACGTCCTAGCCATGCGCACATCTCATTCTCTTCCCGAGACTGAGATGTAAGCCTTATATCGTTTTCTTCCGTTTTCGTACGAGCTAATATACCCTTAGAATATATTTGTTTGTCTAGGTGCCTATCTACGTACATGCAGAGTCTCTTCCCGATACTGAGATAACATATTTGTTTGTCTAGCTCTCTTCCTCCCGCGCTCGCGTGCCACTCAAACCGACAGGCTCTGCCTTGTGGTCAGATTATTTATGTAAGTATATCTATCTATCTTTCCCTTCACTATCTTGTCTGTCTGTCTGTCTGTCTTACTTCTGTGATTTTTTGTTCGTAAAATTCATCTGGATCGTCTACATTTATATTGCTCGAGCAGCACGAAAATTCGTTCAAAAATAACTGTACTGATTGACTGTATCACTGCGGACTGGATATTGCACCATCAATCATGATACCAAAGCGAAAGCAGAAAGATGACTCACTGACGTGACATCCCGCTCGGGCTACCGACTCAATTTTCACTCTGCCAGTCCTGACGTGCATCTATGCTAAGGCGAGCAGGTGAGTGATTGGATCCTGGTTGCACGCGACCTGCTCATACTCACCCCAGCAAAAACATCACAATACAAGAACTCGCAGCAATCTGATGTTCGTTCGCAATGGTAAAACTCTTTCGTACATGCACTAACAAACATAGATGTTGTCAAAGAGACAACAACAGCAAGGAGGGAGAGACGCATTTATGTGTGAGATGATATCTCAAATGATGCTTCTGAGGATAGGGAAACACTGTAGGACGACAACCAGCTTTTATATCCTGCACACACTGTGAGTCTGTGACTTATGGGGACGATTCTCGATTTGGCAGAGTTGTGAGTTCTGCCGCATGAATTGAACCGTTTCTCGGCGAATCTCTTCGCAGCGCTCCACTCTTTGCAATTCGGATATTAAAATTTCTCTATTTGCTGCTGGACTATTTTATTCTGTGACCTGGCATCTACTACATACACAACGCATGTAGCTTTCGTAACACCAGACAGCTCACTGATAACCAAACACTCGGTTCTTGTTCTTAATGATCAGGTATTCAATTAGTATCCACACATCTCAACAAACGAGTATAGAATCATAAATAGGCGTACACGTCTGCTATTTGAGACGCACAAGGTAAGCTGTTCCAGTAGTCTCCGGGACGATCCTTAATACTCACAGAACTTCCCTGTTGTATGTACAAATCGTAGAAGGAAAAACTAAATTAAAAGAGGCATTGTTGACTAGAATCCTGATGAAGTTTTCACAGCGTTAGTAAATGAGAGAAAGTATGGGATTGACATACAATTGGATACGAACTCGACAGCTGCGGCGTCTGCCTCTGAGTCCGACGTAAGATAACCTGCACAGACCCAAGTACCTGCAGATATGTCTGGGTTGGGTTGGTCGCTAATGCCAGTAAGTCGCATGACTGTTGTTGCTAGAATACTACTCACTAAGTGACGAGATGAAGGCCTGGTATTTACTATTTGGTCAGAATAATACGAGCGAATTGTTGATTACTACGCACAGAGGACATGGCTCCAAGAAACTCTCCACCCCTTATGATAACGCCGCCGCTACCTTGGAAGTCACTACAGCTTGCAAATAATACCTGATATCTGATCGTCAAACAGACTTCGAGTTGAGGAGCGTATTTCACTTACCACATGAGCTTGGGGGTACTTTGTAAGAGCTCGAGAGTTCGTAGCATGCTGTTTTCGGTGATCACTGGGTTGATACTGAGCAAATGATTAGACAGTCGCGAATGCATCAACCATCTTTGGACTGACGATGTATGGCAAATCTGTGCACGAGACAGATCAACAAAGAAACACAACATAGCAATATAACAGCTTCATACCGAGGACGGATCCAGAATAACATGACTAGTATTCATGATACAATCTGTTCAACTTGAAATTGACAACTAAAACTTACATCAAACAACGCCTGTTGATAAAAAAAATTGAAGTTGGTTGACACATAAAGCCGCCCACAAACTCACATTAAGGCAGCAGCCAGCGGGTAGGGGTTTGACCTGTGTAAAAGTTAGTATCAACCTCACAGTTCGCGTTCCCAGTACTTGCCATCACGTCGTATAAGTCCTGTTTGAGAATGAACATCGCATATAATCAAAGCAAACAAGTATACAAACGCACCTCGCTCACAATCTCACCAGCGCGTTCCCAGTCAACTGGATGGATAGCTTGTTTGCGGATCAGCACTCTTCAAAGCTGGAACTATCGTGACTGTTACCCTTCTCAAATCCATCTACACGGTGACCATCCACACGGCGATCATCCAAGTCGACGATTCGTCCTCCATGTCCAGAGTCTGGATACATCATCAATCGCTTGTTCAAATGACAGATACGTGACTCACAGTGAAAGAATAAGCAATCTCCAGGCTGGGCGTCTTTCACTAACCATCGCAACGCGCTAAGGATGTTCCGTCTCGTCGGCATGTACTTCAGATTGTATGGCTCATCTGTGAGCACCATGATGTCCTCTTTCGCGTAATTCCAGAAGGCTGTTACATGGTTGTGTCGCTCAATACTGAGTGAATAAGATAAAATGAAAATGGACGGACATTTTAGAAACTCCGCAATGTTCCAAGCATCATTCACACAGCCACGAAGCTCTCTATCCTGGCTTTTGTAGTTTATGCCGATCTACCCGAAGATAAGCCATGCAAGGACAAACTTGAAAGGACTCACGCATAATGCCTTCTTCTTCCTCGCACGTGGAGGCAACACTTTGATTGTCTGTGGAATATCTATTTCAAGTTGATCACACAGGTCACAGTTGCACCTTGCGACGACAGGTCGTCGCGCAGCACTATACGGTGAGTGTATATGGTGTCTCGATAGCTCTGTACTCTCTCCTGTCTGTTGCTGAAGAGATTGAGTCGATTGCGTCCGTGAGCGGTGAAGCCGCGAGATCACAGGACCATGTTGTACTGGCCGAGCATCTGGCGTAGTCCTCCCGTTGTACTTGGAACCATAGGGAGGTACAGATGGAGGAAGGGCTGCATCTGTACTGGAGGACGTCGGGGAATGATATTGGCGTACTAGCGCTCGACGCGTTTTGATAGCCGCTGGTCTGGTAAACGATGTGAACTTAACACGACTTGATCACGTGAAGTTGAATGAGCTTACTTACTTCGGAGATGGCGATCGCCTCACAGGAACGACTGCAGGGATGGACGAAGTGTATGAACTCCTTGATCTGTCTAGCCTTTCGAAACGAGTCAATACTAGGCAGGCACATCATGCATTAACGGTCACATTACCCCTTGTTTCGGCGACTGTTAAGGTCATGGGACTACGTTAGCGAGGACATAACGATCAGGAGGTAAACATACGAAATCAGCTTGGCAGGAGGGACAGACATACGCGCTTATCGATGAGGGCAGTTTATGACTACTATCTACGCTTCAGAGTGCGTGGGCAAGTAGCTAGTGAAACCCTTGAGAATCTACCCATGCGTTTTATTAGGGTAAGGATTATCAAGCTCCCGCCCTCATAGCGCTAGATGATTCTGTCAAATTGACTACAACACACTATCACTAGGTGATATATACCAGTCTCGGCAAGCTTCGTTTGACAGGTACATCGCAAAAAAGACGGATAGGAGGAAGGCGAAGCGCTGACTTTGCAAAACGGTACGGAGATTATATGGGGCTTGCGATGCAATAATCACTCTCGCGACCGAAGAGGCGCGATAAGATACAGAAGTAGCGTTACTTGTGCCAATCTGGCCAATCATCACTGTGTAAATATTAGATGAAGGACATGTGAACCGCGTCCAGGCTTCGGGGAGACCAACCCCGGGTTCTTTGTTGATCGATGGGCATTGTCCTCAGCAATTTCGTACTTACGAGCGGCTCATAACGGAACGGTGTCAACAAGATCAAATACGCACGATCATGTTAACATATAAGGAGTGATTACAACCGTTCAGATATAGAAAGGCAACGTTATATCCTGTGCAATATCAGTGGCTATAGTCTGGATAAGAATACGTCGACAAACGAGAGGATTCGAGCAGGAAAACTGAGGATGTTGTCTGGCGTCCGGTAGGATTTCACGGACGAATGCGCGTATTTGTTCGAATCTGTTTTGGAAAGTGAGAGCCTGCGTGCAAGCTGAACAAAGTTCAAATATTAGCCAGTTGGGCTAGCAATGGAAGTTTGACACGGACAGAAAACATGTACGAAAGCCTTCAAGGGAAAATTAGAAGGACCTGATGTTTTGGTAGTTTTACGCACAAAGGTCATGAGTCCACCAATAGGTCGACCAGGCATTGTGATGCTTTCACTCTCTTCGAAATCCTCACAACCCGAGAAACAAACCTGTCCGATGTTGGCTGAGAAGCATGATCAACTCGCAGAAACCGATGCTCACAACTTGTGCCTGGGAGTGCTTCCTAATGCGAGCACCTGGCGTAACGCCATCGACGAACGTGCATTGTCTAGAGTCATACTATGGAGACGATCAGAAAAAATCACAAGGAAACTGCTTCTCTCACAAGATAAGGCAAATCTAATATTATTCAGAATTCGGCAGCGATGAAGTTGATTTAGAGCTCACCGAGCACCGTGCCGGAATGGCACGACTGGAGTCATTCAGTACTTGGAGTTACGGTATCAAGGAACCTGCTTACGTCGAAAAGCGCCTGTAAAGCTGAGTTATTTAGTGATTTCGCGTCATCGATCACTCTCCGTACCGTCAACCGTGAGCCAGCTGCCAGTGGCTTTACCTGCGTGCGTTCTATCAGCGACTTATTTGAAATACCATGTGAAATATGAGGTGTTCTTTGCGTCATGATACTGACCATGATTTCATGTATTTCCTAAAGAGCTAATCAGCGTTATCCTTTGATTAAGAGGGTAAACATCTGACATCGTCGTTAATCACGCCCGACTGTTGATAGTCGACTGGACATATGACTTTGCGAACGTCAACAGTGATTTTTCTAATCAGGCTTGGATCCTACATTCGTCATAACCATCAACTTCGTCGCCATCTAGGTCGCGGACTTGGCCTCCATGCCCCGAAACTGTGTAAGCAACCGCGTGATTCAGAAGACCAACAACGCCATCAAAGACAGTACGTACAATAAAAGAACATGGAATCACCGGTCCTTGAATAAGATGCCAGGCGGTGCATTTCAAGTAAGATATTTTGCCTAGTTGGTGGGGGGCGATAACCGTCATCAATTAATTGTACAATATCTCTGGGATCGTATCCCCATTGATCTGAAAGGGAGTCGTAGAGTCATCGTTGAATTACAAACAGCTGCACGTACTAATAAGGCATGGTAAGATATTATGGATGTCGTTGTTGCACCCTCTTAGTTCACAGCGTTGACCTTTGTAATTAATTCCAATCTTATACAGTTTCAGAGATATCGTTGATTTGCAAATCTACTATGTATCACTCACCAATAGTGCCCGCTTTCTTCCGGGCGATGGTGGACTAGGTTGTGTGTACATCGGAATATAAAAAGAAGCTTCCGACATGTGTTGGTTCAAATACGGTGCTCCAGAAGACCGAGGACACCTCGAGAGCTGGCCCTCCAATGTGTTTTCTTCTTGTTGGATCCTCGACGGCTCCCATGAAACAGACATCCATCGACGTTTGCATGTGATTATGTGGTCGCGGTGATCCTGACGAAGGTCACGCACAGCAGGGAAAGAATGAAGAACGGTTTCGACGATCTTGGGTAACATGGCGGAATTGGAACGAATCAAAAGAGTAACTGGACGACGCAGGATCAGTGATGGCTTCATTGCGAGCTTTATAACTTGATGCAAGCGCTCTATTTTGCTCTCACGTCAAGATCGATAGATACGGAGCGTCGCACTCGTACGAGTTGGCTAACGGCGATGTGGGCGAAGAGCTTGTCGTTGCAAACAATACAAAGTACAAGGTGCGCGACTAGAACGATTGCTGCCATCATATTTGCGCGAGGGTCAGTGGTCCCCATAGTTAGGGTCCAGGGACTTGAAACGGACGCTTGTTGAATACTAAAGCCTTTGACAATGGTGGCATAACAACGGTGATCCTGTGAACCGTCATGTAGTTATTAGTTAACTTGGGAATATCATCACAAAAGATGCGGTACGTACTTACAACGCTGATGATCACTGTGTAGAGCTGCAAGATTTACATACCCAACGTTGTTAGTGACCGTGATCCGTTTTGATTAGACCTTCAAGCAACTGTGTAGACCGGTCGACGGTCGTCGAGTATAATATTCGTGTGTATTACATAATGCGTGAATTTAAAGGGCAAACAATAATAAATAATCGTAGTACCTGCCTGGCTGATCTATGCACGAGGAAATACTTTGGTATTATAGAAGTCGGCAATCCCATATCGTCCCATGACTTGTTGCCCTAAAATCTCAAAATCCCATGTCCGAGTCCACCTACCACCATGGATGACAGTCTCCACCGTCCCACCAAGAAACCTTCTCTGCATCGCCCACGACAAGCACAGATCTTGCCATCCATGCACCATCATACACCTTTTCGATCCACCACTGGAGCACGGGGTGGCGCATAAGCCACTTGAAGTAGAAATAAAACCTGACATGATACTAATCAGCCAATATGCTGATAATATAGCATGCGACAAACCTCCAGTCGTAAGCGTTGATCACTCTTGGGTTGAGATATATGTTCTGTAGATTGAACTGTCGTCTCATATCATATGGGAGTAGGAAACTTTCTGACGAAAAACATTCCTCTGGCGCAGATGCACGGAATCGTATTGGGGGTGTCAGAGCAGGACTCGGACCCTGCATCGAGGTATTGTGTGCTGCTGGGTGGGTTGCCGGCAATTCGTATGGCAGAGGATCATTGGAAAGCGTGCGGTTAGAGCGTAAGGCTATCGGAAGAAGAGGATCTGCATTGAAGACCACGATGCCGTTCCAGCAGGTGAATACGGGTACAGGAGACTCGGTATGCATTGCTTTATAATCAGCTTCGTCGAAGAAATATGGCCAGCTAGATGTCAAACAAACTGAATTAGACGTAATGAAGACAGAATTCGCGACTCACATTGCACTAGCTAGTTTTGCCTGTCGATCTCGAAGAACCCACATATCATATGCACTTTTTACCACGATTAGAATTACGGATGTGCCGTAGCAGTCAGATGTTACTTACCCAAAATGTCCCATGTCTAGGCCACATGCCATGTCGTAATCCCCGCTGTTCGTTTCCAACAACTCGACGAAGCTCTCGGGCTCGATAAATATGTCATTCGAGAACACAACCCTATCATACCCTCCTACTATCAGGGGCTCGATTACTCGATTACGTGTAGCGGCTAGAAATTCAATGCGGTTGTTTCCGCGCATATCGTCGGGCTTTGGTACTGCTTTATCTCTCGTGAGTATGCGCCGTGACACACCCAAAAGGGCCAGGTCCGCATCTAGTGCGTCAAGGAGCTGCGGAGATTCATCGGTACTGTGACTCTCAACGATAGAGACGAAGACGTTATCTGGACCAAGATAGTGAATGACTTTGATAAGGGTATCGTGCCAGTATGGGATGATATATTCGTTATTGTAGAACATCGCAGCAATGAATATTTTCTCTGAAGCGGGATAACTTGAAGGTGCGTTCGATTTTATGAGTTTGGAGGAGCTCACCTTGCTTTCCGTAGCCTTGTTTTCGAGGGTGTGCAACAGCCTCCTTAATAGAATCCCTGTACCGTACATCGCCAGGCTGCTCGTAATGGACTCCGACCCATGTGCTCACACAAAGCAGGACGAGATATGCGAACAGCTTTATCTTCCACAGTTTGGGATGGGGCGCCAGACGCGGAGTAGGAGACGTTGGTCTAGAGGATGAGCGCACACTAGCACCTTCTTCCGAGTTTTCCATGAGCGCAATTTCTTCCTCGGCGTTAAAAAGTTCACGTCTGCCGATAGAGCTATCTCGATAGAACATAATATACCCTTCGTCGGAAGGGTCCCCAGTTCCAAAAGCCTTACTCCATCGAGCGATTAACAGGGGAAGTAGGAACCGATACGCCAAGAGACGGAGTATTTGGAGAAAGGCAAAAGTGGGTACGACGAGGAGGAGGAGGAGGACGAATCTCCAACTTGAAGGAAAAGCAGGTTGCCATGTATAGTTTTCTGCAAAAAACTTGTCGGAAAACCGTTGCTCAGTTATGGTGTAAAGGGTTATAAGAATGCAGAGTGAGACAAGACCAGGAATGCGAATAACGGCGAGAAGGATGCGACAGATAGCATGGAGAACAGCCTTCGGCGTTATGGACATGCGTAAAAACAGAATTTTGTGGGGGAAATGAAGCCGGCGCTCAGTAAACCGAGGCGAATGGAGACGAAGTCGGAAGGGAAGAGGAAATTGGCTAAATGGTGGTTCATCATACAATCAGCTAGAAGGTTAATGTATGCCGCCGAACCAACCGAAAGAAGGCAAACCTATTCGTTAAATTTATCAGCCGCAGCACCGCGGCAGCAGATTGTCGTGTGCTACATTGGGTCAATTTAAGAGTTTTTTCTGTGGGCTAGGGATACTGCACACACGTCGTATATACAGCCAACGATGGTCGTCGTGTAGGTCTTGCAGTACTTGTCGATATCATGATCATGTCGGTAACTCGAAGGCCCAAAAATAGAACAAAGGCTAGCTAAGCCCGCATCGCATAATAGAAGCTGTTGGTATAGCATACTACGAGATCACAAGTCGATGGCTACTATCATGCATTTACTGCAGTGTCATTCATGGCCGGCTGGTGACTCCTTCATTCTCACATGCCGATCACAGAGACTCAACAACATTGCGCAGATGCTAGACAAAAGAGTACAAATTGTCGACGCGAACAACAGCAGGAATATCCAGCCCGCACTATTCGTATTGAGATGGAGCAGAGGCAAATATTATGGTAACCGGTCACGGCAAGGTCACGGAAAGAAGAAAGACGCTGGGAAACCATCATTTAGGGCCGGAGTGCATTTTCCAATCCTGCAGTCATCCGCAGTCTGACCGATCTGCAGGCAGCTATAAGATATCGTGACAACACTTGAGCTTGCGTACTCTGGAGCACACTCAGTTAGCTTTCTGAGGATCCTGCGTAGCACTGCGCGTTAGTTTGATAATTTCATCTCATTGACACGTGACTCATCATCTTATAGATCGCCGTTGAACGTTGAACGACAATGCCCTTCAACTTGACAAGGACATTAGTACTTGCATTACTCGGCAGTGCCAGCGCTGAGTCGAATTCGGTGACTGGTAGTGCTTTCTGAGTGAGTCCCGTCCGAGTCAGCGCGCGGGCCTCACAGCCCCTGAGCTCGCCTCTGAGCCACTTCCAAAACTAGATGTCCTTGGCGGGTTTAGGCAGCTGGCCTAGTCCGGTCAAATAAAGGCACTATTCTTGCTGAGATGCTCTTTTGTCCGAGTTGGCCCTTTCCCTGTCAAACCTCCCTCTCCAGGTCTTCTTGGGTTTCCTCCTCACTGTAAGTCCCTCAAGCATTCATTAGACTATATAAGCTTTGTGCTGCAATGTGCTCACCGTGATCTCTGCCATGCCAGGCTGTCCTGCATTCCTCTTCTTCCCGCGCTTCAAGTCGTATACCCAAGTCAACACAATGATGTGGGATCTGCGCGGCAACGACGCCGCCCAAGATCGGCGACGTTCTCCAAATCCCAGATTTCCAATGCCATCGTGAGTTATCATACGCTTGTTCTCCATCGATCTCAATAGACAAGGGTGATCCTATAGCCCTGGAATTCCGCCAGTGACGTACGCAACGATCTGCATGATACAGCAAGTCGTCATTGATAAAGAATGATTATCACAGAGAACTTCATCGATCCCATGATCCGTTCCCAAAGCCATTCGTACCGCTCGGTCTGCCCGACGTTCCACGATCAGCGTCACCAAAGTATTTTTTTCAGCTTTTCTGCAATGAACGTGTTGACAAGTTCACATTATATTTCCCCACAGTCCCCGGTAAGCTTCAAATCAAATTTCATGTTCATATGGTACTTATTCAAATTACCGCTTTATCACTTCATTGTTCACAGCATGTATTCACGTGAGAATCTCCCTTCGCTTATTCATGAGGGCTTTCCTTCTCGCGGGCGCCCACCTCCCCCACCAATCCCGCATGCAACGCGACCGCCCCAGTCTCCCTATATGTCTCTACATCCACCTCACCCATTAATGTCTCGTCGTTTGACACCTCCTCCACCCATGCCCGTTCCGCAATTTGTTTCAAAGTTATCAAATGTCCAACCGTCATCCAGAAATAATTACACTGATACTCGCACTCGCACTCACACTCACACCCAAGGTCAATCTCACAGACACGGACATCACCAACATTCTCATCCGACTTCTACCGCAACTCAGACTATTCGTCGCACCACCTCGCAGCAGCTCCGTTTCGCACCACCCACACAGCCTTCATCCGCAAGCAGTACGCGAAATTTGCACCGCTCACGTTCTTCACAACATCTACGTCCGCCAACGCCACACTCAGGTCCTTCAGGTCACGGTCACCGATCGCGCGTAAACTCGGCAAGTAGTGCACATAAGCCTATAATTCAACCTCAGCAGCAGGTGCAGTCACATGTTCACCAACAGGTCGTGCATCATAACGGTCATGTTCATTTTCAATATTCGAAATGCACCGGGCGGAAGAAAGCACTCTGCGTGAGTGAAGATATAGTACTAATCGAAAATTCGAGTTGAGTCCTTTTTTAGATCGGAATCAACTACAAAGGTCAACGACGCGAGCTTCGGGGCTGTGTCAACGATGCACACAATGTAAAGCGGTTTTTAACATGTACGTTCGTTCGTCGACCGTTGCGATGTCGATGCTCATACCTTGCCCTAGCCAATTGGGGCTACAAAGATGGCGATATTGTAATGTTGGTCGATGACACCGATAATTTGAGGCAAATGCCCACAAGGAAAAACATTCTCGATGCGATGCGTTGGCTTGTGAATGACGCTCATCCTCATGATGCGTTATTTTTCCACTGTAGGTTATCTTTTCGAACCTTCGAATATAATATCTTCATTGTTGTCTAGACTCGGGTCACGGAGGACAGGTTCCGGATAAGGATGGGGACGAAGTTGATGGACTTGATGAAGGTAAAGGGACATTCCCTTTTCTTTAGAACATCATTAGATTTCATCATGCACAGTTATATACCCTGTCGACTACAAGAAAGCCGGAATGATTGTTGATGACGTGAGGACTTTATATTTTCAACCTGTTTATGCTTATAACTCCAATGCAGGAAATGCACCGCATCATGGTACACTTGTCGCACGATAGGAGAAACGCACTGATCTGATAGATTCCACAGGTCAAATCGTTGCCAACAGGCTGCCGTCTGACTGTAAGTGATAACTAAGCCTTGCTGTTCGGAACTAATAGAACCCCATCCATCCAGGCTGTCTTTGACGTGAGATCGTTTCATAATGTACCGGCCCATCTGACAAATCTCATTGATTCCCCTAGTCTTGTCACTCCGGAACGGCACTGGGTAAGTACGTTGTTTCGTAATGATAAGAGCTGACTGAAAGTCCATGACTGTCAGATTTGCCATACATCGTGAGCACGATACCTGATTCAGTCAGTATTCGGACTGATCATCTTGCAGTATCATTCGAATGGGCGCCTCAAGGGGAACCACATCGCTCGCCAGGCTCAAGCACAGAAGGCCACAAATGCTGACGTGGTAAGTGACGTCCTGCCGTTATGTGCTGTGTGCTTCTGCCGCTTGTTCCTATCTAGATATCATTTGCTGGTTGTCGTGATGATCAAACCAGTGCTGACACAACGCAGGGTGGCATGGCTGTTGGGGCTATGAGCTACGTGAGCGACATTTCACTGAAATCTCTACACCTCTTTGTAGCTGACAGACACGGATAGGCATTCGTTACATCTTTAAGTTGGTCAGGAGTTCTATGTCTTGTTGCCTGAGACTGACTTGGCGCACAGCAAAGCAGCCAGTACAAAGTTACCAAGAACTGCTCAAGTCTGTTAGGGCCATTTTGAAGCATCATTATCAACAGAAGCCGCAACTGTCGAGCTCGCACTACATCGTAAGCACTTGTCGTTTGTAGTGTGGTGGATTCAGATTAACACTGCCTTTTCAGGATACTAATCTACGCTTCATACTGTAGTGTGAGCGGTTTTGAGCATTATTCTCATGCTGCGGTGTTCGTTATCATATTAACTAACTTAGTGTTCTATGTGTCAGACAATCTATGTATCAGTCTTGGTCTTTAGTTGACGAGACATGTATGTCTAGTTCCAAGCGGTGAAAATGCACCGATGGATATGAAATCTACCAAGGGGGATTTTGAATAATAATTCTATGGGTGGCAGAGGTTTAGGCGGTATTAAGCAGAACCTACGCACGACGCCGGTGGTTACATGAAAAGACGAAGAGAATGTAGAGTACCAGGTCTGATCGAAGCCGGCGTCATCCAAGGTAGACTCATGACTGGCCCGTCTAAGGAATGTGAGGGTATCAGCGAACTGAATAGTGCACTCCGCAAGCTTCAGAGCCATGGTGTGAAGAAGGAGGATGAAAAAGCATGCAGTCGTTTGTAGCCACCCTTCCTGAGGAAGAGTTCACATAGGTCGATGACACCTTTCTCTGTGAGCACGTCTTTGCGGACGTGGATGTACATGACGTGCGCGAGGATGAGCGTGTTGTTGTGCTCGCCTGTGACTGGTGGGCGATGTCTATTGATCTGTAGAGCTATTGGGAGGTGGCGTTGTTAGCGAGCGAGCAGGCTTGGCGTGAAATGAGATTACCTCGCATTCCATGCTAAAAGCGCTTTCCTTGACGCGCGAGGCTCTTATTTGCACCTGAACGCGTCGTTGTTAGCGCATATATCGTGTTATGAAGGTGCACTCGTCGAAGTTGCGAGGAGCATCTATAGCAGTTGCATTTGCGTTCTTGACAAATGCCTTGCTGATGATGTTCACGGTGAATCCTTGCCCATTCTTCAAGTTTGTGGCCGTGTCTTTCAGGCGGCCCGGAGCGCTGTCGTTGACTGCGAATGGGATGACAGGAGGGTAGTTCGTGACCTATTGGAAGTGGTTATTGAACAATCGAAGACACGTGTCATTTGTAGTATTACTCACTGTGTTAAACCAACTGGTAGATGCAATCCAGGTAAGTGTGCGAAGTGTGTTGGATACCGGAGGTGTGTCTTACCTGAACGGTGCCAGCCTGCCAGGTTCTCGTAGAATCTCTATGCCATCCTCGCTGATCGTCACTGGTATACGAGGGCCCTTCAATCGTCTTCAACAGGACACCTATCTTCAAAACTGCGACAGGGTGTATGCCTTCTCCGTGATCTTCAAATGTTCAGACGGCGGACGTGGAGCTTGAGATAAGGAGCCCTGCCCGCAATCGGATCGTCGGATATCTCACAATTGTTCCGTTGTCAATGCATGTATAAAAGCTGTCCTCTACTAATACTAGTATTTCCCCTCATTTTCCTCCGCTTCAAGTTCATGTGCTTCACTCGCTTTGCATTTAACTTTATGGTGCGTCACGCTTTGCTTGCGGTGCTCGACGACTCGAGACAACTACAAACTACAAACTTGATACGATTTAACCGATCTCGAGCATGCGAATCGTTTACTACCTGGACTTACTCTGGCACGAAGTTGGTTGGCCTGCATTACATGTTTCGAAAGGTTCCATGACTCGATCTCCGCTGCTGTATCTTAATACTGTCATTCGAACCACGCACTTGGTACGATCTACTAAACCTATTTCGAGCATGTGATCTCAACTCAGACTGCTTGTATGATTTTCAGTCATCTATGAATGCACTGAAGATTGGATGAAGTAGCGTTGTCACGCACTCAGTGTTGTGTCGTGCAATTTATTAAAAGTGGCATCTGGAGTGTCATATAAGATAGCTTTATGAAAACAAAACAAACTGGTATTGTACGACGAATTATGAGCGAATCAAATTGTAAAAAGTAGAACCTAAGAGACATGTCTAGAGACGAAACAATGCAAGTGAGAGACAGCGTGGAAAGTAAATGTGAACTGTACCTCAGCCCCAGTGAAAACTGACTATGACGGGAGAGGTCTATATGTGCTGAGACGTGAATTACCGTATTAGTACTGTGCCAGGGTGTGCTCATTTCTTATATTTTCGTCATTTATTAGCTTTGCAAAGTTCGCATTGCATAACATCTTCGTATCAAGCTATGTAATAGCACAAATTCCGTATTGCAAAGCGCAAACTGCACATCGCAAACACAAACTTTGCATCAATGTCATTGCAACTTGTGCAAGCTACGAAGGTCGTGCGGCACCCCAAAGCAACATAAATTGTTGGGGCCAAATTTCTGTTGTCCCACCCTTCTTTCTCCCCACCCTTCTTCCTCCCCACCACATTCCCACCTCCGAGTTAAAGGTCTCGCTATTCTCCTCCACTGGCTCTGCCCTGTGAGTGTCTCACATGTCGCTTATCCGACGGTATGATTGCGCTGACCACACGAGTTTAGAACAGCGGGATGATATAAAACTGAGGCCACTCTATTGTTGCGTGACCTTTTTTGTTTGTTGACGTTGTTTTAACCGTTCGCTTGCAACAGGTTACCAACGATTCTTGGATGTTCTGGACCTCGGGGGGCAAGCAGTTTGCGACAGCCAACTCTACTAGTGAATCTCCCGTAAGGTAAGTCTCATCTACTAGGTCGCTTCTGATACATGGACTAAATCTGTCTCCGAAGGATGTCTCTATTAGATTCAGCACGATCCGACATACACATTTCCTACAATGTTTTCGAGTGCTTTCGAGCCGTTGTCCGCGCGTGTCATGTTTTCAAGCCGCTATGTGTTTTTGAGCTTTTTTGTACCACTTTTGTACCACCATTGCTACAGTGCCTAATATTATTCGAGCATATTTGCGCACATTTTCAACCATCTGGCAAGGGGAACGAGTATATGCGTTCAAATGCGCAAATATGTTTTACGTTAAAAAAGCACCTATGTGCATGAGGAAACCCGCCCCCGCATATATTGAAATGTGCGGATTCGCTCACTACGTGTCTTATCATGTTCTCATATGTTTTTCTATCAAGCTGCTGACAAAATCACTTATCGTCACACCACGACTCCTCCCGTCATAGTCAGTTTTCACTGGGCCTCAGCGTTGTGGAAAGAATCGCTTAGGTGCAAACAGTGTGATACAATGAGATTATGAAGTACACTACAGAGTCCGTGATGACGAATGAAAGAAAGGAATACCGGTCAATGTTGTACATCCAACACAAATGGATCAAATTGACGACCCTTCACCAGTAGAAAGAGAAAGCCGAGGGCGCTTCCTAACCGGCTCCCGACCATCTTGCTCAGGAAACAGATACTTCAGCATTTCCAAGTCATGCTTCGCCACAATCTTCTTCCCATCACACGCGCCTTCAGGACGTCGAATATCCGTCCGATTAACATGCATAGGATAATGGGCCTTCTCGATCGGTCCAGCCCAATCGAAATCGAACAGCATGAATTGATTGTCGTCTCCCACAACGAAATTGGTATCCCGAAGGTCGCCATGAACGTAGCCGCCGTTGTATCTGTGTAATTCCTCGATAAGACACGTGATGGCCTCCTTCAGTGGCAGGCGTTCCGAAACAGCCATCGCGCTCAGCGGTCGATATGAGCCAGGCCGTTGCGCGAGGAGACCCTCATCAATATCAAGCGCATCCATAATCACCATTTTCCAGCCGCCGGCTAAAGGTTCGTAGGCGATAAGATCCGGAGCGTGCCCCTTGCTGGCACAGAATCTGTGGGCCTCAGGGGAATAGTGTCTGACGAACTTGATACATATCTTGCACTCAGCTGCGTCATTGACGGTTTTCCCAAAGAAGATACGTCGATCCCTGAACATCTGAGTCTTGTCATACGAGAATTCCTGAATGTGACCGCTTGAAGAGGTATATGTCTGAGGATAGGGATGTCGTAGAGAATCTTCAGCTTTGAGATGGATAATTGGACTCGAGTACAGCTTTGTGAGTTTCTTGATGGCAATTTTGAGAGCTCCGAAAGTTCGAGCCGCCATCTCTTGCATACGGAGGTCCGTTGAATGCCAAAACAGAGGAATGATAGGGGCCAGGACATCACATTGGACTTTTTCGATGAAAACAGAGCCAGCAAAGCCAATGCATGCCCCTAGTTGTGGTCAATAAAGGGCTTTAGCAACGAATCTGATGAAATGAACTAACCGAAGACAATGATATGGATGCATGGAAGTACAGACCGAAACTTCTCTACTCCAGCGTTCGACTCTTTTAGAATCTTGTGGTAGTACAATATTGACTCCGCGAATGGTTCGGCACCGCCGCTTCCGATCTCATTTCTCCCCTCCAATATCACCTGCACAAAATTTCCGTCGGCGGACAAAAGATGTCCGTCAGTCGAATATTTTGTCGAGCCAATCGCAGAGGAATGGAGTATGATACCGTAGCCGCGGAGCAGATGCCTGAATACATTCATGCGCGTGAGCTCATCGGGATGGAAGGAGGACATATTTTCCGAAAGTTTCCAAACAAAGTCGTTATCGTAGTCAGTTGGTTGATAATTTTGGCAATCATCCACAAATTCGCCAAAGATAGGCTCGAGAAGAGTAACTGGAAGAGAGTCCGCGGCCCTGCGAGGACGATTGCAAAGGTACTCTTCCTTATCCTGTGTTGCAGCGAATGAGGCCGGTTTTGCACCAGCTGACGGAGCACCTGAGGCCTTCTTGAGATAAGCCAACTGTGTATCAACAAGTGGAATGCGTGGCACTACAGGAACTAATAACCAGACGCGATGCAGATCAGTTTTCAAGGAATGGGTGGCAAACTGACAAACAACTTACCGGTATGCTGCGGTTGGACAACGATATGCAGGTGTTCTTCGTTGGGTTGTTCAGAGAAAAATTTGGACAATTTAGCCACAGCTGACAGGCTTTGCTTTGGATCAAGTGTATGGTTTTTGGGCACCTCGTCGGCAGGCAGGTCGATCTTTCAAAGTATCAGATCATCAGCATCCAATCGTAGGCATCAGATCACTCACCCTCCATAGCGCAAGATCGTCAGCAGCAACATGGTCAAAATGTGGCTTCTTCGCGTCCTTGATAGCCTTTCGGAGGGCGCTGACACTCTCTGTTGGTGCAATCTTGATCTCAAATGTATGACTAGGACCATGGCCCAAGACAATCCAGTTGAGTCGGAGGTGGAGCGGTCCAGAAGACACTAAGTCAGACCGCGGTCAGTAGGGAGGAAAGGATGGCAATATCGAAAGACAACTCACCGGCAGGTGGGCCTTGGACAACGATATGCAGACACTTGCTTCGAGGACCATTGGGAAAAATATCAACCATTTCATCCACAGGTGATAGAGATTCCATTGGGTCAAGTGTATGGTTTTTGGGCACCTCGTCGGCAGGCAGGTCGACCTTTCAAAGTATCAGATCATCAGCATCCAATCGTAGGCATCAGATCACTCACCCTCCATAGCTCAAGATCGTCAGCAGCAACATGGTCAAAATGTGGCTTCTTCGCGTCCTTGATGGCCTTTCTGAGGGCGCTGACACTCTCTGTTGGTTCAATCTTGATCTCAAATGTATGGCTGGGATTATCGCCCAAGACAATGCAATTGAGTTTGTACATCTGACATTGAGAACAAGAGTAATAGTATCTTGAGCGGTGACCGCAGTGAGCAACAAAGCCAAGCAGCCACACCACGTGACCGCGGCGCCACATCAGTCCCAGTGAAAACTGACTGTTATTTATGGCAGCCGCACATCGGTGGTTTCGGAGTCACCTGTGGTTCCCACGTACCTGATCTAATAAGATATGACAGCTGCGTGTGCTGGCGGGTCTAAAACGACGTGTTTCTAATTATCCCCAGCCAAATGAATAAAGGCTGGATACTGAGGGGCCTTCAGTGGTGCAAAGAGAGTACTGGTGGTGTTCCAGCAGTGTCGGCACCTATCTCCGTACCCCGCGTGCTAATATTAGCTCATTTAGAATGCCGCCGGCTGTCGGATGTAATGGGCGAGGCCACGTCAGCACCAATCATTCGTGCTCGCTGTTGCCGACAGCGAGCTCGTGTATTTCGCGTGGATGTGCACAGATTGGAGGCGGACTTTTTTGCATAGGTAGTATTACATGTATATAATGATGTACTACGTCGTTCTACAGCCAAAATGCAATCCCTATGATGAGCTCAAACATTCAAACATCTAAGGTCACCTGTAGAATACTCTCGAGAACGCGAGCATGCTCCTCACCATCCACGTCAGCATTCTCATCGTCCTCAAGGTCCTCCAGTGCATCATCCTCGCCTTCAGGCACCATGCTAAGCCCATCAGCAACCAGCTGCGCAGGAATACAGACTATAGGGGAGCTTGCGCTGGCTCCCGGTCCTCGTTCAACACTCTCACCCAGCGTGATGGATCCTGTAAAGCCCTCCAGCATACTGATATCATGCAGGCGCTGATAGTGGTGTCCAGCGAACCGCGCGCGAATCTTGCGGTGCAAGGAAACTTGATGAGCAAGCCCGGGGTGCAAAGTTTGCAGCTGCTTCTCGCACTCTGTCAGGTACCGGCTCTCGTCGTGTAGGTAAGTGGCTAGACGTCTGATTTCGATGTCGAGACGCTGTATTTCCTCACGGGCACGGCGCGTCTTGAAATATGTATCCATGGTCAGGCGTCCGGTGGGTGTTGCCCAAGGACGTTGTGATATGTCTTGACGTGCGTCACGGAGGAGATCGAAGTCGGAAAGAAAGGCGTATTCAACGACTTCCTCCCATGAAAGGGAGGCACGCGGGGGGCGTAGTGCTCGAGCAGCAGTGTTGTACCTGTCTAGTGCCGTCCGAATGGCCGCTGACCGTACTTGCAGCGCCTTGCCAATGTGTTTGCGCAGTTTGTAGCCTGACAATGCCATCAATATTGAGTAAGACACAAGCATCAAAACTCACCCGTCCCCGCTTGATTCATCTTCGAAAGTTCAAAAATTTGAGCAACAACCAGACCCTCCAGATGGTCCAGCGCACGCTGAAACTTTCGGTTTGCCACTAGACGACCCACATCTTTCCACTCCTGGTCTTCCTGTTCCCATCTACAAGTCACGCCGAGCTTCGTTTCAAGTTCCTGGACAGCCTTGAGGTCCTTCTCGTAGTTTTCCATGGCATGCCTACGTGTCGTCTCGATCCTGTTCGTTGACGCGATATCATGGGGTCCGAACTCTACAGTGCTTGGCGTAGTGACGGTCCTAATATTTATATGGTCAAAACAGAAATAGGTTACAAAGTTCAAAACTTTTTTCTATCTATTTGGTGCGACGGGCGCACCCCTGTAAACGTCACCCCGTCACCCCGTCCATAAATGGAAGTCCATCACGTAAGTGGCTGTCCGTCACCCTCACTTTTTTTTTCCCATCCGCCATTTTTGCCCTTGGCGCTGTCAGCGTCACCCCTTCTTTTCCCATGAGGTGTCGTAAGTGGCTGTCCGTCACCCTCGCTTCTTTTTCCCATCCGCCATTATGTCCTCTTGGAACTGCCGCAAGCGTCACCCCGTCACCCCGTCACCCTCGCCGTATCCAGTATCTCAGGCGTCACCCTCACTCATTTGGATCTATAGGCGTCACCCCGTCACCCCCGCTGTATCCAGTATCTTAGGCGTCACCCCGTCACCCTCGCCGTATCCAGTATCTCAGGCGTCACCCTCACTCATTTGGATCTATAGGCGTCACCCCGTCACCCCCGCTGTATCCAGTATCTTAGGCGTCACCCCGTCACCCTCGCTGTATCCAGTATCTTACGCGTCACCCTCCCTTATTTGGATCTATAGGCGTCACCCCGTCACCCTCGCTGTGTCCAATATCTTAGGCGTCACCCTCCCTTATTTAGATCCATAGGCGTCAACCTCACTTATCCAGTATCTTCGGCGTTATTTAGAATTTCAGGCATCACCCTGTCCGAGTCGCTTGTGATGGACTTAGTCATATTGTGAATCTCCAGCAGCTTTCTGTGAGCTCCTTCTCAGTCTTTACACTCGTATATTTACGAGTCTTAAAATAAAAACCAGGCTTTCGTGACTCGAGTGACAGCAGGATCACTTAAAAACTTGCCTTCTTCTTGCTATCGGCGCTTTGAAGAAAATGATCAAGGCCGTGACTGCTTCTTTTATGTCTCTTTATCCACGTCATCACCAGCGACTTTGACCCGCGTATATAGATCATAATATACCTTGGAGCGTTCTATTTTACTGCTCTTGTTCATCGCTGTCCTGATGCACATCGGTTTGAAGTCATGCGTCGTATATGATTCATGAAAAGAGATCATTTCATTTTGGTGCATCTATCTCACTGAAGATCGAGTCAGCTCCAGGTGTCATATAATGGATGTATAGAAAGGTCGGGAGCTGGTGAACAAGCTCCTGGACATATTCAATCGTTTTATTTTGGACCATCCTTGATTTCAAAGACCAGATAATGGCTGCAGGTGTCAGCTGCATTGTGTTGCGGACGTTCCATCACATGTCGACATGCTTGTCAGTGATGCTGGCATCCTTCGCAAGCGACGAAAATACATCCAAGGTCATTAAACTCATTTTCTTTATCACCTCTGCGCCACAGATATCAGTTCATGGGAGAACACGTCCGCATGCCTGGAAGCATCTGAGATGCCTGCATGTTCTAGGTCGCCTGTTGATCTATGAAGCCCTTACTGAGACACTAGCATGTGCCGTTCGATCTTTTTCAGCAGGGTCGACGGCTCATGTATATCATTCGTCCATCCCTGTTTGGGCCAAGGACGTGTCCAAGTATGGACTTCCTGGCGATCGATGCAATGAGTCGTACACGAGCTGTGACTACTTATTGAGGTATTCTGGTGAGATATTCGCAACCAGTGTAAAGGATATGGGCTCTGCCCATGCCAAATCTTTAACTGTCTAAAAATAGCTTTACTCCACCATTGCCATTGGGCGCAATGCGCATATCCACGAACGACATTTATTTTCATCCGATGTTCACGGCTGCCATTAGAGTCCCATCCGCCCGGAACATGATTGGACACGGGACCATAATGCAAATGTCACCGATCATTGCGTCTCATTTTTGTACCCTCCATTCATTCCAACATTGAAGAGTTTTTTTTAGGGGGCGCTTCGATCGCATTAACTAGATAAAGACAAGTACGTGTCTTTATGTGGATGAACCTCGAGTGAGAAGACTCATTTCCGGTGACATCAACCTTTATTTTCTATGTATAATGATCTAACCTAACATATCATGAGTGCTCAAACAGAATTGCAATCGCCTTCCTCCGATCACTGTACGTCGAGATCACCATGTCTCGTTTTCGTCTTGATATTTTCGTAAATGCTGTCATTAGTCCATCGTTTTTTTTTACCATGCCACGCCTTCACATTTTTTTTCGTCCCTGCAGGTGCAGGCCCGTATGTTTGAAGTCTTATAAAACCTCGCCAGCGCCATTCATCCGCCATCCAACGATAAAGTATCACATCTATCAATCTATCATCGCATATACTCTGCTTACTGATATAAATGTCGGACAACGACGTCTGTGACCACCCAGGATGCGGCATGGGACCATTCCCGACCTGCGACATCGCGCGAAAGCACCGATACCGCTACCACTCCGTCCCTATACCATTCCTGATTGGTGGGAACGAGTACGTTGTAGGCCAATCCGATGGACATTATTCGTGCCCGCTCCCGGAGTGTAAGTTCATTTCCAAAAAGCGTGAAGCTATTCAGAAGCACATCAACGTCGCACACAACGCATCAGTCAAAATCAAGGTCTTTGATGCTCCTGAGTGTCGTAAGTTTCATTACAGATCGAGCCACCATCAAGTCGCACTGACCTCAATAGTTGTGGCCTCCAAACAGGTTCTCGATCAGGACAGCGGTGTCCGCGATGGGACTGGCAACCTCATATGTCAGTCTTAACACGTCATATTATGCTGTCACATGTTTACCCATTTATCAAGGCCCAGAGGATGTCTGGTCCGACGATTTAGTCCCAGAAGGTCCATCCCGTGAGGATGTCTGCAGCAGAGGTGAACATACATATAATGAAAATTCAAGGTCACCGCTTAACGTAGCGTCCATCTCGCATACGCAGATCCTTCCTTTGATATGGACTCCAGCACTGTCTCATTGTCGCCATCAGTAGACTACTTGATGTCCAACGAGGTTCTAGATTCTCTCGGCGTGTGCTTTCACAGCCATTTGAGGTTCCTTATCTGCTACTCGTGCAAGGTCGCATTGACCTCCGGGATGGTTTCTGGACACAGGAAAAAGCACCATCATGCGTATCAGGTACGTTCATCCCTTGTACGGCCGCACTCTAATTTGACATGGGCATCCCACGTAACTACTAGGTACCTTCATCCACCATGGAGTCATTCCTGGACTATTGTTCGCGGTCAAATGTTTACGAGAAGCCAGAGCATGTCAAGCTACCAACAGCAGGTGGACCACCTGTACAGATGATTGCGTCCCCCGTTGAAGGTTTTTCATGCACTGCATCCGCTGATTGCGTGTATGCCGTGAAGGATTTAGGAACCATTCAGCGCCATAGTAGAGAGAAGCACAGCGTTACCGGCTTACAGGAGATCCAGTATCGGTCTTGTCTGGTCCAACATATCTTTACTGCTGTTGGCAACTCGTATTTCGAGGTTGGGCAAAACGTCATTCCATCTGCGAGACCCAATCTCAAATCCACGCTTAAGGCTACATTCCTACCTGCAGTTGAGCTTTCATTGGTCGTTCCAGCCAATACCGAACGGGAGAGGACTCCCCTGATACGCTTCATGGGTTGGGACAGGTTCGAGGTAGAACTCCGGATGAATCCAGCCCGGAGGCGGGCAGCGGAACAAATCAAAAAAAAGCATAGCGATGATGAATTTGGCGGAATTCTGACCCGTCTCGCTGCTGCAGTGCAAGACCACATGGCTAGGGCATCGACCATCTTGGATGGTCATCCTCATAGGTTGAGCCTGTCTAAAATACTGTTGTATGGTGACGCAATACCGCGAGAAACGTGAGCAGTGCTATCGCACCATAATAATTCCATTATTGACCGTGATGGACGCGTATAGGGACAATCATTGGAGGCCTGTGTCGGATGAAAACGTCGAGTATCCAGGCTTCATTGTTCAATTCATGAGGGCGATCATGCGCGTTCACCTCGGATTCCCATTGGATTTCTCGTTCGAGCTGTCTGCTGCGCAGACCCTGTGTCTCGAGGAACTTGTGACTGTGCTGGGCGACGAGAATGCCTCCCCACGAAAGAGGATGATTTTCTACCATAATTTGGCGTGGTCCCTAGTCGATACCGATCCAGATTTGTGCGTGGGCCAGCGATGGGCAAACCCTATCAAACGAGCCATCTGGCTCAGGGCGTTGCGTGCGGACGGAAACTTCTGTGAAGCGTCCGTCCTCACACCAGATCTTGCAAAGTTTAAATATCTTTGCAACGTCACATCCCTCCTTGAGGCGCTGATGGACAAAGACGAGGATACGGACTCAGTACATTCAGACGACCATGAGTGAGCAAGTCTCCCCATTCATTCGCTTCGATACACTTATCATGCCTTTTTATCTCAAGCCGCGTTGCTCGTGTTCATGATCGGGTGCTACGCCTCGGCCGTCCGACTACGTTCAACATCATCTATGAGATGCAGCAATATGCGTCCTCTTTGGTGTTTAGTCAAACCAGAGAACCCAATGTCTATGTCGATCCAGACGTCAAGTCCATCACGATAGGCGTCCACACCATGCACATGGACAAGCTGAGAGACGGGATACAAAGGCTCCTCCAGGTGTCAAAGTCGCGCTATTCCGCCCTCACCAATGACATTTTCATGTTGAAGATGGTGCCAGAGCAGGTCAAGGACGACCTCACCAACTCTACTCGTGGCTATTCGCTCGTATCGGAGGACCCCTTTTTTAAAAATCGCCACGCCATGTTCTTTTACTTGGTTGATCACTACGACCTGGCAATGGTCGACAACGCAGGACGAATCGCATGGAACATCCCCGGCATCAAGGATCTGCTCAGACGCTCGTCATGCGTCTGGGAGCCCATCTACCATCTTCTGTACATCACCACTCACATCTCATGTCGCGGAACCCAGTTCGTAGACCACAAAATCAGCAATTCGGACAGGCATCGCAACCTCTTCATGCAGGGGATGGAGATGTTCCTCCTGACAGCTTACAGCAAAAGGACCGGCATTACTGATCGAGACTCATGCACCCCAGGGTTCGTTCCGAAGGACATCGCATTCTTGGTGCTCGAAATGATTGCAGGGGGGTTGCGCACCGCCGAAGCCATCCTTGCTGGGGTTGCATATGGAGCAGAGGCCGAGCATCTGTACAGAACGTGAGCATTGTCCTGAACCATCCATGATTATGGAAACCACTCTTACACATGAATTCATGTAATGTTAGGTACCTCTGCGTCGGTGAGGGCGTGAGGACAAGTCCTACAAGGTTTTCCGCCAACATTCAGCAGTGGAACCATGATTACTTCGACTGTCGATGGGGAGTCAGGGATTTCCACCAGGGCGCGATTACCATTGGTCGTGAATTCATCGCTCCAGACGACTCTTATGATCAAGCCGACAACATCCTCGCTGAATCCGCAGATCACTCCACTGGTGTGGACCATACACACTACGGCATCGTCCAAGGAGTCGTCCCTAGATTGTCCAACAACAGCATGTGCAAGCACAGATGGCTTGGAGATCAGTGGCACAGTGTCCTTGGTCTTGGCCCCCTTGCGCCTCCAGAGGCAATAAGAATCAGGCACAAGAATATGTCTAACGGGACGACGCTCCAGGCCATCGCAGATGTGGTCAAGAAGACCACGCAAGAAACTATCAAAGAGTTTTTGGACGCACACCGCACTGACGTCTTGAAGGACACAATTTCTACAGCCATAATCAAACAGCTAAAAGACGCGACAGATGATGCACCGGAAATTTCATCGCCACTTCCAACAACATGGAACGGGGGATCGTTTCACTTGAGCAGTAATTTGGACGCCATGTTCTATGAAGAAAGCGAAGGTGAGCACCACTATGCGTTGTATCGACACCAACATCTCATTAGCTTTGCAGGTATCCGGCGAGACCCTGCTTCCTCATCAGGTCCCAGTGGGTACAATAACAACAGTGGTGAGTCCGAGCTCCAATGTTATGCAATTTAAAAAATGATTGAATGCGCCAGTTAACGCGTCCCCTGTTGTTGTGTCGCCCACTGCAAGTGGTTATATTCAATGCGGAGAAATGCTTTCGGACTCCCCACTCCCAGTATCGTCGATAACGAGCATCTCACAGACCGAATACATAGAAGGGTCCACGACATTCTCCGACGTGGTCCCAACAACGCATCAGTCCGAGTTTCCTCCATTCAAAGATCGCAAAGGGAAGGGCAGAGCTTATGAAACACCAGAACCTCCATTGGTTGATGGCGTCATGTCGTCGTCTATATCTCCTATCGCAGACATCAAAGGGAAACGGAAGCGTGGCGACTATGAGAACATCCATTCTCGAGCATTCGCCAATCCAGCTAGAGCGTCCAGAAGAAAACACGCGCCTCGCAGTGTCTCGCATCACAATTCCATCCCATCTACGTCCGGTTCATACCCAGTCACACCAACTGCACACCGCGCACGGAAGTACGCACCACGGGTCAAACTATCATTAGAACGCGTCGCGGAATCGACGAAACACGTTCGCAGGTTGTCTTCGGAGGTGATGGATATCTCCAGCGACGAGGAGTTGTCCAGTCTTGATACTATACAGCTGAAACGCCTTCGTGGGTCGAGAACATCAGTACCCCAGGTGCCTGTGGAGGTCATCAGCCTCTCTAGCAGCGGTGAGGACTCGAGCCCAGACGAGAACATGCCTATCAAACGTCTTCGTAAGACCGCAGCATCAGTCCAACAGATGCCGATCGATGCAGCTAGCTTGTTTTCTGGCGAATGCAGCCCATCAAAACGTGCAGTCACTAGTTTTGGTACACCAGCATCGCCCCCAAGCGCCGTTCAGGACGTTCAAGAGAACATTAGACGAGCGATCAGACACATCAGGAAGGACGATAGTGCAACAGAAAAGACCCCCGATCAGATGGACATGCTAATGGCAGTAATGTCAGCACATACGGACCTCGTCATCACGATGAGGACAGGAGGCGGCAAGAGCATGTCGTGGATGATTCCATCAGTGATGGATGAAAATTCCAGGTCTATTGTGGTGTGCCCGTTCGTAGCTCTGCTGGACCAACAGTTCATGGCTACCGCGTCTACTGGACTACGTTGCCACAACTACTGCGTCTCCAAGGTCGTTCCGGAGAATGCACAGATTTTGTTCGTGCAGGTAGAGCATTGCTCGTCGCATCCGTTTGAAAGGTAGCTGTAAACCTATAAGGTCTGGACATGGCTAATGGTTTAACGATAGCTTCCTTGTATCTCCACTCGGACGGAAGTTCAACAGGGTGTTTGTAGACGAATTCCACGACATCATGAACTGTCATCCAGGACGAGTTGTTCCATGGAAAAATCTCGCGCAGCAATTCGGAAAGACGCTAATCAGGATTGTGCTTATGACAGGGACGGGACCACCGCACCGTATCGCAAATTTCATCAAACCATTTGGATTGCATCTTGGCATCGTCACGCAAGTTCGGTCGGATACAAATCGTCCAGAGATCGGGATGCATGTCATACAAATACAGCCTATCGCGGCCATGCAGTCTCTGGGACACCTCGTCTCCGCTCTATGCAAACTACTTGCTGAGGAGGAACGTATTCTGGTTTTCTGCGGCTCCCAGGGGGACGCACAAGCATTCGCAGTGAAGGCCAATTGTGCGGTTTATCATAGCGATCTCTGGGAGGCTGGAAATAGCAGAGCATCTAACCTTTCTCGGTGGGATTCAGGCGATACAAAGGTGATGGCATGCACCACAGCATTTGCCCAGGGTATGGACAGGCCTCACGTCCGATATGTTGTGATCTTTAAACCTTCGTACGGCCTTCTCGTCAACAACCAGATGCTCGGTCGTGCAGGCAGAGACGGAAAGGAGTCTCACGTATTTTTCCTTACTGACAGACGAGCGAAGACATACAGAGGACCACCGACTGATCAATGTATCGGAGAGTTGGACGATCTAGTACACGGTACGGAATGTCGGCGCTTCGCCAACATGACCTGCATGGATGGCCACAACCTCGCTGTGCGGTGCACGGATTACCCTCCAGGGATCCATTGCGACGTTTGTGATCCGAACAGCGTCATGCAGCGATTGTCCATTCAGGCAATAGCAAACCCATTCAGGCCACCCGAGGCATCCGAGCATGCAGTCACCCCAGTTTTTGCAAGTGGATCTATGCTTCAAGCACCCACGCATGCTCCTCCGCCCTTATCTACTGGATTTGTGCCAGTGTCGTCGCTTCTTTCGATGAATATGATTGTGAGTTTTTAAATATACCCACAATCCTATTGTATGTTTATATGCGAACTGTACAGTCCCACACGATCACCCCACAGCCTTCTCAGTCGAGCGATGCTTTGTACGACGCGGGTGCATTAGAGCTCACTTCATTTCAGGCTTTGATGCTCGACTCCATGGAGGAAATCCATGGTAAGGTGAGTATGTATTATGTGTGATATCGTACGGGAGCTGATTCTGTACCTGTTTTAGGGTAATGGTGAATCTTCAGACAAGTCATATACGGTATGCATGTGTTAAAATTCCATGCGATTATACTTACTTATTTTGACAGACCAAATCGCAGCCATCTCTAGGAAGGGCCGTCCATATCGAGACTCCATCGACCTCATCGCTTCCCAGTGTGTCTCGTACATTCGTATCACGAGCGAGCGCAGTAAACACCTCACTTCATAACCGTCTCTCCAGCACTGCCCGCCTGGACAAGTACATGAAGGTCTTAAAGGACAAGTGTCCGTCACATTTTGGTAATGGCGGTTGTCTTGTCCCAGCAGCCAATCACAGGTGCACCATGGACACCGTTCTTTCGATGGATTTGTATGGAGCTTTCAAATTGAGCTTCTCATTCGAACGCTACACTTATTGTTTTCAATGCTGCCTTCCCCAATCGCGAAACAGAAACGGGGAGGAACCAGCATGCCATGCAGGCTTTTCGTACCGTAAAGGTGAAAAATGTCCATTCGCTGGGTTCATTTTCAAGGCGGTATTTTGCATGTGGCACAACCCAGGATTTCGACAGTTAATGATAAACGAGATCGGCGAAGGAGCATCTTTGGCGAGCTATGAGGACTTCGTGGCATGGATTGTGAAAGATTCCACGGATGCAGGAAGGTACAATAATTTGGTAGAAGCATTTCTCTGGTTTTGCAGCGGTCTTGAGAAGGTCAATCCCAAGTTTTTTGATTGATACAGGCTGGTCCAGACGTGAGTACGCATGTCGTATACTGTTGTCCACCATCTGAAGCGATTCCAGGAGTTGAAAGGGCATCACGCGCATTTCGGTAGATCTACGGACCCTCATCCTACAATACTGGACAGTATATTTAGACGTTCAATATCCCATGTGATATGTGCACTGCTATAGCACGAATGCATCATGTATTGATTAATGTAACAGTAACAGAGTTTTGTGTACCAGGCTATGGAATACTTTGTGAGCAATGGACTAACGACTTGCAATACATGCCATCAAGTGAGACATCTGAAACAGTTCCATCTACTTCGGTTCTTATTTTATTATGTGCATGGGCTCAACATCGCCTCATAAGATTCATTTTTTCTCACTGCATCCACCAAAGCCTCTGGTATAGGGTACGAACTGAGTTGTCCGAACGGGCGTCCTGAATGATGTCTACGGCGGCATCCATCTGAAATCAGTTTGGCTCATCAGCTTCGCCTCGACCAAAATCTCAGCAATCACAATTGCTTTACAAGCCTCATTCTTCCTCATTCAATGTATTGAAGCTTGTCGCGTACCGTAAACGACTAAGATGTCCTCCGATATCAAACTGTAAACGTCATATATATGTGATTTTCATAAAGTCGATTGAAATATACCCATCGCATCGGAATGCTAATACATTTATGTATAAAATAGCGGTCGAGCTCAGATTTACAATAAATTATATATCCACATGTTGCGTGATGGACATAATTGTGAAATTGTGTCTACTGTCATTTTGTGTAGCATAATGGAATCTGGGACGGCCACTGTGGATATTTTCGGGTGCAAAAATACAATAGACGGATTTTGGAACGTCCACTGTGGACATTTATTACTCTCGTGAACTCTTGAAAGGCTCGTTGCCGACCCACCAATTCTCTATTCCAACTTCTCATCTCACATCCATGTTTACGGCGCCCAAGCTTACCTTGATGGAGCCGGGATGTGCATCCTGCATGGCTGACAACGTACCATGCTATGCGTATTCTTCCTCATCACCATGCAGAAGATGCTGCGACCGTTGTTCTCTGTTACCAGGTAAGCCGTCGCCGTACTTCTGCATCCCTCTTCACTTACAATTGTTCACAATATTAGGACCTCCCCCAAGGCGAACCCCCGTAATGCGCGCGGTTCGCAAAATGCGTCCGCGCTGCAATCACTGCAAGGACATAAAAAGGATTTGCCGAGGACGAACGGGCGAAGCGTGCATCGCATGTCAACAGCTGTGCAGTTATGGTAAGCGATCATTTTACTTATGTATTTTCTTTCTGTACTCAAGCGTTAATACAACAGTTCGAATTAATGCGGAAGAACAAGCCGTTGCCGAGTCTGAATATTATGACTCCTCCGATGCCAATGCATCTGGGACGGAGTCCGAATCTTCTGGCTCCTCCGATGACACGCATCCGACACCGGGTCTGAATCTTCTGACTCCTCCTCCGACGTGTTAGTTTTAGATCACAAGCCTTCTAACTGGGTCGACAAGCCGAATAGGACGAAACGCGGACGAACAGATGACGACGATGAAGTGATCGTCTTAGATCGCAGGCCAGACGATTGGATAGATAAGATGCCGGGTCGGATTAAACGGAGTCGGCTTGGCTAGAGGAAGAGATGAAGGACGTCCAGAAGCATAATACACTCAGGAGATGCGCGAGTATTATAGAGAATTGGAGAAAAAGAGAGGACATTTAAATGGATGTATTATGGACATGTAGATAGATCAAGGAACACGGTCAAAACCCCCAACAGGTGTATGCATTATATTATATGTTGATACAGATGGTGTCCGTAACGCTTTCTATTTATTCTTTAGTACTTATAAAAATACAAGCGATGACCTGCGGTCGTTTGGTTGTATTGGCACTCTTACAAAATCAGACATTTATATAAGATATTTTCCGTATCTCTGTCCCTGAAAATAAGTACAGAAGGATGAGCACATGTCCAGACATGAGTCTGCATCTTTCATATTGTTGTCCTTCATCTAAAGCAGTTCAAGGCATTGACAGGATATCATACGCTCTGCAGTAGATCTGCGCGCCCGTATACGATTATACCAGACAATATATTGAAATGTTCAATATCTCATGTAACGCCCGGACTTCTATAGCGCAAAGTATCATATATTCGTTAATGTAACAGTAACAGACGGTTGTGTACAAAGCTATGAAATACTTTTTCAGAAGTGAACTAACGACGGGCAATACACCCCATCAGGTGAAACATGAGAGCACGTTCCATCTCCTTCGATTCCTCTTTGACGACGGACGGGCTGGAACTTCTGTGAACCTGCATAGCGATGGAGCGTGTGTCCTGATCCTTTCATATATCAGTCAAGTCCAGATAATGATTGCCAAGACTCACTATAGAGGACAATAACGACGCATTATAAGCAGGTTCCTGCTTAATCACCTCATGGTAATGTTCCTCCTTTTTAATAGGGAACTCGCTGGGCCCAGCGTGCTGGATCGGATCTATGGCATCCATCTGAAATGGGTGGAGTATCAGCATCGCCCGCACCAAAGTCCAAGCAGCTTACCATAGCTTCATTAGATTCATGCTCCCTCATTCCATCCACGGAAGCTTCTGGTGTATGTGTACTAACCAAACTGTCCGAACGAGCGTACAGACTTCCGTTCGTGGCATCCATCTAAAAAGAGTTTGGTGAATTAGCGTCGCCTGGACAAAGATACCAGCAGCTCACCATCGCTTCACATGATTCATCCTGTCCCATTCCATCTCCGGAATTCTCTTGTGTAGCAATAATAACTAAGCCATCTTCCGATCCCAAAGTATTGGAAGCCGTGTCTTCATCCTTGCTGATGTCAGTTGTTTGGAAAACGACACGTGCGGTCTACTTACCAATGGCTCCACAGGACGTTTCATGTGTACCCCGCTCCTTGTTCCGCGCGAGACAGAGTTGGCTGGTAGAGGGCGTTTGTAAATGTGTACAATGTTTGGCCTTCTTGTACCACAGCCTTTGAGTGTCGTTTTCTATTGAATTGTCAGTACTTATCAAAATAGAGGCTCTCGCTCACCTGTTTCGTGTGTATTAAGATGTAAAAGGTGGCTTTATCCATTTTTTCCTTCATCGATCGTGTTACCACCGCCATGGATAAAGAAGCAATATGTAGTGACAAGGGAGTATGTGATGGACGTGTGATGGATAATGGAAGTTTTGGACGCGTCACATCAACATGTGACATTTAATACGTTGCGGACTTTGTTTATTGACACATCACATTATGGAACATTCTGGCCCAAACGGTTTTGCATTGTTCGCATGATGATAGTGAGTCTAATGTTCGCATCTCGTGAGTATTTTCGTTCTCCTTCGGGCTCGAGCCGTGCTGATCGAGGTCTTTTCCCACTTTTTCCAGATCATGAGGTTTCCAATGTACCTTAGAAGTCATTTTCCGCTTTTCTTAGAATGTGAGCGAGTTTATCCTGTTGTAAGCTCGAGCCTCGCTGATTTAAGCTACTAAGCGTCCGTTGTTTAGACATGAGCGAATCGCTTCTTTGTCGAGGTCAAGCACTTCCGACCAAATATATCAGTTCTCGTCACGACGTCTGTACATTGATCCGCTATCAATCTTTATCCTCTGACGGAAGAATGGACAATCTATTCATAGCTTATAACTATCATAATCTTATAGCTACGTCCTGTCTTCGATGCAATTGCTTAATAGTTATGTCAGGGTGAGTGTATTTATTTTCCGTCGCACTCGCAACATACTGACTGAATATTTGCTGAGTTAACAGATCATGATTTGGCCCACCTGCCCTCGATTTCTGACACGCTTCGTTGTCCATCCGTTCACAGGTTATAAGCGTGTCTATCTGCAGTCAAATCGGTTGGTTCAGCAGCGCTTGACAAGTCGCTATCAGGTCATGTCGGCGACATTCCAACCTGATATAGATACCGTGCGTCTGAGATGTGTTTGTATCTACATGATATATACAATACATTGTCGACGAGATCTACGCACGCTCTATTTTCTTCAAGTCCTTTGTTTGGTACCCTTTGCCACTTTTCCACCTTTGCGCAAAGTGTTGGCTCGCTCCTAACAAGTTGAACTTGAGCAGCTCCCCAACCAGTACTTATTCACTGTTTTTCCCACCACCATCCTTGCGGCCCTGAATTTCCGTTCAAGGTAGCGCTTAGTAGTAGTTCAGTCTGCGCCTTCTCGTACAGTGTACTTACTATCTCTCCACATGGTGTATTACGTATATGCGCACTGCTTCTATTCTAACGCCTCACTGCGGCCTCAGTGATGCCACCCCCAAACCATGCATGGATCTCCTCTTTGCTGATTCCCC